AACGCTATCGTATCCACTTGCACCTGTGTCAATGGATCTCATTACTGGAGAGGGTGCCATGAGAAAGACTATTAGGGCTTAATTGTATGAAACTGGCACAAGTGGCCAATTTTAGCTCCGAAGAACTATCACGTGCGGATAAATTAAACAGGTGCAACTTGGAACTTGCTACAGCCAAATTTTTAGTTTGCCCTAGATCTACCAAGAGACAAGTGGAGACCGAAATAATGCTACCATTCCAAACAAGTACACAAAGATTGTGAATATCTTTGACAAATACAAGGACCAGAGAGTTGAGATTAGCTATACGTTTTAACAAGTCCTGACATTAAGGTGTTATATGACTTAAACAGCTTCCGTATCAACGAAATAAGGAAAGAAATATTGTTTAAGTAATTTCAGCTTGCAATTAAAGAGAATCTTAGTGAACTCTTTAGCCAGACAGTGATCATTTCAAACAAATTTCAGAGAACTAAAGTTTTAAAAAACTGGGCAGATGAATACTGACATTCTAAATGTGTTCTTGTCCCATGAATTGGGTGGAACCAAGATTCTCATAGATAATTGTACTGGAAAACAAAGAAAGATAATGGACATGGTATCACGAGGTCTAGAAAATGAAATCATTATCTAGCCTGCACGCCTTTTCTTGCTACAATCATGTTTCCAGCATACGAGTGATCTAAAAAAGATCCCTTTTCTCTGACTTCTATCTGAACTATTTATACCCTTTTAACTGAAAGATAATACTAGACTTTGTACAAAAGGAGAAAGTGAACAGAAGTTCCAGCTCTGCTACACTATGATTCTGTCCCACTATTTTGGCTAAAGCTGTACTTATTGTACAAGGCTTGTTACAAGGAAAAAATCTGGGAGCTTTCGCTAATACAAACTGAAAGAAAAAGTGTTTTACATTTAGATGTCGTGTGCAGTGAGTCAGAAGAGGATCTTGAGGAGCTTTGAAACGATTAAACAATTAGAAAAAAATAGTTTTGATGCAAAGAAACATGAAGAAAAAGGAATTGCTAAGAAATGTGAATACTCAAATTTAGCTATCAATTAAAGAATTCTCCATACTGAACTTTAGCCGAAATTTCCTTTTAAAATATGCGATGCTACCATCAATTATTCATGAGGCATCTTATGAAATACTTCACACAGTTATAGGACGTTAATGTAATAAAATGCTGTCGAGGCTCCACCTATATTATGTGAATTTTAATAAAGAATATATCTCTCGGTCACACGATATGCTTGCTCTTGAAATGTCTTTTGTCTTGATAATGAAATTACTGCAAAATTGCTTACACTTACAAAGTATGCTCAGTTTAAACGAAATGCCATCCCACTCACTCACTCACATCAGAGCAAAGCAACATAAATTAGCTGAAAATCTATATTTTATAAAGACTTCTTCCGAATTTTTAGCCAATTTTAGTTAATAATAACAATAATAATGATAATAATAATACCTTTTTTACTGTCAGTTTGACAATAGTGTAAACACTAATAAACACTAACATGAAGCAATTTAAGAGATTGCATTATGAAATTCATTGACTCAAACGTTACAGGCGCATTGATTTTCGAAATACCAATCTTTTATAAGAACTTTGAATTAACTTGCATTTTTGGATGATTTCATTTCATTTGGAAGGGAATTCCAAATCTTCGGACCCAAAAAGCTTATAGATTTTAAACCACAACTTGTAGTTTTAACCTTTGAAACAGATAGAGTATCTATTTTTCGAAGATTATAGCTATTGGGTTTTAAGAGAAAGTAGTCTTTCATAAAGGCTGGATTCAAGTTGTGCAGAGTTTTGTAAACTTCTAGTGCTAGCAGCCAAATGGAGTGAATATGAATTGTAGTAGATTTAGCCTTGACTAGAAGTTTAGAATACGATGAAGTGTAGTCTGAGCGGCCTTTAGTTTGTTTTTGCTTCACAACACCAATTGCTCGGTGCTCCATGTATTTTGGGTAGGCATAGTATCTTTTGATTCTGCTAGCATTATTGATATCAAAGCTACATAAATTGCAACTTGAAGCCCCAGATTGAGATCAAACATTCACGAAAGATATCATGAATTGTAAAGAACAATAAAACTGATATCAGTAACATCGTTTAATTCAGTAACCATGAAGATCAATAAAATGAATTTGTATTGTTTTGGATTTCTACATGAAATATAATAAATTTTTCAGGAATCCTCAAGGTTACCTTGACAAAAACAATCCTGTCAGCGAAAATGGCACAGGTGTAATTTTTCTAATCCACTGACCTTACTTTTTCGTTGCCTATAAATAACCATCAATTTTTTTCTATTATGAGCATTATACTGCGATAGTCAGCCATCGCTGGCAGGGGTGGATCCAGAGCAAATTTGAAGGAGGGGGGAAGTTGGTTGTGGGGGCGCTAAAAAAAATTATCTTGGTTCTCATCCTTCAAAAGGGGAGCACAATTTCCAGAAAGGGGTGCCAGACTTGTTTCAACTCGGTGAGAGAGGGCCAACTGCCCCTAGTTGCCCCCCCCTTAAATCCGCCACTGATCGCTGGTATCCGGGAAACGCAAGCAGTATCAATACTCTAAAATCCCCATGGTTTCGACAATAAGCAAGCATGATACGGAAAACATAGAACTGATAGTGAACAAGTGTTCTTAGCTTAAAACGCTGTTGTTAAGGAACTAAAAATCTGATAAAGTAACCCTGTTATTTTTATGTTACACACTTTCCTTGGATATGCAAATAGTTCTCAAAGTAACAAAATATATCAGCAAAACGACTCTTGCAAGACCAAATTACATGACTTTACAAAAAGCAGTGCCTTACAAAATCGTTGTACCAGTGATGCTGGAACAACTGCAGGGCAAGAGGGCAAAGCACCAAGAAAAGGATAAAGTAAATAAAATTGCAAAATCTCATGTGGTCCCTTGGGCCCGCGTATGCTCTCGTGGGCTCGCGTATGCTCTCGTGGGTTCGCGTATGCTCTCGCGGGCTCGCGTATGCTCTCGTGGGCTCGCAAATGCTCTCGTGGGCTCACGTACGTTCTCGTGGGCTCGCGTAAGTTCTCGTGGGCTCGCGTATGCTCTCGCGGGCTCGTGTATGCTCTCGTGGGCTCGCGTACGTTCTCGTGGGCTCGCGTATACTCTCGCGGGCTCGCGTATGCTCGCATATGCTCCCGTAAGCCCGGTTCCCTGGGCTCTGCTTTAGTACATTGTTAGCTCTTAAGAGACCCTCCGATTTGACACTTATGTGTACAACATAACTCTAACCAGGGGTGTGTCGCTATCATATAGCAAGGGGGGCTATATAGCAAGGGTTTGGCGCAAAATGTTGCAAAAAACAATTGCAAAAGTAGGAATTGGCTTTTCCTCCGCATAAACAAGGGGGTTCAGCTCCCCTAGCACTACCCCCCGACTCTAACGGAAAATCGCATGATACTTAATGTTTCTATTTGTTGATCCAAGAGTATCTTTTCTATAGAAATAAAACTGTTTGCTCAATGTTAGAACAATATTGATTATCTCTCCATAGCCCTTCGCTTAATATTCGCTAACAATATTGAGCTCCCTGTTTTGTTCTCGGCAGCTGTCGCTAAAGTCGCGAATTACAGGTAGAGATTAATTAAAACTATTTAAAATACATTGCACAGTATAACGTTACATAAAACTTTCTAGCAAATGCAAATGCAAAGTTTGTTTTTGTTGGTCAGGACTGAAAAGGACTGAAAAGGACTGAAATTTTTTATGCTGTTCATTTCGCTGTAATGTTCGACGCTGTATATAGTTAACTTATTTTCAAATATTCAAAAATACCTGAGTTTACGTTTATTTAAAGCACGAGTTTGAATTTTTCTTTCCGGTCGCTCAAGTGGATTCGACGTTATCAAAATTCCTTCATTAATATCATCATAGTTCAACATTTCGACGAACTTTTAGCACCTGGTCGCCTCTAAAGAGCCTGCGAGCTGGGAGGCTTCTGATTTTTTCTCCAAATACTGTGAGGATTTTTTATGTTGTGTAGCAATTGAGTTTTGTAGAAGTTAGGCCTAATACATCTTTTTCTTGAAGGTTACTAATACATCGTAATTTCTTAATCTAATTCAGTAATGTTGATGATTCTGTCTATTTCCTGTGTTCTTACTGTGCTTTTTGTCATCACTATAGGATTTTATTTTTGACTATGCCAAAACAACTCGAATTTTTGGAGGAGAAAGCTACCTGGTCAAATTTAGAGTCGTGAGAAAAGCTATTTAGGAATTGTACTGTAAACAAATCGCCAGAAATAGTCTTTTTGTAAATGTCTCAAATTGATTTAATTCTACAATTTTTACAAACATAAGTTTAGCCATGACAAACAGCTTGGAGAAAGACCATTCTAATGTTGATCAATTTGCTCATTTGGAACACACCTCTGTCGAGATGGTTGGTTTACTTACAAAATTCGGCCTAAGTTGTATTTTTTTGACGTTTTTAAGTTGTCACTTTCAAATTTTTCTTTACTTACGTAATTGATAATGTGCTTAAAGATTTTCCCACTTAAGAAACCCTTATGCTTAAATGACAAAATGTTTTCATTTGTGTACACAATTTAGGAATCAACGACTCAGAATTCGTAACAAACTACACATTTTTCGAATGCTCTATACACTAAAATTAGCATTTTTTACACTATTACATAACGATCTGGTTTAGTTCGGATTTCAGATAGAAAACAATGTGTAAAAATAGGATTAAATATAATTTCACTATGGCTCAAATTAGTATTAATGACTTTTTGTAGTTACCAATGCTATTGAAAAAACCACATAAAGTTTTTGTAGGATTTGGTAATATTTAGCAAAATGCATGAATATTTAGAAAATTACATTATAGAAAATTAGATAAAACTTACATAGGCCTCTCAATGCTTTAACATTCTTAAAACCCATCTGCCTCATCATTTAAATAGCGTTTACAAGTAAGAAAGTTAATTCCCTTTAAATATAAACTCTTTCTTACCTTGATTTAGAAATGAAGTGTGTTGATGTTTCAAGTTTGCTAAATGACGATGGCAGAAGATCATTGAGCTCGTAATCTTTGTTTTGTCTATTTACATCAATAGAGTTAGAAAATAAAAACAGCTTTTTCCAACTTTTTTTATCCCTCTGAGCCGAGTGTTCCTGTTTCTTGAAAACACGAGGCAACTAAACTGAGTTCAAATTCAGCTGTAGGTGAAGTCATTTTAGATAACAAACAAGTGCAAAGTCACGTGCTATAATTTCATGCACCTGCACTGGATAATGAAATCATTAATTTCAGATGGGCCGAGCTACAGTTCTTATTTTTTATCTGATCTGGTAAAGCGCTTGAAAGCAAAGATTAATTTATTTCTTGCTTGCCACTTAGAATTCTTTATTTTTTTTCTCGCATTAGCTGTTCTGATGATTGCAATAATTGATATCTTCTATTTTGTCACTCCTGTGCTGCTGTATTTGGCCGGTTCCATAAATTGCCACAGAAAATAAACAGAAAATATATTTGCTGAAGCTTAATAGGTCAATACTAGACAGAAAACTTTGTTGCATCCTCACCATATATTGCCTGGACACCCAAATTTCGTATCCGCGGGCTTTTGAAAATTGGCCGCGCAAATCCCTCAGGTCTGACAATAGACGCGCGTTTTTTGAGTGAAAAGTCCCAAATAACCAACGCCTATAATCATGGGGGCAATGACATTTGACAATGCCAGTACTATCATGTCGTGCCCCTTTTGTTGAATTATGGATAGGATCGAGCCACATGACCTAAGTTTCTTATAAAGCGGAAATTATATAAAGGTCCCAATTTTCCATTCTGCGCATGCGCAACATATTTCGAAAGCTACGTATGAACTTTTTCGCACAAGACACAAGGTTTCCGGTCTAGGCGCAAATAATAGGACCTCTATGTACTGTACTGTGGCACCAGGTCCAATTTTGTCTTTATCCGGGATTTTTCATAACTAAAATGGTATCCTCCTTGCAACGGACACCATTCGGGCCAGTGTAACTGCCCGCTGTATATAGGTGTCCGTTGTATAGAGGTTCCTTTAGCATATGACAAAGCAAAATAGCTTAGGTGCACAAAATTTTGCTACTAGCCAGTAAATAGCCAAAATTGAAGCCTATGTGCATCCATGATGTATTTTTGGGTCTTGTTGTAAAAGTAAAAAAAATTACGAATGTTTATGTAGGACAACCTATAAACATTCTAATAATGCTGTAAGCTTCAGGATCCTGTTGCAAAGTAAAAGGAGGAAAAACGTATACAAACTACTCGCAAACTTAAAAAATTATATGCCATTTCTATTTGACACAATGCGACAAAGATAAGGCCTAAATTTGCAACTTCTTTATCTTAGTTTCACCTGTGTCCAAAAGTACTAATTGATCGACAAGAAAAATTAAGAGCCATCTGATTGACTGCAGTACAAAATATATCCTGGGCAATCTTCGCGGTACTCTTGTTTCTGCAGTAACCGATGTGTTCATTAATTGGAAAAAATATGTTACCATGTCATAATTCATAAAATTAACTGCAGATCAATCGTCGATATAGAATTGTGTTAATTCTATTCAATTTTACTGGTGAGCGTCTTAAACCATGTAGCATGGAAGAGAAGTTTTATTGTTTGTTGCCATGGTCTCCAAAATAAGTGCCACAACAAAATTGAAACGTTTGGATGAATTGGATCTTTAGGAGTTGTCTGATATCTAAGAATATATAGGAATATGATGCACGATAATAATAACAATTATGATGGTTGTCTTTAATTGTAAACAAGAGAGAAATAACACAGCTAAACCTTCAATAAAGGACACCCCTATCTTGCCGACATTCCAACAATGGACGGATACTATGTCCCATATGGTCAAAACACTATTAAGGAACTATGGCGTTAAAAAGATGTTTAGAAAAGTCTAACTTCATTAAATTGAAGTTCTAAGGAGAAAGTCTAGCACAGTGAATTCTTGCCTGGGTACCAGAGCTTCAGTGGAAGAGAGTGTGGAAGAGTGGGGTCGAACAGTTGCAGACCGATTTTCATTTTTCGACTCCACATTTCCACTATTCGATGCCACTTTTCCACACTTCGACTCGACTCCTCCTTGAGGCCGTGATAGCAAGGGTGTGAATTTTCTTATTCATCTGTAAAGAATTGTTCCTTACATTCTATTCAACATGTCAAAATATCCAATTTTGAGATAAATTTTTGGATTTCTTCAGCTTTAGGGCTAGTTGCCCCCGAAACACCCATGGTTTCCACTTCTGTAACATTTAGATCTTTTTTAAAGTACAAGATTACTGCCTTCATAAGATTGGTAAAATCGATTAGCTGCTTTGTTAAGAATCAAAACAGTCAGCAAAGCGACCCAAAACCGTAACTTTTTATAGCATTTCTGTTTAAAGCACGGTGCATTAGACTACCAAACTGCACCTGATGAGAACTTAAGTCGAGAATGGTTATTAAGAAAACGCAACCCACATAACCAAAACACTCGATTTTTTAACAATTTGACCTGTTATTATCTACAACTTGCTTATGATATATGCTTCAGTTGACAGTGAAGGGATGTTTTAAGAAGATATTTTCTTTCCTGGAAGGATTTAGGCAAACGAGAATCAGCTGCAGATCTGCTGATTCTCGCATTACTCCGTTTTCAACCAGAAAGCCTGGCATGAATCTGCTGATAAGATTTCGAAAACATTGAACTCATTCAGAAATGAGGTGAGACAGGAGAAAGCTCTACAATCAGGACAGCCAAGCCTTATTTGCATGTGACATCTATTTATTGATAGATAACACAGTCTTCGCCTTGAGGAACCATTTTATAAGGGGTGCAAAGTTGAAGAGTTTTTTATGAGGCGTGGCTAATGTATGACCCAATTCCAGAGGTACTTGTTGCATAAAGACGAGAAATTTTTAGCCTAGGGCTACATTTCCATGACTCCGTTATCAAATGTCTCCGTTTTCATATCACTCCGTTTTCGGATGATCTTGAACCGCCTCCATTACTCCGTTTTCAACCAGAGAGCCTGGCACGAAAACCGGGATGTTTCCATTACTCCGTTTTCGTTTGTTTTCATTTCCTTTGTTTGCATTCGCTTTGAAACCGAGGATGCTGTATAGATTTGGCACCACCTTTTCAATCACAGCAAGCAAAGTCACCAAGCAAGGCCGTAGTCTTCGACAGTCATTTGACATCACCAGAAACTGGCTAATATTACGCTTTTTACGATCTTGATGTACACTTTTTTTAATAAGAACCAGTAAATTTGAGTTCAGGCTGACTGTTCTTAATTTTTTCGAAAATCTGAGGCTGGGTTGTTCTTAATTTGTTCTTAAATTAAGAGGGTGTAAGCATTGCGATTGCTAGCTTTTTTCGCTCTAAGGAGGTGTTCCGGCCTCATTTGCCAACAAAGTGAGTGAGACAGCCTTAATTTGCTGACAAATTTGAATATTCACCAAAAAAGCACCCACGCATCGCTGAAAATCCTCGATTTTGAGAAAAAACGTTGTTCAAAATTGCATTTTGCAGAAGCTCAGCCTCAGCTTGTTTTTAATTTGTTCTTAACTTTTGACCAGTTTTGGGGCTCGTGTTCTTTTAAAATTGTTCTTATAAAAAAAAGAATGTAGTTCCTGTATAGCCAAAACAATACGAAATGTACTCTGTAGAGTTTTTATAGCTATCAGTTACTGACACATAGATATCACTGCATTTGAAATTTCCACTTCACTGTTATTTTGCGAGACTCCAAAAGCAAGGAAATGCAGAAATAAATGTTTACTTTGATGTTGGTGCCCAGTCGGTTGTTGTTGTTTTAGCGTTTTCAAATGTCTCCGTTTCGATCGTTTGCAATGGAAACACCAACCCAAAAATGGAAACGGGGCTCTAGACACAGCAACTATTGTTTATATTGGGGAATTGAAAAAATATCTCGCACATTTGCACACAAAAAACTCAATTCCTATGTTATTCAAGAAAGAAATGGTGTGTCTTGATATTGAAGCAAATGTGAGACAGCATTCTTTTCAGTTCATTTTGTTTCACTTTTTCCATAAAATCCAATTTCATTTAAGCCTGTTACTCAGGTAAATCATGAACCCAACGTCATTGCTCTTTTAACGCCTCCCTCTAATTTTCACCCAATAAATATCTAACCCTAGTGAAACGAACGCCGCTCTTTATAACTACATCGTCCGCCAAAAGTCTACGAACAATTATACTTTATCCTACCCAATGACTCCTCTTCCAGCCCCAATGCATTGTTGAGTCAGAGTGACGACACAAGGTTTAGCAAAATGTTCATCTTCCTCCAAACACACTTTTAAGGGGAGGGGGACCTTTTTGCTTGAAGTAGGAAAATGCAGTGAAAAAATATGCATTTATTAAAAGCGCTATCTCGATGTTTCAACTACTCTTGACAGCAAAGCATCCCCTCTACAAAACACCTTTATGATTTGAAAGTATGTTTTTATCAGAAAATTTTATGTTTTGTAGGAAGTTTCTGAAGAAGCAACGCTCAGATTTCCGCCAATAAGCCCCAAAATGCAAACGCCGTCAATTTTCAAAAAATCACCGCCCAATTTTATATACGCTTCCCACTCACTATATAGCAATCCTTCTCTGGTCTGAAGAGAATGAATACTGATTGAACCACTTTGATTAAAGCTCATTTTGATGTGTTTAATCGAAGAGATCAATTCTGTTATCATCTTGTAATTTTTTCTAGAAATAGCATGGCTGAATGAGAAAAGCAAGATAGTAAAGTCTTTGTTAATAACATCAAAAAATATTACCGTAAATCCAATTACAGTTATAAGAAAAATTTGACTTTCTCTTTCTTTGAATAAAAACGCCCATAATTATTTGATTAAATCGGTAATCAGGTTCAGAAAACGCCTCAGGATTTCTCCGAATGAAATTTTGTCCTAGTTGCTTTGCTCAAATTTTTTTGGCATCTTTTGAATGAAAGTTTCTTAGAAATGGAATTTAAGTTAAATCCTTAATGGTTTGGTCTTTTGGCTTTGTGAGGAAAAAGGAAAAGTTCAAGCATGATAGTAAACTTTTCTCACTTTTTAAACTCTTGTCAAGTTATGAAGTGACCTTCCTCAAAATTAGAGCATCGTTGGATTACCTTTATTCGGCTGATAGCCGTGGAACGGTGATGTCTTCTTGCCTCCGTCAGTAAATTTGAGCCATTTTTAGCTATGATTTTAAATGATTTTGGCAATCATTAGGATTATATTCATGAATTTCTGATAATGACGTTACTGTTTTCAAAGTGTGTTTATTATACTCTCTATGTTGAAAAAGCCCTGTATTTGCACAGAAATTGACAGAGGGTTCATGAAGATTCCTTTGTCTTAGCCTGATTCTGCCCAATAAGAAACGGTCAAAACTTGTGGTTTTCGTGGAGGGGGTTCGAAGTTGAGGTAGTGCGGGCCCCCTGTCTGGGTGCCCTGAGGGGTGGTTTCCTTGTTGGTGGGGTTTCCTGGGAAGAGAAGCTCGTTTTGGGTGACATATGTCAGTTTTCTAAATTCGGTGGTGATATCCCTATATTCAAAACCTCTTATGATTAGATTTTTCCAAGTGTTTGAGATGTTTGTGGAGTTCATTGTTGTCTGTAATCAAACGTCTGAAGCGAAGTGCTTGGCTGTAAATAACACTTTTTTACACGAAGGTGGGTGGAAAGACTTAGCATGTAAAAGGGTGCATATATCAATGGGCTTCACAAACAGGGTGCTTTTCAGGAGTCCACTGCTATTATTAAGATAAATTGTGGTGTCAAGGAAATTTATTTTTGCTCTAGATTGTTATGCTTCAAATTTAATCGTGTTGTGCACATTATTGGTATGAGCAAAAAATTCAGTGAGGGAAGCTTCATCATATTGCCATATCATGAATATATCATCGATAATTTATCTGCCCGTTGTGAGGTTGTTAATCTTTGGTTTGTGTATTTTTGGTAGAAGGTAGAATTCTGGGGTGAGGGCTTGGTTCAAGGAAATCATAGCATTGCTGTGCGTGAAGATTTCTACCTAGTAGGTGTGTTAAGAATCTGGGTGGATAGCAGATGTGTTCCATCGTGTTCTTGTTTACGGTAATGGAGGGGGTTGGACAGCTGATTGTTAGCTTCCTTAAGGTAAGCTTCTATAGACTATAAGACAATGGCTCCCCCTTTGTCGGCGGCTTTGATGTCTATTTCCTTTCGGGTGCGTAAGGTCTTTATGCTCTCAGTTTCTATTGGGGTGAGGTTATAGGGTGTGGGGTTAGCAGCTGACCTTGTGATCTTGTTGATGCCGACGGAGATTTTATCAAAAAAATTTTATAATCGGGGACAGACATCATTATCAAGGGGGACCCAAAATGATTTCTTTCTAAAGGGTTCAGGTTCCGTCCTTGGGGGGGGGGGATGGAAAAATTACTGCAGTCTTATTCGACGTATGAAGTCATTGATTCCTTGTACATAGACAGTCTTATTCGACGTATGAAGTCATTGATTCCTTGTACATAGAATGAGATCATTGTCAACCGGACCGGGACAGGGATAAACTATAGCCCCCTGTTCAGCAGAGATGTCTCACTTGTTGAAATGTGAGCTGAGGATAGATTGACAGTGTTATTGATTGGTTTAGTCGCAAGGATAGCCTTTTTGAGCAGCTTTTTATGTGCATTTTTAGCTAATTTATTGGTATGTTTTCTTCGCTTGGTGCCAATGGTCTTCCTGAGTTGTCCGTTTGGAAGCTGTGCTAAGATTGGCCTGGCCGCTGCCTGCTGGCCTCCTCTTTGTGAACAAAAAGAACGATAAAAGAGGCTGATCTTTACTCACTTCCATGGCAACGAGCTTCCCTATTTTGAAATGAAAGTTACATGCAAAAGAACACTTGAAAGTATCCTTTGAGCAAAGATCTTGATTTGATTTTCGACTTTAAAGAATGAATGAATTATTATCGCATGATTTAAAATGCGATTTACGAAATCAGGATGCAAGAAATCCGCGGAAGAAAAGTGATGTTGATAGAGACTCTCGGCCTAGCCATTACTTAGCAGAGCCATATGAAGAAGAAGCTTTATTCAAAAACCGCCCTCACACAACCTTGGTATTTGAAAGGCAATTAGACAGAATATTCCATTGGACTGCTGACTGGGATTTCGAAAAAGTGGGTAAACCACAATACTTATGACTTATAATTGCCACATAATAGATAAATAAAGTGCAATTATTGAATTGAATTATATTGAATGTTTGCTTGTTATGTCACTCACACAAGTTGTACGTACCATTTCCCAAAAATCAGTACCAAGATTTTCGATGAAAAATTCTATCATTTCATAGTTTTGATTATACCTTTTTTGACCTTATACATGACTTCCTGCCTTGATGCACTAAACAGCCCAATTTGATGACAGATTCGAATTTGACAAATGTGACGTGGCTGGAAATTTTTGATATATCAAATTGAAGAAAAAACTATCATACCTGAAGTTTGTAAATGAAAAAATGGAAAAGTTGCCAGTTTTTCTTGCGTTTGAAAATTTCCGGTGAGAACATATTTGTTTCAAACATTTTAGTGGGAAATTTGTAGTGGGATCAGTTGCCCTGCTTCACACACAAATCTTGCTGGCAGTTCTTGTGCTTACTATATCCCAAGATATTACTGTATCCTATAGTGTTTCAGTCAGCACATTTTACCAGAACAATGTTGAATAATTATTAATTTACTATTTGTTTCTATATCCAAACATTTTTATATTTGTTGTTTTTTAATTGTACATTGGGTGTGCTGTAATTTGCATGCTTTTGCTGTAAATAAACTTTTGATACTTTTAATTTTTTGCAGAAATGCACTTTTGTGGAACAACTTCTCCAAGTTTGTAATTATATGATCATCAGGTTTTTGTGGACTGTAAGTATTTCTGGATTTACTTCTAATTCAAATAAACTTTTAACTTTCTTATCGATATCTGTTATATTTGTAATAAAAACACTTTTGTAATTGTTAAGAGGTTTACATCGATCTTATTCCCAAAGGTCTTGTGGCTTTGAACTAAAATTCTGTCACAAGAAGACTTGGGCAAAGATAAGTGATTTGATACTGTTTTGCCTAATACAACCCGGCAGTGTTTTGATTTATCACATCAATTCTAAATAACACAAGAATTACATCAATTTTGCATTAAATAATGATTACAAATCAATGCTTCTGGTGATGAAACCCACAAAATGTACACCATATTAACTTTCTGTAGGTTTGAATTCATCAAAGTACCATATATGCTACAGTTTAAGACTGACAGTTTTTTTAAATTTTGGTTTTTATTTACATTTCCTTTTTTTATGACAACAGGTTTTGGAGCCACTGGTGCACAGAGATTTTATCTACAACAAATTTGATCCCTTTCCAGGCAGCACTTTTCATACTCTGTCCAGTTATATTACTAGAGAACTTTATGGAAGGTTAGAGAAGATTGTCAATAAATACAGGGTAAGATACTAACTTTTTATTGTCTTTCCTTGCAAAATCAATCTTGGTATACAACTCTATGCCATATTTTCTCTTTGGTTGCTATTGCAAATATTCTCTTTCTTTCAAGCCTAGAGTTCTTTCCTAGAATTTATCAAAAATCGGTTTGATTAGTTTCATTTTAAATTTTTGCCATTAGCAACAATCCTTTCAGAGGAATCAATTTTTCTTTCAGGGGAAAAACGTATTTGTGTGCTAATTTTGAAAGCTTTCCTCCTCATAAATAAAGTTTTGAAAATGACTACATCCCCCAGCCAAAACAAAATTAAGTTAACCTTCCTGATCATCAGGTAAATCCATTGCACAGCAGCTTGGAGTAGGGTGGCTACAGTTTCCAAATTTTTTCTAAGAAATAATATAGGAAATATTGACCTTAGTCCACAAAAAAATAAACTCCCATTCTTTTGCTCCAATGCAATTTTTCACATCAATGCAGCCATTTTCATCATGACAAAGCTTTCAATCTTTTGCTTACCATTGTTGTTTTTGTACAAAAATACTCCTTAGACGGCTATTATGAGATTCCTTTATGGCTAGTCTTCTAAAACAGCAGCTTTCCTGTATGAAGCAGATAGCAGACATCACACGCTAGGCAGTGCGAGCCTTGCCATTCATTCGTTAGCTACGCTCTCAAACTAAAATACAAGCATGTCAGAACATAGTGCATCTTATGCAGGAAGAATTACAGTCATCAATTAAAAGAATATTGAAATGATGATTCATTTGAAAATACCTTTGAAGAATGTTACCAAAAAGATAAAAGGAAATTAAGTGAAAATTGCTTTTTGAGAAATGCTTTTCTCATATCGGTCAGACTACTGTCAAAGAGTTTGAGCTCATATCTTAACTGTGTGTTAAAAATCTCAACTACTGACGGTTGAGCTCATATCTACAAAATGTAGTGAAGATCTTGGCTGCTGAATAACTTTGTTTGACAATGATATCCTTTAAAATGTCGCACCGAAATTGGCTGATCCTGTCGTCTTTGTAAATCTCTTTTCAATCATTATCAGAACGTCGTGAACATCTCACATTTGTACTGACAAGAAGCCGCGTTGTTCACTTTTAATTTTCTTCTTTGAAAGTATCATCGAAAGCTTCATTTATCAAAACGGCTAACTGAACTGTGTGAAGCCAGCTGCTTTAATTTGAAGTACTTTATAAACTCAAGTGTTTGCGTTTGTTGAACGGATCGTTTACATTAAATGGATGGAATCATCGATATTGTTTTTGAAGGCGTATTTAAGCTTTTCCAGGCAAGCAATGACAATCAGAAAATTATTCTTACTCAATTTCTCAGCCAGAAATCATAACTTTGAAATGCAGTCGTTGTTTTCGTAGGAACATAAAATGATTTGAAGATTAAACGAAATAACTGCAACACTGCATACTATATGTTTCTGCGATTTTATGTGCTATCTTCAATTTTTGCGGTAATAAAATGATTTTCCTGTAAGATTTTGAACTCTTTTCTAATTCAAAAAGCTAGAGAACGTCGAATGTTCCCTCTTTTGCATCTCTAGGCCGTGTAACAGCTCTCCTTCACATTGGCAGTTATTTCCCCCTTGGCCTTGGCAATTATATTTGCAAATTTGACAATGATATTGTTGGTTGCAAGTAGCAGGAAAGATCAATTTGTGAAAAGCGTTTTTCTTCGCAGCGTAAAAGAGGTGAAGTCTATCGAATTCCAAGCAGCATCGTAAAAGATGAAGTGAGTATTTTTAACTTTACTGCTTAGGCAGATTTCCTACGTTCTTAAATTTTTCTGGAAAATTAAAGAAAGATGTACAAAAATTTCGTGGTGGCACGAAATTTAAAAATAGCTTTGAACAAGCAAAAATTTTAAAACACACTTGACCTTTTTATTTGACACTCTTCAAAATATACAATGTCAAATAAGTAATCGAATGTTTTAAGCTAAGATATATATAAGGGGCCAATCAGTAAAGCGAGCACAGGGCTGGTTGCCCTATCAGTACCGCTGCTTGTCTATTGAATATTTTATCAATAGAGGATAAAGCTAAAAACTAACTTCATCTGTATAAACAAAAACAAAGGTGGTTTTTCGTTTTTATGCCGATGGATTCCAAAACTGCTTGATGGAATGTTAACCGAGCTCTGCCAAATATCAGAAACGTGTCTTCCTTCTCTATTTTCAATAAATACGGTTTCTGGGATCGTGTTATTTAGTCAATCTCACGTTTCGACAATCGCTAACAATGGTCTCAACAATCGCTAGTTTATTTGCATTCGTTCATTAGTGTCTTCTTTTATAGGCATCAGTGAAAGGATGGGCAAGTGAATCTGTTCTGCCCGTTATCAAAGGATTTGAAAACGAAAAGATTTTGGAATCAAGACTGACTCTGACTAGGTATTTGTCAGTCTACGTTCCTATTTTATTTTTAATTTATATCTATCATGAGTACTGCAAATAACATAATTATGATTGCAAGGATCCCTGTCGTCTCCCTTGAGCTTTTTGAAGCCGAAGTTGATCGTGGGATAAAACGTTTGTGAATATAGCTCCATTATTCAAAACGCACTATTTCTCAATCGTCTTTAGAACAAGTGGTGAATTTTGTTCAGTTTTGCCTCTTTTTTGTAATCTGTTTTGCATCTAGTGATTCAGTTTTATCAATAATTCCTTAGCGATTTCTTTTAACGAATAATAACATCTATGCATATATGTAAAACATTTATGTTGTTATAAGTGTTGGATTATCTTATGTCATTTATGGTATAAACTTTCTAATTGTCCCCAGCCAACTTTAAATCAACAATAAAAGCTGTAAATACTTGGTATACCTAGGTATGCAACTATGAAAGGAAAACAGTTTCAAGAAAGAGTTTTTTTAGAAAGAAAGGGCTACTTAACCCTAGCTCCACATCTCAGGGGTATTTTCAGTGTACAGATAAAACATGCTGGTGCTAACAGTTTTCAGCAATCCTATTGGCTATCATGGGTTTAAAGAATTTAGTCAACGATTTCTAACAAAGTTAGAGGGCGGTATCAGACAATTGAAAATGCAACCTTAATTCAAGAAGATCAGTGCTTGTAGGGAACCTGATCATTTTAACAGGGGTGGATTTGAGCGGCAAGGATGGGGAAGGGGGCGCTAGATAATGATTATATTTTGGCGGTACACCCTTCAAGTGACTGGAAATTGATAGAAAAACCAGTTTTTAAAACTCAGTTTTAAACTTTATAATGAAGAAGATAAGAAGATGATCACAGTAGAATTTTACATTATTTTAGTACTATTTTCTACCAAAAAGTGTTTTTGCCGAATCGAAGCAAAATTTACCAAAGAACATAAAAATATTAGGGGTGTCGCACCCACACCTCCCACAAATATTCACACCCCTCGGAAATACCGTCCCACCTTTGATAATTTTATCTAGGACGCTTTTGCTTTCCACATTTTTGCAGTAAGTTACGTTATTTTGCTGTATCCATAACTGCATAAACAGTTGTTTCAACCTTTTCTAGATCGAAGGCTTCTCCATCAGTAACAAAAGACAAATCTGCTCTACCCTTAATACAGTTGCAATGTAGCACATCAGTTGGAAGCAGGCACGCTTCTCGCAGACAGAAGTCTTTGAATGATATTCCCTTACGTCATCAAACCAAGCAAAGACATCTCCAGCAAGATGAACTTTACCAGAATAAACCACAAAAGGACAGAGAGGTGATATTCAGAAGCAGCCATGAAAGGTGGGTGCATTTTCCATGAGGTGTTTTATTATCGGGATAGCTGCTTCAGCGATCTTATACATTGCCATCTGTAACGACAAAATACTACTGAAGGAACTCAAATCTGTTATAACTAGAACGTAACGCATTATATGGTCAATTTTATTTTCAAAATGCTAGCAACAGATTATGTGGTTCCCTAAAAAATTCAGTAGAGAAATAGTCTGTAATTTGGTGACAATCTGAAGAAAAATCTTCAATAGGTACATTTTTCTTGGTTTCTTCTTTCTCTATATTCGGTACGAAGAAATTTTTTCTCGTTAAAAAGGGTAGTCGAATGCCCCCCCACTTGCCTCAGGAATTATCTAGGGACTGGCCTGGCCACTTATCTTGCACTCAATACTTCGATTCCATTCATGTTATAATCATGATTGCCAACATCAGAAGCAGAATGAGTATCATAAACTGTCGCCTGTCATCTTGCAACTTTCAGCTCTACCAGAATTGAGAAACTAAAGTTTGAAACAGCATTGTTTAACGTATCTGAAGGTTTTGTCGCCAACTGTTGATGAGATAATTGTAGTAACTTTCTCCAGTTTCAAATTGAGTTGGCTTGAGCTTCAAGGAGCACAGCAGAACGAGGGATCAATGATAAGTGATAAGCTCCTTAAAGTACAAAAACGGAACAATATTTATGTGAAAATTGAGTATAACACTCCAAATATGTAGAAGAGCAGATGTTAATAAATCATTCGCCAAACTTTCTGGCTCTACAGGATCAAGACCCCACGATATCAATTCCAATTTCAGCCAAAAAGATTAACCAAGGTCAAATGTGTTTCATTTGAAGTTAAGCCGGATTTATAATTAAGCTGTATATGCTCCATGTGTCTACTTTCATGTAAAATTGAACAAGTCTCTTCAGGGCAACCTAATTTCTTGATATTCTCATTAATTTTCAGAGCTAGTTTCCTAAAAAAGACCAGAATTGGTAGCTATTACTGCTCGTTTTCGCCATCTGCAAAAAGAATTAAATTAAAATATAGCATATTTTCGTGCTTTTAATTTCATCACACAGTCTCGGTCAATGACACAAGAAATTAATCGTCGGTTGTACTTCGCTCTCTGCTACTTGAGATTTGTGTTTTCAGCATATATCCTGTATCGATAATACAAGACTCCATAATCTTGTTTTAACTTACGTTATTAGATGAAATGATGAAATAACTTACTGCATGATGAAATTACGTTATTAGAAAGTTCAGCAGACTAAAAGCAAACTGATAGAGCTGTCATGAGAAGCTGGAAGAAGAAAGATGACACTGAACATTGGCACATTGTAGAGAACGATATGTGGTCCTATGGCTGATAAATACAACATTTCTTCCAAATCTTTGATTGGCAAAAAGGGTTTTGATTAAATTGAAATTCTTCATACAATAATGACCAATAGGAGCTAAAGAATTTGACAACAAACGTGCCTCGCACCTAGATTTAGGCCTATTTTGTACGTTTTGATCAACACTCACAATATAACAAGTGTAAAATGTGTTGAAAGAGAACCCAATTTTTGTTTGGAAATTCAATGCTGATAAATTTAAAAGAGAGGTCATTGAAAAGCAAAAGTTAATCGAAAAACGTTAATGCTACACGTTGCTTTCACTGTTTTGGATTGGTTTTTTTAAGCTTCAGCTCACTGCTCAGAGGTCTGCAATATTAAGCATGATGCCTCGACCAAACATATTTCATCATCTGTATTGTAGCACAGATATCTTGTAGCATTATGCAGATGTTATAAAAAGCCATGAAAAACATAAAGTTCTACTAAGAAAGCATTTCAGCCAAGTAGAGTAGTCTCTGGTATTCAGAAACTTTGAATTACCACTCCATTCCAAAGGTATTTTGAAAGTTTCATACGATCTTTAATTAAGCAACTGACACAAAAACAGAAACGAAAAATATTTCTCGCATATTCTATAACTTTGTTTTTATCTTTTGAATCTCTGGAAAATGGTAAAATTAAATACAGAAGATCGTGACCCCCAAACCCCCCACCCCCTATTATGATTTTGCTTCAGTATTTTAAATGCAACTGAGAAACGTGCATAATAAAGGTATTTTCATCAAAACTGGATATGAGTCACGACGAATATAACATCTTGAGAATAATGACAAGACAAACTTTCAAAATCAAATCGATAGTGCAGGTTTTTGCTTGATCTTGAGCAATTCTGTCTCAGTACTTAATAACTTTTTATCTGGGGTTGGCAAATCAAAAGAAGTTTCAATAATTTTTCCCCGCTACAGTGAGTGTATGGTTGCTTTCTAAGAGTGTAGTGGATTCTTTATAATCCTCTGTCATTAGTGTGTGAAATGGTGGTAACCAGAAAGCAGTGAAATCATGCATTATTTAGTGCCAGGACACTTGGGTCAAAATATTGGGCTATTGTTTGCTGCGCCAAAATCCGCATCAACATAATAGGGCTCAAGGAAATAATCCAAATTATTCTCGATAATTACACAGAGTTTGGGGTACTCAAGTATGATACTCTTTCGTTCTACTTCTTTGCCTTAATTTCCATTTCCATCTTTTCTGTTCCAGCAACCTCTGTCGCCTATTTGACATAACAAGTGTAGCATATTTTTTTCCAAAGCACTGTTCCCACCGAGAAAAAACCAGAAATTATTCTCCACGGTAGCATTTATCTCCCCCCCCCCCTATCTCTGAACTGCCAAGCTGTATTCACAAAGTCGATTTGCTTTTTTCAGTTAGTTTTTACAGATGGACAAGTCTTGTTTTCATACCTGCTGTAATTCAAGTATATCGAATCCCTGTTTTTCTTTATTTGAAGTTGCCACAATTTCTAGCTATGCATACTCAAGCTAATTAAAACCAACTAATTTAGATGACCAACGCTAAATATAATGTAAATAAAATGTAACTGATGTTGCTAACGTATTCCTTGCAAAGATTACAAGTACAATTAAACGATGAAAATTCTGAGATTTTTTTCTTGAATATTTGTAAAGTAGGGGAGTACTTTATCTTGTTTGGAACTGAGTTCCATATTTGGCTACATCTGTATGATACGGTATTAAATCCATACATTTTGTAATGTGGCTCCGCTGTTTTGAATTGGGAGTTTCTTGAGTTATATGGGCATTTATTTGTGGAAAATATTTCATCCATGAAAGGTGGATTCAAACCGATCAATATTTTGTAAATTTCTATCGCAAGATATTGTAAATTTTTTTTATGAGAAGTTATTTTTTTATTCTTTGTTAAAAGTTGTTCAAAAGTTGATTCGCAATCATCATGCAAAACATTACTTTTTCATTACTTTTTTTTGCAAAACATCCAAATGAGAGGACAAAAATTAAAATATGATAATATGAACGTTTTTATTAGAAGAATTTGCTTAGATTTGTTCATATACAAAGCAATCCTGGCTAGAGCGTTTACCTTTTCACCGGCTTCTTTACAAAAATCTTTAATATGTTCTTCTAATCTAAGTTGATGGTCTAGTGTTACTCCCAAAAGTTTAACATTTTTACTTTCTATCATAGTAGAACCCTATAATGAGGCAAGTACCTTCCTCCATTCTGAACTTTAGGTAAATCTGTTAGGCTTTTGCCTTTGTTGCCTGAAAGGCAAGTATAAACAAACCTGGTGAAACTGTATTTAAAATTTCCAGATTGGGAAATTCTCTTCAAAAAATTAAATGACCAGGGCAAAGCCAAAAAAAATTGAAGTATCTACCAATTTAAATACTCGTATGTTTATTTCCATTTCCACAATTTGCACAGTTTGCTTTGCCTGCAGCCAGAATTTTAGTGGCATTTGATAATTTTACAAAATTTACGAGAAGTGGGTCTCAAGGCTGACCTGCCCAAGATGGGACATTCTTAATGGTACATTTGGACTTTCGGCGGGCCTGATTGGTAGCCTAACATAGCCTTTGAACTTCTTAATGAAAGTACCGAATTCTAAAAGTCGTTACTATATATATTTTTTCATATTTCGATCTGGTGGCTTTTGATGCAAATAAAATTAGAATCGGTCTTTGCTTTGATTCAAACAATTTTCCTTTGGTACTTTGGTAGATTTGAGATCAGCTAGCATTGGGCTTGCTATTCACTGTCATCTCCATTCATTCGTTTTGCTAGCATTAGGTCGTATTCATAAAATTTGTTTTGATGTGGAAAATGCTTTAAGGAAATAAAAAATAACACTATTCAAATGCAAATTTTCGAAAACCCAGCAGCGAGTGCATTCTACACAAACACGCAGAACAAAGTGTGATTCTGTGGCATTTCTGTATCATAATTCTGGTCAGATTTTGTTTACCGTTGAAATTGTAGTTTTATTTTTTTGAATGAAGATGAGCGAATTTTCTTCTCGCCTACGCACCACGTTGACTTGCTGCTTTATGGTCATTTATCATATTTTGCGCCTTTAAAGTTGCACAATTCTCTCATTTTTAAACCAGATCAATTATGTCTAAGGAAATCGTTGCAAGATTGACAGGTGTTTCTTTTAATGCTTTTACAGTGTGCTTTCTAAACGTGACAGCAGCATTTTCGTCATTGGATGGATTTCATCCACAGTCTATTCGTCCATTTTTGGAAAACACCCACTTCTTTGCATTAAACTCACGTACTAAGACAATAAACTCACACAGAGTGAAATCCCACACAGGTGTCAACCCTCCAACAATTCTCAACAATTACCCTCTACGTTTTTATTGCACTTCCCTTCCTAATTACCTGACTGACAATTGCAAATTTTTTAGTATTGACGTTACCCATTTTTCTTATACATATTTCACTTGATGCAAGGGGTTCCATTTTTATACTACCTTTAAGTTTAAATGCTTCTTTTGAATTAGATTGATATCAATACAGATACTGCAATTTCAGGCCATGATTTTAACGGCCTATTATGGACAAGCCATGATATCCCTTGGGATCTTTAGCAAATGCACTTATGCTGCTCAAGTGCTGATTTTTACAAAGGTATTTTTACCGAACAAGGCTTTTCACTAAACTTTACGTGACGTAATTTTAAACGTTTTAAGAACTGGTAATATTTCAATTGCTAAGAGTAATCAAGAAGAATTTCAGGGGCCTCGACGCAAGTTGGAAAGTGGGGGGGGGGGGCAAGCGCAAACTAAAGATCTCAAACAAAATATTCAGGCTCTTTTTTGCAAAAATGCGTAGATCTGGGTCCTTTGAACCCCCAATCCTCCCCCCCCCTCCATTGCCGGAAGCCCTGAATTTCGGCAAAGAAATGTTAGATTTTTCACGTTTGAAAATGTTTTTTTTTATTTTGTAGAAGCCACATGAAAGTCTTTCTAAAGACTCGATCATGTTCTTCGCTGGATAGCTACAAAGAGTCTCGCAGAGATTGCAAACCAAGGAATACAAGAGTAAGTTAAAATTTTTTTCACACGCATCAAATTTGATGCTCTTAGTCAGTCATTATAATCAATAATGTTTTTGTCACTTCAATGTTTAGGTTCATCTCCTGCATTAGTTTTAATTTTTGTACGAAAAATTAGTATCGATGTTTTGATTGGCTGGTGGTAATCACGTGATTATAGTGTGATTAGCTGTTTTGATTTTCAATGTTTCAGAATAAAGCATTATCAATCACGCTAAACAAATAGTATTAATGTTTTAAAAGGTTTCTGCTCTAAATGCTACATATTTCGATTTTCGAAAGCTCGAAACACTGATATTTGTAGCGAAGTTTTTAATTTTTTACTATCGAGAAAAGAGTCTTGTTATATAAAAAATTTGAAATATATATTCTCTGTAACAGAGTCAAACTTCATTGTCAACATTCACAACGACCTTTGCTAAAAGTGAGACAGAGGATAAGCATGACAAAATTCTTATTCAATGGTTCCATAATCATTGGAATGGTGAGTCTAGGGGGCATTTTCTAGATAAAAATATTGGATGACCATTTTCAGAGTAAAACTAAGGGGAATCTTGTAGAGGATTCCCTCGTGAAAAACACTCGAGAGACCTTCCTCTCAAATTATTTCTATTGATAATGATATATACAGATAATCAATTTATGACACAGAGGTAAAATTTTATCTCATGTGCCAACTTAACAAGCACATTCATTTGCACCAATTGGCATTTTGAGTGTTTCAGCATTTTACCTGCTTCAGAGAATCTCTATTTTTGACTTAAGTTTAGAATGTCGAAAACTTTTATTTCATTCTGACGCTATAGTCTTATTAATTTTGACATAACTGTATGTATGATTGCAGCCAATATGTATGTACGTTTTTTTTATTTATTTATGAATATTTTAAAAGGATATGTACATTTCAGTTAATAAAAACTGCTATCAACATGTGTTCTTTAAAACATCAATTAAGATTGTTTTACATTAGCCCTACTCCATGTAGTTGAAAGGCATGAAAGAATTAAGGGATTCAGTCACGTGTCCTACACAATCTGTAATGGAGTTAAAGCTGTTAGGATATTGATGAGTTCTAATTGATTGTGTCATATCTTTTTTATCCTATGAGCTTTCTCTATTAAAGACTTCTTTGCTACCATTTTATTTATTCTCAATACCGTATTTATATGAAACTGTACCTTGACTATAAAAAATCAGAACATGAATCTTGTGTAAACTTTTGCTAATTGATTTTATTTTAAAGAAATGTGACTAAAAGAAATACTTTCTCGTGTTTTAGATTGGCAGAAAAAGGAATTTTTGCAGCTGTTTATTCAGACCCTCGATACCGGTCAATTATACCTTTTGTATGGGCTGATCATGGTAATTTCACGTTATCAATTATTGAAAATTTTCACTCTTAGCCATCGCCAAGCTGGTCATTCATTAAGGTAAAAGTAAGAAAAAATCAATACAGTTCCATCAATTTTGCACGAAGTTTCTGTATGAAAAAGATGATTGTCACGAAACTTAATTTGTAAATCGATTCGGTGTGGCATCTGCTTTTAAGCAAGTGCTATTAAGTGATGGGGGATAGCATCGCCCACATGCTGGCATGATAAGCAAAACGATTAGTATCAAGAGATAAACCTAGAGCTTGAAGATGCATCTGTAATATTAATCGGATTGCAAAATTTACTTTTAGCTAGAAATGCTCGATTCATTTGCCAATTTTTGTAAATGTAGTTTATTGACAATCTAATAATTTCAGAACCGTAGTCCTTGTTCACTACAAATTAAAGACAATTTTACCATCCAAATTGTAGACTATAATTTATGTTGCCTATATAAATTATGCTAAAAATATAATTCATTTTGAGCGTATAGTTTACATTGGGAATTTAATTCATGTTGCGAATGCAATTAATTTCTGGAATACTATTTATGTTGAGAATATAATTTATTTTGGGAATAAAATTTATTCTGGGAATAACAATCTTGCTGGGAATATAATTCAACTCGCTGAAGAGTAATTAATATCCCAAAGCAAAATCTTCAAAATTTTTTTAAAGTGCATTGAATTTTCCTACTACATTACACTTTTCAAAATGTTTTTCATGAAGTTAATTTGATTCAAGGTTCTATGACAAGCTAAATATCTAGGCTTTACAAGAGTGGAGCTAAGACTGGAAATCGCCCCCTGTCTCCTTTAAAAGGGGGGGGGGGGTAGAATCAAAATCATCATTAGCTAGTAAGGGGTTTTTCGTTTTTGGCAGCCCAAATGTACTTTAAGTTAGCTTGCGAGCCCCGATTACGATAAAAACAGTGACGTCAAATTTGATCCAGATTTTATTTCAAATTTCATTTGTAGGTGCGGCTGTATCGCGATTTTATTTCGCTCCTGCCAAGGAACCTATCCATCAAAGTATTGTCATATCTACCACCAACAGATCTGCTGAAAGTCGCAAAGGTATTGTCACTAATATGCGTCCTTTGAACGGTTTTTTCACCTTTTCTCCAACAGTTTCCACAGCATCTTTTCCATCGGTTTTTCTAACCGCTTTTCCTGTCTCTCAAGCAATTTCTTCACAAGTTTCTCTAACAGTTTCTCCAACATTCTCATCAACAATTTCTGCATCCGTTTCTGCAACTGTAATTGGAATCCAACATTGTCATACATCACTTCCAACCATTGTTAGCAATATTCCAGCCTTTTCAGAGAAAGTCATTAAAACCTGCTAATATTTACTGGAGCCGTAAAGAAACTAGAAAATTTGTTTTTGAGTTTAAGTTGTAAAGGAGGCCTCGGTTTTTCAAGATTCCAAGGCCAAATAGTGGAATCTAAGGTTTCTAAATATTTTTAGTGATTTTGTCTCTTAAGTGAAATTCTATGGTCGTACAAGTTTAGCAAAAATGTCTGGTGCTAATGTCTGGAACCAAAATGCCTATTTTACTGATTATTTCTCAATTTTGATTGTAATCCCCCGCAGGTGTCTCATAAATGGAAAGAGCTGGCGAGTGACAATGAACTATGGCGACTAAAGTGTCGCGAAAGACGAGTGGGTGAGATCACATGCAAATTATTCCTTCAAACCCAGCTTTTTGCTCGTCTTAGGAAAGTCTTACGTCTCTTGAAACCCTAGGAGCCCTGAGCAAATGAAATGTACAAAAATGGAACTTTCTTTGTCATTACTGTACTCTATTTTGATTATTTTAAGTTTATACCGTCTTTGTGTTGATTGGTTCAATTCTCCGCTAATGAAACTCATTATGGCCCTCAAAAGAAGAGATATCTTCAAATCTAGGCTCAGTCTGACAAATCCTTTTTCATGCAAACCAAGACTTATATTTCTGGGCTGCCAATTTATCCCTATATTGTGTGCACATACACCATTCGAATTTTCTTTTTCGTATGACTTTGATATTGTTTGTCTTCCTCAAGTACTTTTTGTTTCTTATAAAAGAAAACATTTTACAAGAAGACTTGCCCCTAGAATAAATAAGCAACAAACGAACTATGCATTCTTTGTTGCTGTAAATATTTTTTGCTGTCTGCTCTAGCCATGGTTTTTGCTTTCATTGTGTGCTGTCATCATTTCAGGTCTCTCCCAAACGCCTGTAAATTGGAAGGACATGTACATTAGGTATGACAACCTAGAGGAAAACTGGTGCAAGGGGAAATACACGGTCACTGAATTTCTTGGGCACACTGGAAGGTTTGCGTCATATTCTACTATATATGTGGACCAGATGCTGTTAACTCATTTTTTATATGCCTGGAAGCTGACTGTAGTGTAAAGGGATGATTAGTCAGCTAGGTTTGAGATAAGTTCTTGAGTCAGCGAATATGATATCTAATTATGCCTTCATTATCGAAGTGTATTTGATGTGGCAAGTACGAGTTAAGAATTTGACAGACTGACCTCGACCTGCGAGTTTCATATATTTCGTTGACTTTACTGTAAGTAAGGAACTATGGTTAATTTCAGTTCATAAATATTGCTAAGATGACCCTCTAAGTGTAGCCACAAAATTCTATAGCTTTTTGAATTAGTTAATCCTTCAAAGTAATCGGATCATAAAGCTCCTTTCGAGAAGCAATGGCGAGATTTACGTCTCACTTAGAGCGTTTGAAATGGGATGTTGAGGGGACTTTTACATCTATGTTTTATTTTGCGGCACATCCAGATTATAGTCGAGCATATCACTGTAAAGGTCAGGCAAGTCTGTAATTATGTTTTGTAACAACAGGTTTTCAGCACAACTGTTAGGCAGGTTTTTGTATAATTTATATGAATGATTTGGCACATTTAACAAACCATTTTCGCGCATCTATGTAACGTTTTTGCCATGTCAAAATTAAGTTATTGGCACATCCTTGGAAAGTTCTGGAACATCCTTATAAAAATTTGGCACATCTATATAAATTGTTTGCACATCTAACTAGTGGTTTCCGTATATCTGTGTAACATTTCCGGCACGTCACTATTTAATTGTTGGCACATCCATGTAGAGGTCCGGAGTTTTGGTACATCTGTGTAACGTTTTTGGCGCATCAGTACGAAGGTCGACAACATCCTTATAAACGCTGGCATTTTCAAATAAAAGTATGGCACATCTAAATTTAGATTCACTAAAATTCAAAATTGTTTTTAATCACCTTCTCCCTCGTCGATTATTGCACTTTGTTATATACAAATTTTTGGAACCTCCTGAGTTCAGCTGCATATTTGGGCCCGGGAACATCGAGTTTTGTCAAAGCATACCTAAAAGCCAAAGAGAAATTTGGTTTTTTAATGAGGAAGCTTTTACTATTTGAATCTTATCAGAGTAATCTTTTTGTCAAATTCTCAACGAAAGATGGTGCCTTCACAGCTTAATTTCTTTTCAAATCGATGTTCTGATAATGTTCTGGTCCAAGAAATTCGATAAGTTAAGTCCTCAACGAGATCTCAATCAAAGAAAAAAGCAAAATGAGAAGAACCTTCTTTACATGCTCTGCCTCGTCATCAATAAGAAGGAGCCTAAGCTAGAAAAGAGTTGGCATATATTGTAAAATGAGCTCATAAACTATAACGTGATTACGCGGCTAGTAACTGCAGCTTCGAGGCTGTTCCTATTACAAAGTGTTGTAAATGTAACTTCTGTGTAACAACACCCAGAGCAATATCCACTGTTCTGAACATAAGCTAATGCTGCTTAATTTTTTCTAGTGTTATTTCAGTCCAACTTTACAAGAATTTGCTTGCAAGTGGGAGCGTCGATAAAACAATCAAGTTAGTTTCTCTACACTGTTTTCCATTTCACAATATTTCGTCTTTCTGCTTTCCTTTGATAATATTTCTGGTTCCATGTTTTTGTTTTTCTGACCAATCTTTTGAAAACGTGTAGTACAGTGACCCAATACGTTAACAAAAAAATTAATCTTTAAAAACAGTTGGAATAATTTCTGATACGTCAAGATATACTTACGTTTTTGATTTCATTTACTTGTTCATTGAAGTTCATCCAATATTTGTTTTCCGCACTGTTAGCACCGATAAAATTTGATTTTGACCCATCTAGCCCCAGAAATCTGCAATAAATCCCTTCTGTTTGAGGCTGAGGCAGCCCCCTTCCCCTTTTCGTAGTTTCTGTCTATATTTTTTTCTTTAACAAACAGGATATGGAATACTGATACAGGGGAACTCGTTCAAACACTCAAAGGTCATTCTGTGAGTTATATTTTATTTGTTTATGCGTATCATCGACTCTACGTGCCTTATCCTTTTATATCTCTACTGTGCATTTTGCCAGACTTGATTATTTGTTTGCATTTTACCGACTGGTGTTTATTTGCAGCAATTTAATGGCATTAGTTAGGCTAAATACCTTTTGTGATATTACTAGAAACGTTGTAAAGAGACAGTTTAAAGATATGAGGATGGAATTTGGAAGGAAGATATCCCTACGAGAGAATAGATGAAAACTTTGTCGGTCTACATATGAACATATTGATTTTATAATTTTTCAATGGCACCCAACTTGGGCAGGGAAGTAGATGATTCGATCTTTTTATATTGCAAAAACGTATCGGTGAGTCGTGTTACGTGCAGATTGTTGGAAATCGACGATATTGTAAGGATGCCAACAAACGCACATTGCCCCGCCAACACTTGAAAACGCAAAAATGGCACAGAAAGATCGATACACCACTGTGCAACATTCAAAATATGAACAAGTCTGCCGCCTTTTTAACCTGATAAGTCCGTTCTATTTGAAACTGTTGTTTCATTTTGTAAAAACCTTTATTTGAGAGAGTTGTTTCGAGTAGTGAGCTAATCTTCAAAGATATCCAGCAACTTGCAGACTGATTTCTTCATTCGCTCAGGAGTTCGAGGGGATATTCTATGAAGAGTATAATAAGGATTTATTTAAAATCCCTTATTTTACGCTCCCCCACTGTAGACGAAGATGATATTCAGACTGATAATCTGGATGAGCTTAGAGGTAACTGAGAATTGGTTTTTACAGTATGTCAACGGATTTCTGGAGCTAGAGAGAACCACAGCTGCTGTAACAAGAGATTACCCTTAATTGTTCAAATTGCTGGTTTTCTCTGCTCACACAAATCCTTGGCAAACTATCCTGCTTCTTAATCAACCCAACATTGCACCACTGCATTAAAAGTTTGTATTTGCATGTCAAGGATAAATTTGTAAATTTGTCTAGCATTGAATATACGAGTCCTTCCTCTAAAGTACCTCTTTTTGTCTTAGAATACTAATTTCAAGAATAAAAATAACGCATTTTACAGCCCTTGATAACGTAACCTAATTGTTCTGTTAATGGTGCCATGGTATTTCATTTCATTTATCACTGTTTATAGACGATCAAACTTACATCATAAACTACAAATATAACCTAGCAGAATAATAATGGATTCGATTAAGTGAATCATCTATTTAAAGTAAGCGAATCATCTATGTAAAGTATGTTAGTATGTTAAGTAAAGTTTGTATGTTAAATAATTAGTATTTTAAATAGAGTAAGTATAGTTAGTATGTTATATAAACCTTTTCGGTCGTGGCCTTTGTGAAATTGATCTCCAAGCTCTTTCTACGCAATGACCCCTGAAATTTTAGGTTCATTTAGGGGAGGGCTGGAAGCGAAAAGTTGTGTTTTAAATGGCCAGCTAATTGATGCCAGCTCATATTGAAGCGAACTTACAATACATTAATCACCTCTAAAAGTAATTACTTTTACTCTATTTAAACCTCCTTCAATCAGAATTTCGTCACAAAGGAACATCCTTGAGTAATGGCATAGCAAAAAACTGGCCAAAAAATACCTTGAAAATGCTTTTCTCCATTTAAGATTCTGCAAATCAAAGATGTATCATTTTCCAAAAGATAAGGACCCCTTTTTGTAACATTGTTTTTATTTTGACTTTTGAGCCAACCAATGGAGAACAAAAAGTCGGTGCCTATGAAAACTTCTGTAAGTCAAGTTTGCCCACAGTTCTTTGACAGAATATGTGATAAGTAAGTTAACATCGAATACTTTAATGTATTTTCCACGCACATAATTTCTGACAGATATATTTAAGCATAATTATTGCAAATGTGTACAGCTATAACGCCAAGGGCCACAATAAACTTTAACATTGACCTATCCATTGTTTTGTTAGAAATAGTTGCGTTTAGCCAAGCTTTATTGCTAAAAGTAGCTGTTGATATTCAAGCATAAATATTTGCTTTTAATTAGACAAAGTTGCCTGACAAAGTATCAGAAACTTGCCCTCAGGATTAACAGAAATTAAGAATATTTAATAATCCTTCACAGGGATTATTCCTTAGTTTTCCATTGTTATTGAGTTTTTGGATCAACAAGGTACATTAAATTTTTATATGTGGTTTATCCGATTTCTGGTTGTTAATCCAAAACGAATCAGAGCAGTTACAAAGTTTCATTTTATTGTTCTGTTTCATGTTTCTTGACCTTTTTTCCAAATCTACCTATAGCTGCGACTTAGCATTTTCATACATTTTACAATCCCTTAATGCACTTTTTATTGAAAGTGGATACAGCAAGATTATGTAGTTCCTAGTTGCTGGAAATCCGAAACAACAATGCAATTAGATTTTTCTGATTCTCTGTGAGTTGAAAGATTGAACTGCTAGGACGGGGAAAAATAGGGGCATGTTTGCATCTCGTTTCTTGATTGTTTGCACAGCCGGGCAAGGGATCCTGGGAAGCGATTGCATCCTAGGCCCAGCCTACCGTTTGCATTCAGCGGCTCTTCATTCTGTTTGGAAGTATATCAATCGTACAGTACGGAATCAATAATATCAGCGATTTCATCTATGGGAAATTTGATTCGAGTGTGGAAACCCAAGAGCGGAGGAACGGAGGAGCGTCCAGCTGAGAAGAAGGAAAAGTGGAACGGGGAAAATCCTTTATCTCAGCTAGACGCTCCTCCGCTTTTCAGCTCAGCTCTTCTATTTCCGCGCTCAAACTTGTGTGGCTCTGATTCCCAGGGTAAGGTTCTTGTTTCACGAGTCGCTAGTGACTGATTCAGTAACAATTTACTGTAATCCTCTTAAGTTCGCCAGGGGTGCTCATTAAATTTTTAACCGGGAGCACTAAGTTTTAAGTTGGGTACTCATTACCTTTTAATTATTTTTCCAGATTGCATTGAGCAAAAAGAAAACTAGATTACTTGGAAATCAGCTCGACCTAAGCTTTTTTAAAATGTTAATCGCTATTTTTTCTACTCAGGGTCAATATAAATGTTATTTATTAGCCATCTTACCACAGCCATTTTCTACACTGTTCTCTTCCTAAATAAAGTGAATGGTCGGCAAACGGATTTTCCATCGCTTGCTGTCAAACGCAATTCATTCTCCAAATTTTTGGAATTTGAAGAAAAAATAAAGTACCAGATGGAAGACTGTCATCGGACATTTCCATCCATTTGACGTATGTGGAACTGGGCGCAGGGGCCGCGTATTTTGGCTCCGAAATAAGGCAGCGACTACCTTTGTGTCCACTAGTAAAATACCTTTGTGTGCAGTAATGCACCTTACGATAAAATGTTGTCTTAAAGGCTCTTGCGCAACCGAAATGCTTTGCAATTAAATTTTCAAAACCTGCCTCTATACTCAAAATATCGTATTGCATGAAAACATAAAATAAAGCCTTTTTTGTCTCGCTTACAACACAAACTACTGCAAAGTATGAGGGTTGCCCAAGACCCTTTAACAAGTCAAGAAACAATTCCAAACCCTTATTTAACTTGGAACCCCACAACACAATAATTTGCAATGTCTGCATACAAAGTCAAACAATTTTAAGCGTAAAATAATGCACGTTCCCGTACAAAATAATATTGGATTGCTTAGTTAATAACTTAAAGCAATTAGGCTAGACTCACAAGATTTTTACGTTTTTTTGCTATTTGGCTGAAAATTTCGTTTTTGCGTTTTCAAAGAAGCTTCCGTGCTCGGCTGAAATGCTTTTTTCATCAGGAATTACGTTTAATCTTCCTTTTAAACGCTACAGTAAATTTTATAATCCCTCTTCTTTCCTTCACGGTTAATGCACCTCTTGATCATTTGCTGATATTTCGACACCAAAATACTTATCTTTAAATGTTCTTCTATCTTCATTTTATGTTATCTTCATTTGCTGTTATCTTCATTTGCTGTTTTTGGGCTAACGATGTTTTGCTCTTCCTGTTTTTTTGAGGAAATGAGAATGAAATTTTTTTATGTTTATCATTCATTTTTTCTAAGTTTCGAGAATGCATGTCGTAATTGTCTGGACTGGCACGTTGCGTTGTATTTTGAATTTTTAATTTCCTTTCTCAAATACTACTACGTCCGCCACCTCCTCGTCCTAAAAAAATGTTGATTGTCTAGACATATATCATACATGTCAGAAGAACAACGTACTTACTGGCTGTCTCCTTCTTTGATTCATAGTGAACTGGCATTATTTCAAGGGGTAGGGAGATGGCTGAATTTGCCTTTGAAAATTGTCGTTACTGTCCAAGACTTATGGCCGGCATTTTTGCTGTATCACAAATGTTTTATCAGAGTTGATTTTTCAATGGCTGTCTCGCTATTTAGCGAAAATGATATTCACAGTCGGCTTAAATCGTAAGAATTTCTAATTAAGATCTTAGCACTGTTGGGTGCAAACTAATGTTTGAAAATACCAAATACAATTAAGTATGCTTTTCAATAATTGGATTAAATTTAACAATAACGATTGACATTTTTTCTAGAAAGGAGTTTGGGGCCTTCGTTTCATGTCAAGAACACTGCTTATAAGCTGCTCAAATGATCACACAATCAAGGTATTATGAAATTTCCAATTAGCGCTCACCTGGGTTTTATTTCTCGTTTCAATTTTTTCAATAAGAACACGCTTTATAAGAACACCTGAAAATTAAAACAGTCAGAGCCATGCCTAGCCTCAGATAAATAATTAGAAGAAGAAAAAACAAAATGTTTTCGTAATTTTTCTCTTGTGTTGAAAAACAGAACAGTTTTTAGCAACTAACAATCCATGCTGCTAAGAATATCATGCAAAACTTCTACATATCCGAAAATTTGATAGTTTGTGGCTGTTGAAAAATCCATTTTAAAATAAGAATTGAGATAAGCCTCAAATTATTCAAAAACAATATACTTTTAAAAAAGCAAACATTTTGGATCATTTTTTTAAAGCTTTTCGTCTGTTATGCTCATTTTCGTTTTCGTCAAAGTGATAGCACATGGATAGTTTTCGTATTATGTTCTGACGTTTTATACTCTGAAGAGTGTCAAACGAAAAGCTTTAGTAACATGTTTCAAAATGTTTGCTTTTTCAAAGCCATTTTTTTCTTTTGTACCACAAAAAGATTGTTAACAATAACATCGTTTATCGGAAAAATTATTTTGGTCTTGTAAAATTGTTTATGCATGAAAATCAGCTTAATAAATGTAATTGTTTTATCTGTATCAATGTTTTTATTTGTATGGTTGCTGTACATAAAGCATACTTAAGTTAATAGATATAACATACCATTTTCATTTGATTATACCATACGGAAAGTGCTTGAAATACTTTCATTCAGTTGGGAACTACAACCTGAAATAGAAGAACTACTTTTAAGGATATTGTGCAGACTATTAATGTCGCGGCAACCTTGCTATATTTTTTTCTGGATTTACCTCTGCATTTGGATATAACTATACTCTAGTCTGGTTCTTCCTCGCCTGTATTGTTTATTTGATAACCTACACATGTTTTGATAAGAAATTGTACAATTTCTCACTACAGAACGCTTCTTGTATAAGAGTTAATAACTCAAGGTAAAATATAGTGCAAGCTTAGAAAATTTGATCCAATGAAATGTCGCTTTATTAAAACAGACTAAAAATAGACAATGCTTAGAAAGGCAAAACTAGGGCGTGAAAGATTAAAAATTTCTCCAACAGACGTATTTCATTTCAAGGTACATTACAAATTAAATATTGGTAAATTTGAGCATTGATCTTGATTTTATTTTTTATTATCAATTGTTAAGTTTTATTTGTATTGATTATTAATCTTTTCTCTCATCTAGATCTGGAATCTTCGGACGAACACGTGTGCAAGGTTAACTTGCTTATTTGCATGCCAATTAGAAACACAAATTTTCTCGTAGCCTCTAGCATTGAGCAAGATGGTGCCCCTGTCTTCTGTATCTTTCTTATTTACACATGATACTTTTTAAGGTCGTGCTCTTTGCGATTTTTCAATCTCTGCAGTTTGCCTTTGTCACGTGGCTTGACATGTTGTCCTGCCATGATGTTTAATCTCAGTAAAACTGAATTCTGCCAACGTTTAAAGGGCTAATAAACAAAAGGCAAAAAGCAAGGTTATTATTGTATTCTTTTGAGTACATTTCTAAAAATCATTAGTGAACTCGAGCCCCTCAGCCCCCTTCCCCTTCCAAGATCCCTGTACATTCCCCTCCTCCTTCAAACAATGTTGTCATGTAGCAAAATTAAGAAATATTTTTGACAAACTTTTTATCATGACTTGTTTAATTCGCTATTTTGGAACCAAAATTGTTTTAGGAAGAGGGGGTTAGTCTATTAGCAACATGTAAGAGAAATGAAATTCTAAAAAATGTCCCGAAATATTAATGTGTTGCAAGTAATGTTTGATGGTATTGTACATCTGACTCGGTATCTATTCAAAGTCATCTTCCATCGAAAAAGAATGCTGATTTGCTCCATGTTTGATTAAATCACTACATGTTGAAACAAAGAAAATATGTAATCAATACAGTAATGTTTTAAGTCTTCCTTTAAGAGTGTCATTTCATGCATTCTTCATACATTATATTTATTAGCAGCTCTTTTTCTTCGTCTTAGGACATTTTTAGGCCACGATGGAGGCGTTTGGTGTATTGAACGCAAAGGCGATCTCTTGGTCAGTGGCTCTGTCGATAAAACGGTATGCTCCAACTGATTCGATTCTTTCCTACGAGATTACTTTATTCCTGGCCAATATTGATGGGACACCTGCCAAAAGCTGAAGCTTATTTGTAAAAATCTAACCCTATCCGTGTGATTATAAAAAGCTGTTTTTCCACCCTGGGAGAAGGTACCCAATTCTATGATATAGAAAGACTGTCGCAATACTGCAAAAACGTTTCAACAAGTCCCAACTAAACAAAAACAATCTGCTCCCCTGTTTCTAATTGACTGATTTCATACTTTTTCATTGAAGTCTTAATTTTAATATTAAACCATATAAAAATCAGCAGATTTCTGGGATGAGTTGATTTTTATGCGTAACGTAATGTAATATGCGTTCACTGAAATTCGTCTTTATTTTATTTCAGGCCCGTCTCTGGAACCTAAGACATTGCAGATTAAAAGCGACTTTCTCTGGTCACTCTGGTGCAATATTTGGTATCGATTTTGACCCACAGCGTGGATTTGTATTCACAGGATCAGCTGATAAGGTATTCATTGATAATATCAATTTAAAGCAGCTTTGATGCATGGCTATTTCAATTTATGTAAGAATAGAATGTCGCCATGATTGATATATAGCTTGGATGCCAGAGCCTCAGTGAAAGACTGGGTCAGGGAACCAGTGGGTCAGGGAAACAGTGGGTCAGGGAAACACAAACAGTGGGTCAGGAAAACAGTGGGTCAGGAAAACAGTGGGTCAGGGAAACAGTGGGTCAGGGAAACAGTGGGTCAGTAAAAATAGTCACTTCTAACAGTTGGCTGTCAGACTGGTTTCGCCCCATATCATGGCTCCTCAGTACAGCTAGACTTAATGAGGAGCCAGTGCTGATCTTGGACAAGCAATTAGGCTGTCAGTGGCAATGCATGTGGGAGGAAGTGTCGAAAGGAAAAGAAGTACGCAAGAAACTCTACATTATCTTTAAGAAATATCACCAAGAACAGCACCACAAAGCAATGCTAAGACTATCGAGACTGTCTTAAAGAGAGTTCTTTTCCTAGTAAGACAAGCTCACTTTTCGACCATCTTTTCACTGAGGCCCTGGAACCCAAGGTACATGATCTCTTTCTGATTCCGATTTATTCGACAATCAAACCCACCCTACATATATACAAAATGAAATATTCATGATATATACATGCTTGTTTGATATGTACAAAATTTGATTTCCTTCCTTCTAAATTTAATTTTTCACATTTAACGCTAAACTGTATTGCTTTTCTAACACATAACTTATGTTTTTGCAAATAAGTTAAACTTTTTAAGATTAAAATATTTAAAGAACTACAAAGACTATTGCGAAGGAGACAGAAAACCTCCATTTGGGTCCAGGGCTCCGGGACACATAGTGAGAAGGTCTCACCATATTTGGCATTTCCGGAATCTCTTTGCATTACGCCCTCTCATCGTTTGTATTGATTTAGAGTTAGATACACGAGGCATGGAGAGAAGTTCTCTCTCTTGAGTATAAATAATTACATATAATCATCATATATGTATATATTGATATATATTCTTATTAGAAGACATGTCTCTCTATGTCCCGTCCAAGTCACAACAAAGACTGCCCAGTCAGCAGCTGTAGTTATGAAGAATGTTACTACAGTAGAATCCCGCTATAACGTACTCGGTTATTACGTACTTTCGGATATAACGTACCGGTGTGCTTGGTCCCGGCAAAAGATGTGCTTGGTTTTAGTTAATTTCTACTTACCCACGTTACAACGTACTTCGGATATAACGTACTTGATACACGGGTCCCTTAAAGTACGTTATAACCGGATTATACTGTATTTCTTATTTTATTTTCTGCCAGACTATTCGCATGTGGAATATGGTAACAACTGAATGCGTGAAATGCATCATGATTTCTTCAGGTCACCACCCGGTCACTGCTGTAGGATACCACGAGGTATGCTATTTTCTGCAACATTAATGTCGTATTACAGGTAGCATACCTTACTTTATAATTCCAAAAATTTTCCATGACACTCTTCAATGTAAAAAACGTCATAATTTTGTTTTAAAACTCTGGGCTAGGGAATACGTGTACCCAGTTGTTCTTTTTTGTATAGAACAGGACAGTTGTTAGTTGCTATTGCAAGTTTCACGTTAATACGAGCATCAGGCAGTGTGCAATGCTCTGCCTATACGGCATGGGGCACTTTATGGCAGACCGGTAAACAGTAATTTTTATATACCCATTTGTGGATCGAAATAGGCCATTTGTGGATCGAAATCGCCGACTTCTCTACACAAAAGCGGTTCTTTAGTTTCCATTCTAAAACTATATTGTATTCTTGTATTCTTGGATTCTAAAACTGCTAGATGGAATAACGATCGGGCTCTGCCAGCATGTCTCCATTATAGCATCGGTTATTACCACTTTGTGCCTTCAATAGAATTGTCATTCGTTTTCTATAATCGAAAAATAAGGCCATACCTTTTGAGTTTTATTGAGATACCATTTAGAACAGCGCATCAAAGGGTCTTTTTTTCGATTTATGATTTAAACATACTTTGGATGTTAACTTGATTCTATTTTATTAATTTATTTCAATGCTAGGCCTGTTGTAAACCACTGAGCCTAACCTCGATTTACTATGGCTACCCACTTTGAACTTAAACTATTAAGTTTGAAAAGTGTCATAGAAGACCAGATATTTTGCGACGCCATTGTGTGTTAAAATCAATAATTTTTTCAACTATCTTACAATATCTATTGGTAATGTAAATAAATGTCTTTAAAAAAAATCCTATTCCCAAAGATGATGACAAATCATTGAATTAAGTCATGAGTATATCCCAGGATAAAACCACAAATTTTTCTCTAAATTTATACGGCTATTAATTGGATTTTAAGGACTTTTTCTAGTTATTCCGTCCATATTTTTGTAGGGTGTTCTAGCTTGTTCCTTTGGAAACAATTTGTCTCTTTGGGACACACACACATGGGAAAACATCGGGGACTTCAAAGGCCACAAAGAAAGGTTTGGTTTTTTTCTTTTTTCTTTCTCGTTGATTACCTACATGAAGGGTTGAAACTTGATTATTATGACGATAAAATCAGTAAAAAGTCTGTAAAAGTCTCAAAAAAGGCAAACGAGGTCAGTTTTTGGAAGAGGAAAATAGAAAACATTATATGTTCTACACTATGTGAATACTGATGATATAGGGCAAATGAATTCAGGAAAAACCAGGGAAAAGAGAGGGTGTTACTTGGACCGTTTTTAATCGTACAACAATCTGCTTGCTAATTCGAAATAACTTATACTTCGAAAGATTGCTCGCACCTGAAGTTTATAAGGCTCTTAGAAACCTCAATTATGGAGGAACATTTTTATACCTAAGGCAGCAAAACACGTTTTTTGATTCAAAACCTCTTTTAAAGATTCCATAAGTAAGAACTATTAATAACATTATCAGATCATTAATTTTTCCAAAAATCGAACATCTTTAATTTAGTACCAATAAAAATAGGAACAAGGTTGTTTGCCAGTAGAAGCCTCTTGTAGTTGGCATTTGCCATATTTTGCTTCTTCAGTACTGTACTTAAACTTCATTTACCACTTGAACAAGTTTGTTTTAGACTGATCATTAAAGAAAACGATTTTCCTGTCTATGTCAATAACATGTTTATGTCAACCAGGAATGGGTAATGGAAAATAATACAGACATGATCCTACCAGGTCTGTCCGTGAGGCTGCATAGAAACAGTATCTCCCTCCATCGTACGATAACTAATTGGAGCCTATCAGTTTTACGCTTTTGAAACGCTCTAAAGAAGATCTGTTCGCTCCATTTTTTACATCTCCTTTACCTTTCGGTTGGCCTGTTAAGCTAAATTCTGAGTGCGTTTATTTCTTTACTTATAGGATAGAGGCATTACAAATATCCTCTAGAGAAGCTAATCGAAAAAGGCCGCTGAAGGTTATAGTGAGTTGTTCCAGAGATGGGAAGATCAAATATTGGAATGCAGAAAGGTATGCTGCAATTTTTTGTTCTTGGTGAAATACAATTTTGTTAGTAACCTAGAATATCAGATGTCTTTTTATTTGTATTTATGATCAAATAAACCTTTATAACAGGGCAATCGCCTGGATATATTTTAAGCAGGCTTTATTTTCCCAATAACTCCGACAAAGTAGCGAATTTGCGAAAATTTCCCGACGTAATTGGTGCTTCTGCACCCCTTGCAATCGCGCCTTCAAGTCGGGCAGTGTGCAAGATTTCTTGTCTTCTAAAAATAAAGTTTGTTTCAAGGCCGTGGCGGTACGTAATGAAGAACTGGTTTCAAGGATAGGGGATATGCTTTTTTGAAGCAACCTCTTTTACATAACTATTTAGGGAACGAATTACCGCGACTAAAAATGTTTTTGGCATGGCTTCTGAGGCAGTGGGTGGTGGGTGGTGCAATGCGATTAAATACCAAACTCCCCACCTTAAACTATTCAAGATCAATAAGAACTTTTGCGTTGGGGTAGGTCAGGGTTTTGTTATATTTTCAAACAAAACACTGGTTTTTGAAATCGTGGCGCGGAAATATTGTTTTAGCCGCAAAAGTTTTAGCCGAGCAAAAGACAATGAAAATTATGGGCTTGCAAATCTTCAAATATGAACCAATAAATGTTTTCCTGGATTTTACCTAAAAACTTTCTATATTACAGTTGTGTTTGCTTGAACTCGTTCAGAGGCCACGAGGACGCTATAACAAGCGTGGTTTTTGACGAAGCGAGAATAGTCACTGCATCACAAGACTGCATTGTAAAGCTTTGGAATTTTCTCAGCTAGTGAAGAGAAACGAGCGCTGCAAGAAAGATACCTTCTCTATCAGTAGTAGTTCTAATGTATTGCAGTCCCAACAGATTGGAATACGACAAATTAGAATGTTGGATTTGTATGATGAAACGGTGTTTAGATTTCCTAGATTTCCCTAAGTATAAATTTTTGGAGTGTTTGGTTTTTCAAAGGTAAGTTATTACAGGTAAGCATATTCTAAAGCGAGCAATTATGACGGTGAGATATCTGACACTCATTAGCTAAATAGGTGTCTGTCTTTTTGACGATGGTGCACCTGTGAAGGTACCGTAAATTCTCGAATCACCCTACCCCTTAGTATAAGCCTCCTCGAATTATCCTCATCCTAGCATTAAAATGGCTAATAAAAGCTTACCATCTATCTAGTCCCAATCCAAACATGACCTAAAATTATGTATCCCTTATTCAAGCCTCCTGATAATTTTCAAAGTGTACTTTAATTATACAATAAACTATATTTACCTTAGCTTTTAACGTGTTTAGCCCCCTCCCAATTTTTTTCAGCCCTGCATCAACTTTGTAATGTGCCCCCTTGTCCTGATTACAAGGGTAGAGATTAGTATATATTTTTTTACAAATGACTTGTAAATTATGTTGATATTTCAAAGATGTGTGTTCATAGCTGAATAGATAATTCACTGCTTTGAGCTACTTTCTGTCTACAACCCATTGATACTAAAACCTGCTTCATCTCACAGACCTGTTTGTAAGTAAGGAATAAATTGGGCAAACTTGAAAAATTTTGAGAAAAGGTCAATAGAACTGAAAAGGTCCATTGTACCAGATATTATGTTTGTGGGCCTAGGAGGCATTGGGAAGGAAGGTTGCAGCCCCCCTGATCAGGCAAAATGTATTGCACTTCAGGCTCCATTCAAGCAGTTTAGCAGTGAAATTCTGGCAAGCCCCCTTAAAAGTTTTGAATCTGCTTTGTCCATGATTATGTAAGATATAAATGCAGATATTCACAAATGCAACAGATATTATCCACAACCATAATATTCCAACAAGGGGTTATGTTGTTACATGGTTTGATTGCTACAGTCACTACTGGCTTTGCAAAATTGCTAGTTGGTAAGCAAAATGGTCTAGCTCTCCATCAATAAATGTTACTTTTTAGGGCATTCCATCCTCATTTTAGAATTGTTTCAATGGTACCTTCTTATTTATGCCTTCTAATTACAATCACTTGTTTCTTGAACACTTCATTCAGTACATTTATATGTCATAGCCACAAAATTTCTATTAGGTATAGAGTGTTGCAATTATATTCATCTTCAACATACAGCCAAATCTGGCATTATCTAATTATCTAATTATCTAAAAACCGCAATTTTTACATCCACAGCATAAAAATACTTGTCAATACATATTTCATCTCATTTATAAAAACCTCTATCTAATTACATCCCAAAATCAACCTAGAAAGAATGTTTTTAGGGCCGATTCATCAAATAAAAAACTTTGCATTCTACGTTGTTGAATTTCTAAATCAATGCTCAAACGCAAGCAAAAAAATTTCAAATTTCCCAACACACATGCAAAACAATCACACTTCAGGCTCACACCAAAAACAAAAACACTCATAAACAACAACACATAATAATAGCTCAAGGGCGCACAGCAAACAATGTCAACAGAGGAAACAAGCAACAACACAAAACTCACAAATAAGAACAAAGCAACAAGGTGACTCTCCATGCACACAACACTTTACAGTGATATGATTTTTGAAGATTGTTTCTTGATTTAAATATAAATCTAATTTTCAAAATCCTTGACTTAAATCAAAACAAGAATATGACTTTTATTGGAAAAATACTGTATAATTTATTAACACCAAATCTAAATAGGAAGGGTATATAAGAATCATATATAAATCATTAAAACTGATCAAATTGGATCAAAATTTAGTTGCTGGATTTCTTGTTGCCAGATTTTTTGTTTCTATTTTCCATCATAATACAAAAAGTTCAAAAATATTCTTGCATTTTTTGTTTTATCTGTATCTGTCATGTCATTTCAATCATCTATTTAATAAAATCTTACTCATAACATAAATTTATTACCGATGTACTATATATATTTGTTTGGAAAAGTATAAGATTATCTTTAAAAATGTTTATTCTTTTGTTGCAACATAACTTAGATTGAATGATTCTCCAGCATAATTTTTCATGACAACTTTTGAAAAGCCTGCTTCTTTCAGCATTTGTGTAGCCAGCTCCCTTCCCCAGCAAGTACCCAGGCCAGCTCCACCTTCAAAATAAAGACTGACAGGCATGCAATGCATAAGACTATAGGTATACTTCAAAGTTGCTTTTGAAACATCTATATTGTCAGCAGGATGACTGTGTGCCTCAACATCAATCATTGAGAAAATCCCACCCTTTTTCATCATCTTGAAAATGGATGACAAAACAGCAGCTGGATATGCTTGATCATGGATTGCATCATGGGCTGATATGTAGTCAAACATTTCCTCATATTCTGGATAAAACTTTGCACAGTCTTTCACCAAGAAATTAATATTTTGCAATCCCAATTTATCTGCCTCTTCTTTAGCATGAGTTATTGCCTCTTCAGATAAGTCAAAACCATAGAATTGACTTTTTGGATACTCTTTTGCTAATAACAGCCCTGGGCTTCCCATCCCACATCCTACATCCAGGCAACATATACCTGACTCCAGCTTCTCATGCAAGCCTTCTATTGATGGTATGTGATGTTGTAACAATGTCATCTTGTGGCCATACGATGACAATGAGTCCATCCACGCATGGAATCCAGCATAGCTATCATATGATATGCCTCCACCCTTACTAAAACATGTTTCTAACTGAGGTATAATTGGTGGGAACATTGTGAAGAATACTTCAAAGTTGAATCTGGTATAAGGGCTGTTTAGAAATTTCCTACGGTTCCTTGGAAGGAAATAGGTATTAGTCTCTTTGTCAACATTTATCACCTTTGCAACTGCCAAGATTGCCAACCATTCTCTAACATATCTGATGTAAAAGATAAATTTTGATTATACATACACAATATGAAGAAACAATACATTTTGAATAAATTGATTTACTCTCTAAACAGCTATAAAATTAATAGCGCATCCCAAAAGACATTAAATTTCAGTGCCTGGTTTATTGGTCAATGACAGATTAAAACGCATAAAATTTGCGAGAGAGGCAATAAAAATACAACAGTATCTTTTGGACAAACCTCCCTTCAAATTTGTTGTGGCTGCGAGCACAAACTGTTTTGCAAAGGGTGCCTGCAAGACTTTTTTCATACGCAATGCGTAGTATATAAAATCAGGGCTTCCAATGGAAATGTTTTCAATGGGGGCGTGCGATAGCGCGCAAACATGCAGACACGCACTCAAGGAAGCCCTGATTTTATATACTATTCCATAAGAACTATTTTATAGTGCTTCCAATGGGGTGCATGCGATAGCGTGCCAGCGTGCAGGCACGTGCCCGAGGTTATCTTTGAGACCAATTAGTCGTGCCAAAAATTTGTAGCGATTGAGTCCTAAATTTTTTTCGAGCAAAAAAACAAATGGCAGCTGGTATTATTGCTTGATATTGTTTGATACAATAACTAAGGATTCTTTCAACTTTTTTAATATTTTAACCATTATTTTTGAATTTTTAATATTTTTAAACGGAAGCCTTCAATCAATGACCGATTCAACCAATAGCTTGCTGCAGCAACGCAAACAGAATAAATAATCATAACAAGATCTTTGGAAATTTTGTTCTTCCTAATTAGAAAAATCTATTATTCTCTTTTTGCTACATAAATCACTTCCACAAAGCTTAATACTAGAAATAGCTCTTGCTAGTACTGCCCGCAAACAATTAGTTCCTTGATAATGATTGTTTTGAAAATTAAGGTCAGGATATTCGAAGAAGACACCATCTTGGGTTTTCACAATTCTATATAAACAGCTGCTCTAGTTGATGCTAAACTATTCTTTTTATCAAGAATTTTTGGTGTTCAGTTTGCCTTTGATTTAAGTCCAACGCCCTTTTGGAAATCATGAAGTTTTTCGAGGGTTTGACATTTTTTTTTCGATAATCACGACAATCATAACTTTTGCTCGTACGGTCTCGAGTTTTTGGGAGAAAAGTGTGGCATTCGACTGGTTTTGATTCCCAAAACTTCGAATCAAAACTTCCATCCATTGCGGAGAACCGAGCTGTGATGCAGCACCGTTTTCGTGCCAAAAAAACCGAAGGCCTTTAACAGAGTCTTGGCAGAGCAACGCTCCGAAGATAATTCCCTTCCGCACAAAGAGGTGGCGGTTAACGACCTCCTCGACAAAGCCGATTGATTGACAATGAAATTAATTGACAGTTGTCATGGCAGCAGAAAAGTGACAAAATCTGCTGAAAAAGTGCTGACAACATGAACTGAAGCTTCCATATGCTACTTATATGCGGGGCAGACTATAAGCCCTTCACTCGCGCGCGTTAGCGCGCGAGTTGCGGGCAATTAACATAGTGAAACTTGTAGCTTAATTTTTTCTCTAAATTCTTAAACAATTGAAAACTTTGAACAAGTCTATCTAAGACTGCTCATTCAGATGTGCCTGCAGACGTAATTTGATTGGCACGGTTTGCCTGTGAGCGGTGCTCAAGCACTTTAACAAGGCCTGTTTTTGTAGTGATGATTTTTTTAACCAAGATGGCGTTTCATTTATATAAAAGAGTAATCCATATAGAGAAGCTGTTTCAGTGCATGGCAAATTGAACAGACAGAAGGATCACTAGCAGTTGTCACACTTGTGGCACTTGTCACCTTTGATAGCAGCTTTACCACAAGAATCACAGTTCTGCAGAAAAATCAAAATCAGATTTGTAGTTTGTTTGAAAAATTGTATTTGTTGTATGCAACAGAAACCTCATGTTTCCTTTTCTACAAAATTTCAATTCTTTTCACAGGAAAAACAGAAAGTGTAATCACGTTTGAAAAAAATTGCTTATGTTTAATAAGTACAAATAACGAAAACCAATTTCAAATAATTAATCAAAATTAAGATGATAATATATATCATTACAGACTGTTAGATAGATGGCTGCATGTCATAGCTGAAAAAAATCGAAGTGTCAAATCCATGTAGCTTACACCGGATATATCCGGCGTAGACTAACGATTTCCCATTGTCTTTCTATAGTTTATTGGCATATGTCCGGCGTGAGTTTCACATGGATTCCACCCTGGGTTATACATAAAGGTGAAACTAAAAGGTTGACCATTTCTGAGAAAAAAGGGCAAAGATGGATTTTTTTGGTAACACTGCAAATTAACAAAGTTTGGTTATTGTTCACTGTGAAATGACTACTTGCAGGCTCTCTAAATTATAGAATTACAAGTTGAAATTTGTATTTTCCTGTTTAGTACATTTGTGAAAGTGCCAGTAAATTCAGCAAGTTGAACTTTGTACTGTTTAGATGTTTTGCATAGAGGTACCCCAATACACTATGTAGGTTGAAAAAGTTTCTGATAAAAAAACCAGAGGTGGCGGCAGAAATCTTCCGACAGAGGGGCTGGAGCTTCCGACAGGGGGGCTAAAATGACTAAAATAAGCAGTTTTCGTACGTTATTTTGTCAAATTTGCTCCGACAATAACCTAAAATTTCCTCCGATGGGGGGGGGGGGCTAGATGCTTCCGACGGAGGGCTGTAGCCCCCCTAGCCCTCCCCTGGAGCCACCACTGAAAAAAACACCGAATTGTTACTGGTTAAGCTTCTAGCAGTTTTAAGCTGTCTATGAAGCTGAAAAGACGTTTGCTGGTGACACTATCCTATCCTATCCTCTCTTGAATCCGTCTAGCACACGCATGCAACCATACCATAGTTTAAGCTGTTTTAACAAAAGAGATAATAACAATAAATATCTAACAGTATCTTCCCCCACCCACCATTCAAGTAAATTAAACTCCTTGAAAATTTCAAATATCATAATTTCGTTGTTAGAAACGAGTCATTGCTGAAGACAAACCTCTCATTTAGGCCAGCTTTGTCAGCAATTTCAATCGAAGTCTTGGGTTCGTCAAGATTTGCAAGAACTTCAATCAGTCCTACACGGTAACCAATGGCTAAAGATATGCCAAGGGCATTGTGCTCTATTAATTTTCCCATGTTTGCCACGAAGGCCAAATCTTGATCGTTGTTAACTTCCTCATCACTTGACTTTGAGGCTGCCATCTTGCTTTCTAGACGAGCCCGGGTTAAAACAAAACCGGGTTAAAAGTTAAGACGAATTTTTCGCGCGAAGCGAATTCGAAGTTCAATTTACACTGGCAGAAATTTTTATGCGAATTCGCTGCGAGTATTACAAAATAATATAGCGACTGTCCGAAGATTTTTCTGAAAAATGGCTTAAGGCTTTGGGCTTTGGTCTAACTTTCAAAATCTGCAAACCACTTAACATCATTTGACACCTAAATATTTTGCCACCCGTTCAGAGTTTCAATTACAATCAGTTTGACTGAGAATCTTCTTCCCAAAGCAAATTGTGAAAAGAAAAGACATTAAATTTCGGCATTTTTTTGAATTTCCAAAAAGCGTGATTTAAATTGTTTTTCAGGGGACAAGCCCCTTTTTGCTTCCAATATAATTCCCCATTCTGCCATACATTGCATGAGGTTTTAAGAATGAATTATGACATAAATATACTAATTTGATAACGGGCTAAGCATAGCGGAATTTCGTTTTCGTCCAATAAGATGCTTTGTTTACCAAATTCGATAGCCAATCAGATCCCGCGAATCTTGCATGGTTTGTTTACATTTGTCACGAAAACACCCTTAGCTGTGGAGGGAAACCACTACTGGAATTTTGGGCCGCCACGAAAATATACATTAAATAAAATCAGCGAAAAATAAAAATATACAATGTTTATTAAATTTACTAAAAAACTACCGCTGCTTTTGAGTTAACTCGACGTAGTATTCCTAAAATCTTAGGTTGAACTTTTCCTATCTCTCGGGGGGGCTAGGCCCATTCTATCCAGCTTCCTACAAGACCAAATTTTAAGTAATAGGTCTAGAAATCTCGTCTCTGCGATCAATTTTACAAATGTCCTGTAGCTAATACGTGTCTTTTTTCCATTTATGTTAATGACCCTTACGGTCCATCAAAAATACGGCCCTCTGATGCGGAAATTGAGGGACTGCCCAAATCCAAGGCACCAATGCGAGGGAAGGGGATCTCCATCGTGGCGTGATTATGCAAATTAGAAAGCCTCTAAGTTATTACGAAGTCCACTCGAGATGGTAGTTGGTCTCTGCGACAAATTGGCGGCAAGTTTAGACGAAAAGCCAGTTTTATACCTAGCTAACAGGCAACTCATCTTTTTATGGCATAGCGATTAATTTTCAAGGAAAAACTTTTTTGGTGGATGCCTTTTGAGCAGCTGCTGCTACCTAGTACGGGAATCGTTGGACTTTCTGACTTCTGATATAATCAAGACGGAATTTAAATTAGCTAGTTAAAATACTCGAACAGTGTTGGAATCAGCAAAAACCGGTAAAGAATGGTCGAACAAATGGCTAGTGCATTTTTGGGATAGGTCGTCTCCAGTTGGCTATCTTGTAGATGAGGGCCTCTACACGCCCAGCTCGTTCTTCGTCGTCGCTTGCTTCAGCAGTGTCGCCACTGTATCCTTCGAGATTACCAGGAACATCGTGGTCCTCAGCACCGTCCTCATTCTCTGCACTGGAAAAGTTGGTTCCATCATTTGATGCTTCACCACGGCCATTTGTGTCGAAAACAGAATGGTTAATTTTGTCGCTGAGCATCTGTAATTTCTCTGACAGCATTTTTTTGCAAATGAAACATGTGCTGAGTGCAGGCAGAAGACATTGCACGTGAAAGGAGTGGCCACAGCTAAATACGCGCCAGGTGGGGTATAATTTCTTGCATTCCTCTTTATCGCATTTTCTATTTAAGATAAAAAACATTGATGGAAAATTTGTTAGGTTATATAGTTTTTGTTGTTTCATTTTTCTAATTATCATCCAGATTGTCATAACTGTTTGCTTTCAGACTTCAAATTGCATCGTGTTACTTTGATGTGGTTTTGTTACTCTAATGTGGTAATAAAACACAAAAAATTGGTCTAGAATTAAGAAAAATAAGAAGCAACAGGATGTGGTACTAAAAAATGTCAGAATAAAATAGTTTTGATAGTAGAAGTAATATATCTTTTATGAAGAGGTATACCTGCAATATAAATTATATATACTAATGTAATATTTCAACAAAATCAGATTCTTAAACTAAAGGGACTGTAGCACCATACCGATTTGGATTTGGAGCATTTGTCTCACACATGTAGCCAGTAGGAAGCAACTCATCACCTACAACTTTCTGCCCAAATAAGTTTGGTAGCCTCCATTTTGTTTCTTTTGTCTTTCGTCCTTCTGTTGTTTTGGTAATTTTTGTTGCTTGTCCCATATTAGAGCTTACTTTGGCAAACTTTGCTGTAAGAAATTCTGCTGCCTTAACCTTTAAATTGTCAATGCTCTTTTGACTATATGTTGGCCTCCTTGGTGGCACAAATGTTGTTCCAAAGTCATGGAGCTCATGCTTCAGTGCATCAATTTCTTTTGCCTTGTGTGATATTTTGTCAGCATTATCAGTTTCTGTGGTCCTAGCCCTTAATAACGAGTGGAAATTTTCAACAGGGTATTCATCAAAAGCTGGAAGAGAGGAGGAAATTGGAATGATGATTGGATGCCCAACCAATTTCCAGTACTCAATGTTGGAAAGAGCTATCAAAGGAGCCTTGTCATAATGTCTTCTCCTGAACACAAGAAACATTACCCAGCAACGAAATAAAGACTGATAATACTCAGTTGCCATATTACTTTTGAATACCAATGAGTAAATACTGAGTGTCATAGGAATGTAAGTGTCAAGGAGATTGAGTAATGTAAGATATTCAATATCTTTACAATTTGGAAAGGCAGCAATGATCTCATCCCTAACCAATGTCCAACCACCATATAGCACTTCCAACAAGAATGAAATTATGTATGGCTTAGGCTTTTTGGATAATGGATTTTTAGTGTCAAACAAAAATGAATACAGCTCAGCAAAGAAAGCATGAAATTTTATGAAGACAATTTCTCTTGAATTTAATGAAATATGCAATGGGCCTATGAAAGGAACAATATTGCTACATTGATGAGATAATGTATCATCTTTGTTATACACAACTTGACGAACAAAGAACTGAGCAGGCCAATCACCAACAAGAGGAACAACATATCTTTGAAGGTATGATGACAAACCATTTTCAAGCAGTATGGCCAAAGCAGTACGAAAATTGTCATATGATTTTAGTGGCATCTCTATTGAGTCAACTAGCTTGCAGTTATCCATAGATCTTAGCTGTGTCATTCTTTGGTAATCATGGATAAACAACCTATGCCTTTCTGATTCAGGGTCAAAAAACTCTGCTTTCATCCAGTCTGGCATTACACTGACATAGCTCTTTGATAAAAAATCAATGTTATTGTCAAGAACACTTTTCAAGTTCTCAAAGTTTGCTGGCTTTATATCATTGACTGGAAAGGTTGCATGGCTAATTGCTTCAACACTTGGGAATGACTTCAAAAGAAGTGTTGCCATGTGGGTGACTTGTGATGTTGCAGAAGTAGTGGCACGTCGATTAGCATGGATATTATGGTAGTCATCTATAAAAATTACCACCATATGACCCTTTTCTGCTGCATTTTTAAAAAAATCATTCACAGTTTTGCTATGATTTGCAGCAATGCCTTCATTAGTATTAATTACTGTGCGTGGGTGTGCTGTAAAACCCATATTATGGAGGGTTTCCATGCCCTTACTTGTAACCCCAAAGCCTCTTAGAGTCCTGGCAGTTGCCACTTGAAACCAATTAGCCCTTTGCGACTGACCGTAGACAAGGCTGTATATAATTGAAACAGCCCTTTTTTCAATCAATTTTTTTCTTTCAGCTGTTTGTCTGGCAGTTGACATAGCTTCTACTATCGTTTCAAAAATTGTTGTTGCCCCTGCATCATTACAAAGCTTTTTAAATTGAGCTGGATCAGTGATTGCTTCACCATTTTCACCAAACATTTGGAAACATTTTTCCTTTATTTTTGAGACTTGAGATTTCAAATTGATTCTAGCGTTACCAATTTCTTGTTGCTCAAAATTATCGTTTTTCTCCAGTGTCTCAAAATCATTGTATGTTTCTTGTGTGTTAGTTTCTTGTGTGTCAGTTTCTTGGGAGCTTAACATGAGTTTTTGGCTGGGGTTACTCAGTGTCTCCGTAATTTCTGAATCATTTTCTATGTCAGAGCTCTCTTTTTCATAATTTGGTGTCTCTTTCTTTTTCAAGATTTGTTTGAATTGGGCTGTTTCTTGATGCTGTAATAGTGTAATATTGTATATAACTTCCCTACAGTGGGACAAACTCTTTGCTAGTGCTATGTATTAATTTTTTAAATAAAAAAATGTACCTTATCAAAAAACCTGTTCTTTCTTTCAATTAAAATTGGACGAAAACGAAATTCCGCTATGCTAACGGGCTATGCTCGAAACGTCGTTTATTAATTCGTTAATTTTTTCAAGTATAATTCTGATTTTAATTGAATTATGACATAGTTGGCAGTAAACTGATTCCTAGCTACACAAATTTGAGACACAATTTGCTTGCCCGACATCTGTCCTGGCCGTGTGCAAATTCTTGAGCCATTCGATTAGTTCCTTGGGTAAGCTTTTTTGTAAGTCCGTAGAAAACAAATTTTAAAGATCGCACTTGCAAGGTACACTCGTAAACCACAGTGAGATCCAGGTCAAGTCACTTGAATCTTTAAGATGAATAAGCCAGTTTGAATAAACACAGTCATACATTTGATACATGGATGTGCCATGCAATATTGTAAATGAGACATACGACAACAACTGCAAGCAGCGATAATCGGCTTAACAGGTCAAGAGATTTTAAAAACTCAACTAGTAGTTTTGATAAGGAAGTTATGGAAACTTCCCTTTACATGGAATTTTTTGCATTTTCAAAACTTCTGCTAGTTTCAAACATGGTTATAATTGTGTGCCTTAAAAGTTCGTCTTTTTCAATTCACAGCCTTATTCCGCATGCGCCGTGGAAAAGTTGACCCGGCTCAACCCTCTTTCGCGTTTACAATACATTATTCCAAACCAAACGAGTCAGGGCCGAGTCAGCCCGGGCCGAGTCAGCCCGGGCCGAGTCAGCCCGGGCCGAGTCAGCCCGGGCAAAATCATCCTAGGCCGCCCGGGCAAAATCATCCTAGATCAACCTTGGCTAGGTAACTTTGTGTTCGCACTACAGAAGCTATTACTTGGGTTCGCTCTACCCCCTACCCAGGCCGAAACAAGGTTCGATAGTATAGTGTAGACAAGACATTTGACATTCATGACAGGGTCATACATAAATAGTATCACCTATAATTTAAAGATTTTTAGGCCCCCTGTCCCCTGTGTCACCATCTCTCTGAACCCCTCTATTATATTGCCACAGATGTCACTTTTCACACTCACCTTCCCTCCCTTTGCCCTTCGCTATACATTGATTTGAAAGGTAGAGGAAAGCAAAAAAGCATAATTTCTCTTTTATAAAAAATTTTTTGCAGATCTGAAGTTGCGAAAATTATATTTTTAATAAGTTGCGAACATTAAAACAACTCTGAAAGGTACCTTCCTAAGCCTGCCTAGTTCGGGATTTCTCCAGGCTCCAGGATTCGTCCATAGTTTTGATTCATGTTTTATCTAAGTAATCAAGAAAATCAACAAAACTGATTTCTCTACGACGCTCGTTGCTTCAGTGTTTAGTCTATAGAAACTAACAACTCTTACAAATCTCAGCGCGTTTCAAAGAGGTGGTGAATTTTTTAGGCAGCTACTGCGATCGGAGAAAAATGACGCACAGCGCTGACTTACAGCTAAAATTTAACTGTACCCAAGAGAGGAAAATATTGAATGGTGCAACATGTTGTTTAGAATGCATTGAGCATGTCGTGTCTACGCAAAATTGACTTGATAGAATGACTGATAATACATTTAGAAAATTACAATATGACTACCAGGAAGAAATATTGTTTAAAATACCTCGGAAAAGTGGAACAAAATTTACTTGAACTCTTCGTCCGACGCTTAATAATGAAAGCAAGTGAAATTATTTCCAATCGAAAGCCCGGTTTACACTCCAAAGCTACCAGGGTTCAACCTGTGTTGAGTTCACCCAGGGTAAACTCTCTTCAATTTGTATTCTAAACGGATGTGAGTCTAAACTTGATTTCCAAACGCAATTGTGAGTCAGCCCGGATTGAGTCAACTGTCAACTCTGATTCTTTCTTGAATAATTTTGAAGGTTTTCTGCCGAACGTTACGTTTTTTCACTTACATTTTTTACCTCCCCTTCCTTTCTCTTCCTGCTTTCTCCCATTGTTCCTACTGATTTCCTTCTCATTTCTTCAGCTTTTTTCATTTCTGCTGTTTGTTTTTCTTTAACTTGCTGGGATGCTGCTTGCTGATCAGCAATTGCTGCATCAAAAACCTCCCTTATCTTGCAAGGAGAACATGTTTTTCTGTGTGCTCAGGATTAATTCCACTTGCACTCTCTTCTCTTCTATTTTTGGACTTTTTGTTGGCGAAATATTCTGGAAGCGATCTCTCACTATTTTGTAGGATACACCAAATTTTGGCCTTTCTACCTGCGAAAAATTATCCGGTTTTTCTTCACCCATCGCTTCTCGGCCTACCAGGACACTTCGAAATGTCCCGGTACGCCCTTGCTTCGAGTTATATTTTTCAAAAAACTTGAAAACTTTCGAAAGGCAATTATTAATATTCGCACAGAGCTAAAATTGATTACAACCATCGATTGACCTCTCGAAAGAACGTTTGCATAAAAAGTTCGCCGTTGTTATGGTTTCGGCGTCATAGATTTTACAGTTTAGTTTAGCTTCACCATTAAATTGAGTAAAACTATAATTATGATGTATCAAATTTCCACCAGTTTTTGCCAATTCCTCATAATTGTATAATTTATTGAATGATTTTCCAAAATCTTCAAAAACGCCCAAGACTTGTGATTAACCAAGACTTATGACTAACGCAAATTAGTTTCTTCACTTATGACTAATGCGAATTATTTCAGATGCCTGATATCGAATAGCTGAGAGGGTTCTCACTTTTGAAGCATTAACTGAGTACAATCCTATGTTCTTTCCATTCAGAATGGTTGTATCTGGATAAGATTATCGATGCGTTGGCAGTTGGGTATGGGAACGTTCACATATTACCTAATCAAAGATGGAGGGAGGGGGCTCACACAAATGTTTACGGTCATAATGATCAATAAATGATCCAAATTAGATGATAATTTAGGGGGAAGAGGATTTTTCAAATGTTGCCTATATTTTGTAATGTAATTTGTGCATGTTCCTTTCTTGAATGATAATGCTCTTTTCAGGGCCTATTTTAGTGTCCAGTATTACACACTTTGTGCAGTATTAATTTAAAAACGTGCAGTATTGATTTCGAAAATGTGCAGTATTGAACTTTGGGATTTGAGAAATGTCTATTTGCGGCTATCCCAGATTCCTGCTTTGTTCAAAAAATGTGAATTTTCCTCGTCAGTTCGATATAGAGTTCATGTATTGTAATTCTCGTATAACCATCGGAAAGACTCTCTTATCAAAACTTAAAACAAAGCGAAATGCCCAGAACCAAAAACAAAACATCTCCTGTAAATGTCAGCATTGCTGTAAATTTCGTAATTTGATCTTGTCGAAGATAAAACATTCAGTAATGATTTATCAGTCGCCCTATCATGCTCTGGGCATCTAGCAGAAGCTCACTTAACTTCACTAAAATAAAGATAAAGAGGCTAAGAAAACTTTTTAGTCAATACATCACCTTTCTTCAAACAGACCCAACAACCGGTAATGTATGGGTCGTAAAAATCGGTATCACAGACCACTATATGACATACGGTTTTAGAAAATTAAACGCTAGAGTTCATGTCAATGACGTGAAATTTAAGACAGAGTCACGCAGTTTGAAAAATTATGACCGTGACTCTGTCCTTAATATCGGATGACCCTAATAGGATGGCTAGCAATTTCTACGATCTCTTTCTCGCTGTCTTGGATGTGCATGCCCCGTTGAAAAAAAGGACCGCTAAGACGGGGCATGCACATGTACCATGGATTTCTCCAAGCATCAAGAATTTGATGTGCGAGAGAGACCATATTAAGAGACGGGCTGAGAGAGGTCAAGCACTATGGCCAAGATATAAGCAGCTTCGAAACCAGGGGCGGTCTGGCGTCATAATCGCAGGGTGGCTAGAAAACTCAAGGGCCCGGTTTAGAACGTGGCAGGGAAAATTGAGCCACACCCACTAAAAATGTGGCTTAGAATACGATTGATTAAAAAAAATTAATAATAAAGCAATGCGCTAAACAGCAGCAGTATATCTACTTTAATTCGTAAATTCGGAGCCAATTGGATCCATACCTTTCCTCTCGTGTAAACAAGCTTTAAAATCCCATGAAGAGTTAAGAATCAAGATCAAAATTTATTTAAATTCTCAGAGTTTCAACTCTTTTCGAAGAAGTGCAAATGAATCAGCAAATTGGCCAATGACTTGCTCGTAATCAAGTGGAAAGTTTTATCTTCTTTTGAAATTATCAGTAGCGCAGGATAATCTTTCAAAGGAAACTTGGGTGCAGCTAAGTGTCATCAAGCATTTATACGCGTTGTAGAGGGAAGGGTATGCAGCTAGGTGCATGTTGTATTCACTAATTTTTTTATAAAAACCAGTAAATTTAGGTTCAGGCTGACTGTTCTTAATTTTCGCGAAAATCCAAGGGTGGATTGTCCTTGATTTGTTCTTAAATTAATAGGGTGTAAGCAGTGCGATTGCTAGCTTTTTCGCTCTTGGGAGGTGTTCAGGCATTATTTGTCAACAAAGTGAGTGAGACAGCCTTCATTTGACGACAAGATCGAATATTCACCAAAAAGTAACCACACATGGCTAAAAATCCTCGTTTTGGGTTAAAATGTTGTTCAAAAATGCATTAAACAGTAACTCAGCCTTAGCTTGTTCCTAATTTGATCGCAATTTTTGACCAGTTTTGATGCTTATATTCTTATAAAATTGTTATATATGATAAAAGATATAAATATATAAAAATAAAATAAAAATGGGCGTCAGTACAAAGTTTAGAATGCGCAGGGTATGCACAGTTGGCGAGTTTTTACCCTTTTGATAAAAGGTGTCGATGTCGACTTTGAGGTCCTTTCTCTCTTTGTGAATCCCCACCTTGAAAGTCACAGTTTTCCTCTCCATATGTTTCTTCTCTAAGAGCTTGTTCCTTGAGAACATCTGTTTTCAGGATCTCTATTTCCACCAGTTGTTGTTTTCACTTGATCGATAAGCTGCTGGTAGCAATTTGCAAATGCCAGCAATTCTGACATTCTATGAACTTGAAATCTTGAAAAAAGGCTCTTATTGCTCTTTTGCTTCCCCTTTGTGTCAACAAATCTTCCTAGCATCGTTAAATCCTGATACAGATCTCTGTAACCAGATGATAGTGACGACCCCTTGTCATCTCTCTTCTGAATTCCCTGTTTTGAATTTTACGTTATTTTCATTTACTGAAGCCCCCTCCCAATAATTGCAGCCTAAGCCTGATGTCCTGCAAAACAGTGTACTAAGTGGAAATAAATACAATGAGCAGAAGCCCCCCCCCCCCATATGAATTACGTTCCCACAGCACTGTCTCTGACAGTCAGATAGCCTGGGCATCGAGCCACATAAATTAGAGAGCGGAAACAGAAGATAAGAGTACGCTCATTCGCTTCTCTTTCTGTTTACGCGCACGAAATTTTGTGGCTCTGGGACCCAGGGTACACGTAAGATTGAACACATGGATGAAATAACGGAAACCAGGGTTTGGGTGGTTTGAAGCGCATGTATTTGGACTTTAAGTATTAAGGGAATTAAGTATTTGACATTGAGTTAAAAAATTTCCTCTAACGCGGCAAGGCCCACCGCCCCTGACGACACTCGTTGCTTGTAATTATTCTTCGGCACAATGCGTCCCTCCCCGTATCTTTAGGCCTATAAAATACCTTCGGGGTACACTTTCACGACAAAGATTTCTAATTTGGCCTTACCAAGAGGAAAGAAATTTGATTCATATCAATTTTCTTTTCTACAAATTCAATTTCAGAAACTAAATATAAAACATTCGCACTGTCCTACTCATATGCCATATTAGGTTCTAAACGACACATGGGCTCCGACAAAGGTTGAAAAGTAGGGGGGGGACCAAGGAAAAATTTAACACCCATAACAAAAGATTTTGAAAAAAACTGTATTGTTTTGCAAAAAAGCCCCCCCCCCCTTCGTCGGAGGCCCTGCGACAGACAGAAAAATTCAAGAATTATATATCGAAAATGGTCTATATTATTAGGTAATAGACTTAAAAAGTTTTTTCTAATCTATATGAAGATAAAAATTGCAAACACATACTTTTTCAACTCATGAAAACACGACAAGCCACTGCCATATTCCCCCCGTAACTGCGTAAACCAAAAGAGCCATAATTTTTAAAATTATCTTTAAAAACCCCAAAAAATTGTCATGTGTTGTTGATTTATATCTCCTCTAACTACCTGCATCAGAAAAGGCACTGAAATAGTTGTGAGCCACGAGAAAATTATTCATTAAAACAAGCAATTTTCCATACTGAACCCTAGTGCAGCTCCCTTGTTGCCGCTATTTAAAATGGCGGAAGTTAACAGCTTTGCCTCACTCGGCAGTACGCAGCATGACCCGAGTTGGACTTGCTACAAGTTTCTCTCTCTTTAAAGAAAGAGACTCTCCTTCCCTTCCATTTTTCCCTTTTCCCTTTCTGTAAAGAGAGAGACTTGTAGCAAGTCCGGACCCGAGTTAGACATCTAGCGCCTTCGGCGTTTCTATATCATTGCAAAACAACCGTACATTTTCAAAACGAGGACACTGGGACAACACAAAATCGTAAGATCTCTGATGTTTTTGGCGTTGTCCAGTTGTGTTCAGAGATCATAGTTCACCAAAAAACAATAGCAATGCAAGCATGATCGTTTTACTCTAAGTGGCAACCTTGTTTTCTTTTTTGAACGACAAGAAGAAGGATGCTAGGGTACGCTCTCCAAATGTTTATGGCCTATGGCCTAATTGTGACACACTCGTTTGGTGCAGATCCAGAAGCGCACATGTCTGTGGTAAGATTTCTCCAATATGCTGTTTTAGTTTCAGGAATCGCTTTTCGCAAATTTCAGAGTTTCGCAAAAAAATTGTGGTATTGTGGCTGGAAATTGGTGGTAAATAAAACGGAAGTAGGTAGACTTGTAAACAATTGAAATCCACTTTCTTTTCATCAAATTGAAAACTATTTTTCATTCTTCTAAATATCTAACTTTTAAAATTTCTAAAAATTTTGCACTTCTTGCTAAAGCCCTCCCAGTCCCCCTGTTCTGCTGTGTGTGTTGCATTGTTTATGCAAAATAGTGAATATATCCAAATAAGTTTTGACCCAAATAGTAAATTTTTTACTTCTGTATTAAAACTTCAACTTTTTGCCACAAACCACTGTGAAAACCCTTGGGTCATCTGCCACTTTAACAGCTTTTTTACCTAACCAATCAAAGTTTGAAAAATTAGGAATTTTTTTCTAAAGTCTGTGTGTAATAAAAGAATCATTTTTGTCATTCCCCTGTCAAGTATCTAGAGCTCTCACTTCGAGTTTGAGCAAGTGAAGGTGACTGAAGTGAATTATCAAGGCATACTTAGTTTTCTTGCTTATCATTGAGATAACAAGATTGATTATATTGCTATTTTACCACAACAATTAAGTTATTGTCAGGGAACTAGGGGTTCTTTTTATATATAAAAAAGTCCAGAAATTTTAGGTTGTATTTATTTTGCCACTTTTGAAAATTCACGTGTATTTTTTCTTATAATAGCCTGAAATAATAGCCTACAATGGATATCCAGTTGAAGAGCATTTTGTGCAAACTAAAGATGGCTATATCCTCGGCATTCATAGAATTCCATATGGACGCAATGACAAGGGTCTGAATGAATCCAGGCCTGTTGCTTACCTCCAACATGGTTTGCTCTGCTCCAGTGCAGACTGGATTGTTAATCTTAGAAATGAGAGTCTTGGTTTTCTATTGGCTGATGCTGGTTTTGATGTTTGGTTAGGAAATAGTCGAGGAAATACATACTCTAGAAACCATGTTTCACTAAAGGTTGACTCCGATGAATTTTGGAGGTTCAGGTGAGTGTTTTTATGCCATAATGTGCATTTTGATAACATATTTTAAAGCCTTGAAAATATCAAACACAGGATGGCTTTCTTAGGTAACCCTTTGAATCCATCTATTCAAAACTTTCAAATCATGGACTTTTAGAAATTAATTTTCAAGGTTTTCATCATTGCAATAAACTGTCTCAAGAGTTTTTGAATGTATTTTTATGTAAGAATATAAGTAAAGAACACAAATGATTAAGTAATGCTTAAAAAACTGTATTGGTTATCCCATATTACAACTCATGGTTTCACCAACTTGGTGATCATAATCCAACAAACAACATTTGAAAAATTAGGATTTTAATGTTGAGATTATTTATGCAAATTAAGTGAATATCCCATCCAACTCATGCTAACATAGAATCAGATGTATAACAAATAACGATGATGATAACTATTTCTACATCCCTCACTTTTTCTTCACCTGAGGTTCTTAGCTCGCAAGAGAACTATGAGATTTTTATGCATGCATAGGCTGGTTCATATCTTGTATCTATCTCAAATTTATCATCACCACCCCCATGCTGGATCTAGATTGACCCAGATGTAATGTCCATGGGTTGTAGGGTCTGGCATTCCCTATAGTTTTCAATATTTCTTAAAATTACTGTACATTTTTTTATATACGTATTTCATTTAAACAGCATTTTACTGCATTATTTAAATAATTTTTTTTATAACAGCTTGCAAGGTTTAGACCTGTGTATATGGGCATTTTGTTTTTTATAATCAGTTTACACTTATGAAAGAGCTTGCTGCTCTATGACATATTTTTTATTATAATGGGGTTGTGACAAAACATGTTACCTCTCTGTTTTTCAGCTGGGATCAAATGGCCAGTTTTGATCTCCCAGCTATTCTTGGATACATAAAACAAAACACAAACCAAGAACAATTATACTATGTTGGCCATTCTCAAGGAACAATGATTGCTTTTGCTGAATTTTCATCAAACCAAGAGCTTGCAAAGTCAGTGAGAAAGTTCTTTGCACTAGGCCCAGTGACATATCTTGGAAACATGAAAAGTCCTTTGAAGTACTTGGCTGACCTTGTTCCAGAATTAAAGGTTTGATTCTTGCTTTCGTTATTAAACCTTCTGACAAGAGCTCTGCTATTTATGATCAAAACTAAAGCATATCAAGACAATTATGCCGTTAAAAATTGCCTCTGAATTTGAACTGTCCTTTAATTCAAATCTAAATTGAAACTGTCCTTTAATTCAAATCTGACTAACACAGCCATTTCATTATTTCTTATTTGCTACAAACACCCAACATTTTTACATCACTCTACTAAAAAGGATCAATTGGGAGGTGTAGGTCATTGTCATCCCATGCCCAATATTTGGCTTTTAGGGCAAGCTTTTATACTTAAAAATCCAACTTTACATGCATAACTGAAAGTATACATTTAAATATATTAACATTTAAATATTTCTACGATACAAAAAGATCAATCTCTTTATGGATCTATCATTTTCATATGTTTTTAAACAGAGGTAAAAAAGTACTAGGTTATGACAAAGAAAGGCTTCAGCCCCAATTTGGGATTGGCCTAATGAAGCCTTTTGTTTCCCTCAACAAATTTTGTGACCCTAAGGTCGTGATTCAGTTTCAGAAGTAGTTGAACAACACAGTATGCTTCTGTTTTTTTCACTTAGTTTTCATAGATCGCACATTTTTCATCCCAATTCAAATTGTGAGGTTTATCATTTTCTGGTAGTTATTGTTCAAAATATTGGGTGTCAGAGACTTTATGCCTCAGTCCTGGTTGATCAAATGGTTTGCATCACATATCTGCACCTTATCCTTTGGTGAGAAAGTTTGTGCCAATATCATATTTAGTCTATGTGGCTATGATGTACCACAAATGAATGAGGTAAGCTCTGCGTCTCTAGAATGTATAAGTATTTCACTGACTTTATATATTTTACATATTCAGGTGTTACGGTTTTCTTTCAAGCATGTTATCTCAAGTTCTCTAAAAGGCCTGTTTATTTAGTACCCATTTTGTGATCTGTGTTATATTCCCAGCATTGCATTTTTTTGATGGGGTATTTGATGAGGAATATTTTGGTTATTATTCCTTAGCTCATACTAAGAGAATTGCCAGACCAAAAATCCTTCAAATGTATGTTGCAAAATGTCTTAGATGTTTCATGAAATCTTCAAATTTTGTTGTATGACAGGATGTTGTAGTGTGTGTTTATACTGATTAACATTGTGTAACAAATTTTTTGCAATACAAAAAAATAATCCTGAATTTATTCAGTCAATGCTGTAGCTATGTATTCTAGATATCAATAGGTGCTCGTAACTTATTTTCAATCATCATTTGACCTCTTTTAAGTAAACAACAAATTTGTTACTTTATACAGCTCTTGCAATTTTTATTTTGTAGACACGCTTAGATGTCTACACAACACACTCACCAGCAGGGACTTCTGTACAAAACATGATTCATTATGCCCAGGTAATATGAATCATTGGTTAACTTTTGTATTTATCTTTGAGCTGAATCATTGGATAAAAGGTTCCTTAAGAGCAAGAGGTTCCTTTACGAGCATTTTGACCACCTGGGACAAAGATATCTGTCTTATGTTTAGGGGTGTCAGTCTTATATTGGTATCCTTGTGACATTATTTTTTCATCAAAGCTTTCCGGCCATAATCATTTCTTTGCTCAATATGCCTGTGTTAAGCAAGAAACTCTATTTATGTCTATTGTTAACATTGTTGAATTGACACATACTCCTAATTTTTTTCAGGCTTACAAATCAAAGAAGTTTATGAAATATGACTATGGTGAAACAGAAAACATGGATGTCTACCATCAAGTAAGTTTTTTGTTGCATTTACAAGTTAATATAAAGATTACACTTTTGTTCAACATTGTTATGTTAACTGGATTTTATATACTATAATTCAAGGTTAATTGAATAGTGGGTCTGCAGGAGCCTCAGTCAACCAGTAATTCTACATTTAATAGCCATCTATTACATTTTTTTTGTCATTATCACTAAACATGCCAAAAGTTTCTATATCATAACTAGTAAAGAAATAGGAAGTCAAGGATAAAATTCGAACCTTTCCAACACTTGTTCGTAAGCTAGTGCCCGAAGTTTGAATCTGTCTACCACTCCGTAACATTTTGAACTTTCAAGATAGCCCGTTGAGATTAAGGCTCAAAAATTTACACAGCAAATTATATTCTAGTGTTTCTAGGGGTAATATATATCTAGAAAATGTTACCATGATAAAACGATCTTTGTTACTTTGTCAATTAGTTTGAAATTCATTTTCTTTCTATAGGCGACCCCACCTGAATATAATTTAAAAAATTTCAACGTTGAAACGATCTTGTACTCTGGAGGGAACGACTGGTTGGCTGACCCAGATGACGTCACACGACTTATAGCCACACTTGCCCCTAAAAACGTGCTGAAAAATAAGCAAATAGATGCATGGATGCACCTTGATTTTATCTGGGGCATGGATGCAACCAGTCTCATTTACAAAGATATTATCCATGCGATGATGACTGATTGGCGTGAACTAAAAAGTAGTAAATCAAAATGAGATGATATGACTTTTTGGAAGATGTCTTTTCACCCAAGCAAATAAATTTTATGATGCCTGAGAGAAAGATTCAACGCAAAATTTTGAATTGTAGTTTGCAGAATTATCAATTTTTACTTGATTACAGCGCCATCAGAAAGATATTTGAATTTTTCTCAGAGGAACAGAAACGCGTTTCTCCGATCGCCAGTTGTCAATTTTAATTGATAATTTGAACTTTTTTGACCGAAAACCTGAAGGATTCTCCCTGTTTCTGATGGTGCTAGATTCCGAATATTTTAATTGATCAGTACATGAAGATCGTAAATGGTCAATACAGACTTTAAATTATAAATATTATGTAAAAATATTGTATTCCTCAGTGTTTTATCGGTAATGATTTCCTATATTTAAATTTTGCAGAATTTATATTTCAACAGTATTTTCAACAGTATTGCGTTCAGTTTCTAGTGTAAGGAGTCATCTTCTTAAGTTATGTCTGCAACAGTTGCTTGGTTAGCCTTTGCCTTGAGTGATAGTTCTAATTTGCGGGATATTTTAGCTTCGTCATTTTTAGGGCCTAGTTTTTCAATCCGTCTCCTTTTAGTTATAAATTTACATCTTCACCTTACACACACACTTTACAGGTTTGGATCACACCAAGTCAGAGATAAACAACGACTTTGTTTGCATTTAGGCTCCAAGTAAAAGCTCTTCTTAGGTCATTAAGAATATAGAGATACCATTTTTTTGAACCTAGACCCTTGTGACATTTGAGAAGAAGTTCGTTAAAAACGTGACTGTAACTTGTGATCATGTGATCTTTGTACTTGTGATAATATGACCCTGGATTTGACAAAGCTATGGCGTTACTTGAATCCTAAATGACATACATGATATGTGGTTTAATATCATCGTAAAAGTGTCCTATAGACTTCAAAACAGTCTCTTTAAACTATCCCGGGTTCTTTCTTCTACAAAAATTAGGAAAAACTGGTGGAGGAAAATTTTGTTGCGTTGTCACTTTACCTACCTTTTGCTTATGCGCCCTTGATTCGTATGCCTTGAATACCATGCCCCTATCGGACAAACCAAGGTGAGATCTTAGGAGAATCTGCCCCATTCGTCAATTTGGGGGAATGATGTAATGATCAATATACTTAAGTTCATGTTGTGAAGCCGTTTCCTATAAGAAAAGCTGGGTTTTTTTAGTAAAAAAGGGATACAGTAAAAATCCGCGTGTAAGAACCTAGAGTTTTAAGAACCTTCTGGCAGAAATTTGCTTTTTTGATACTTCAAAATATAAGAATCTAATTAGCCAAACCATTACCAACAGGTTCTTATATGTAGGGTTTCACCATTTAATATTTTTTTTACCGAAAACAAAAAAGGTGACAGAATACTGAATTGTTAAATAAAACTTAAAGAGCACAATGTGTGTTAAATTTGAAATTATATTATGAAACAATTATTGCTACTATTAAATATACAGTATTGTATCATTGATCAATTGTTGGTGGACTTTGGCAACATTGGTACACTAATAAATATTTAGAATGAAGTACAGGCCAGATTTAATGTTGTTTTCTGATAATCAACAACAATATCTACTTTATAGAAATTAAGAACCTTTTCAAGAAGCAATTTAGCCTAAACTGTCAATAAGTACCCCATAATACAAGAACCTGTTTTGCCAAACTTTGAAAAAGTAGGTTCTACCACGCTGGTTTTTACTGTATGCATTTTCAGGGTCCTTTTCTGGCGAAATAAAGACTGTATCCTGTCACCAAATTTTTAGATAGTGTAATATTTCCGTTTGTAAGAAGGCCAATTTGCTAAGGAACCTCGTTTGCACTGTACATAAAAGATATGGCTAATAGTTATCCTCCGAACGGGTGCAATGGTAGATAAAGTTTGGTATGTAAGCTTTTGGTTCTAGAATCATAAGAAACCCAGTGGAAGAACACGCCATGGAATCCCGTACACCTTCGGTGAAAATCATATTATTTTATCTGAAAATTTCTAGAAACCCAATTGGTTTAATGGAAATTCTGCTCGTTTCTTGAAAGAGCAAATCATGCCATCAAAAAGACTATATTTTGGATTTTGCCAGTACCAACTGTTGTAAAAAATAAAGAAAGAAAATACAACCTTGGGTCTTGAAACTTTTAAATCTTCATTAGCGGAGCAGTTAATGCACGTGTTTTTGGTATTATATGGGTCAAGGGTTTTTGGTAGAAGACACAGTTAATTATGAAAGACACAATTAAATATTAATAAATAACTATCGAAGTTGAAAAATTAACAAAAATATCTACAACTTGTTAATGAGTGCGCACTTTTAGAAAACAAGGTTCCCATTGGTTTCGGCCAATTTTCATATTTTCTTCGTTCTGTTTCAGGCTACCAAAATAATTCAAGTAAAAACCAATCCTTAATTTCTATTTTTGTGGAAAATGATCTTCTATGTTAGCACTATTCTATGTTAGCACTATTCTAAAGTTAGCACATATTCTATGTTAGCACTATTCTAAATTACATATTCTCATTTCCAGAAGCAACAAAAAGAAACTAGACATGTTGTCATATTAGAAATTAAAAACACAGTTACAAAGTAAACATTGATTCCACTATTTGCGACAATTTCTGAAATACACTCTTTTTTTATAAGAACAATTTTATAAGAACACGAGCCTCAAAATTGGTCGAAAGTTAAGAACAAATTAAAAATAAGCTGAGGCTGAGCTTCTACAAAATGCAATTTTGAACAACTTTTTTCTCAAAATCGAGGATTTTTAGCGATGAGTGGGTGCTTTTTCGTCGAATATTCAAACTTTTCGGCAAATGAAGGTTGTCTCACTTACTTTTTTGGCAAATGAGGCCTGTTACTCGTTCTTTGATGTTATCTCTATGGTCAAAACAGTAAGACTACTTTATTCTAACTTGGATTACATTATATTGAACACAAACAAAGGAACACTGTGAAACATCACATAACACGATGACAGTGACGCACATTTCCCGGAAAGGAGGTTACTAACACAACAGCGCGACAAACAAACATGCGACATTAACACGCAATAGTAACTGAAGTTTACAAATCCTAAAAACGCACTTACTCTTACTCTCTTACTCTCACACACTTACTCTCAAATTCTTAATTGTAGGGGAGGGGGGTTCCATTTTTCAGAAATTTTGCATAACCATTTCCATTTATCAACTCCCTCCCTAATTATGTATTTCATGCAAAATTCCTATTTTAACAACCCCCAATTTAAACATATTTTTGGAAAATCTAAGCATTTCAATCTATTATGATTCACCCATTTTAGGGTTTTTAAAAAAATGCCAATTCCCCTCAGGAACTTGAGAGTATATTCGATCTAGCGAGACTCCACCCTTCTGCCACCCCTTTCGGCCTTCTGCCACCCCTTCCTTGTCTTTTTTCGTGACAAGAAAGGCTTTTGTTGTAAAAACAATCTTTTTGGCTTTCGTGCCACAGAGATGACAATCTGATGACTTTTTGTCCCTATAAAACCTATTGAGCCCTATTGTTCTTGGAATTCGATCTTTCAAAGTAAATGTCCCAGTAACAATGAGCAGCCATACAGATGTCACCTGCTAAGCACATGACAGTTGCATAAATTCGAACATCACGCTCAGATGTTGTGTGTCTAGGTTTGTTTGGCAGTGGAGCAGCATCAAGGCAGCCTGTGAACTTGTAAACAAAGAAGATGGAACGTCTGGTTATTCTAGCTCTTGCTTTGTGCCTTGTTTCACATTGCACCGCCAAGCCATACCATTTGCACGATGTCCCTCCTGAGGCAAAACTAAATACGGTATGCTCGCAAATTTTAACTTTTCATTTGCAAAACAATGTTTCGTAACGAAACGGAAGTTACAAATTCTTCGAAATTAACGCTGCACGCAAGAATGCAAACTACAGACTGTGATTTTGAGCTCTGTTCCCTCTTTGCACTGTCTTTCAAGTAGAAATGGAAAATATGTTTTTTTGAATTTGATATTTTCAAGCCTATTAGTTTATATCATGTAAGCAATATGGTCCTATAACTCTGTGAGTCTAGTGTAAATTGCCATGTTGCTTTTTGCGGCCTAGGAAAGTCTTTAAAAATGCTATGCTTACAATATAAACTGTTAAAATATTCTTTATACATCGGTGTATCACGGCCACCCTGTAATCCAACCTCAGGTAAAATAACAGAAGAAAAACAATGTTTTTAAAAATCTCTCTTATGTTGATTAACCGTGCTACATATTTTTTTATAAGAAGCAAAGTTCGATGTTAAGTACTCCAGTTTCTTAATGTTCTGGAAATTTCAATACTCACTGTTTCTTAAGAGTTTCTTTATTATGAGTTCATATGAATGATGTTATGAAATCTTCGTGACCTTTTTTCACGTCAAGAGATTCGCTTCCATTCCGATGCTGTATTAGATGTGGGAAGTACATTTTCATCCCTTGTGTCTTGAGTTCTAGGCCAACAGGGCAATCATGTTCTTGGATTTTAGAAAATTTTATTTTTCTCAGCTTTATCACGATTTAATATTCCCTTATTTTTTTTGCTTCGAGTACTGAAGTTTCTTAATTTTTTCTGACTGTCCAGTACTCGTTTTTTATAGCCAGTTTCTTATAAAGAAATGAGTGTATTATAAATGTCATACAAAATTGTTATTAAATGATCTTATAAACAATTTATAGTATGAAGATGCAGAATAGTTAATATTGGGATAAGAAAAACTTTAAGAATACTTGAGCCTTAGATTATCCAGAAAAATAAGAACATGGACCCTCAGCGCAAATTATATCATTTAACTTTGGAAAGTTTTCTTCTAACGTGGAAGCTCGTGTCCGTATCACCAACCCCAGCATCGTTGGGATAAAATTATTTCTGGGGGGGGGGGGGTGGTCCTTGCTGCCCATTCAGTACGCTTTTAAAAAATGAAGTTAACTTGTTCTTGACGAAGGGAACAAACCTGAGCACAAAGGTTCTTGGCGATTTATAAGTTACCTCAAGGCCTAGTTCCAGAAGTTCCTTATTCGTAGACCTCAAATCGTCAAATTTTAGTACCAAAAGTTCGTTAATAGTTCCTTAATTTTCACTGCACATTAAATGCCATAAAACAGAAACAGAAAACATATAGTACAGAAACAGGAAAAACATAAAAATTTTGAATTTTGCCTTCGCTTGTGGCTAGAACTCAGGAGCAAAAACACAAAGAAGGCTATGTACAGTTAAAATCTCACTTTCCACGAGGCAAATTTCGCACCGAATTCGCTGCGAATTCGCTTCGAAATTGTCTTTGATTTCCACGAGACTGCAAAATCGCTGCAAAATTATATTATAATTTCCGCCAAAACTCAACTTTAAGGCGCCCATTTTCAGAACTGCACGCATGGCGAATGTTCCAAGATTGTTTTCTTACAAATCAAGCGAATTTACCATGCTTTGACTGGTTATTAGGTGCTGCGAAATATTTCGCCGAGAAAAAGTAGAACTCTTTTCTACTTTCTTGCGAATTCGCTGCAGTTTAATTTTTTCTCTACGCTCTTTTCTTAATTCTACCATGCTTTAATGGTTGTATCTGGCGCTGTCTGATGAAAGGTGAATTGTATAGTAAATTGTTGTCCGAAGCCGCTTGTTGTGTGCACTAATTATCAAAAACGTTTTTATTTTGTCTTTATTTCCGGAGACAAGCTGTTGACAAAGTTTTGCTGCCAAAAAATGTGGTGAACATGATGTAATACGTTTGTTTTATCAAAAGTAATAAAATACCAACAATAAATTCTCAGTTGAAAAAGTTTCCAAGTGCCTTAGACGCAAATCCCGCTATAGAGTACCGAAGTGATGACGTCATAAATATATATTTTTAGAATTTCTTAATTTTGATCCCAGAACTTAAAAGAGCATCATGAAATACCTCTAAATATGCAAAATCAGTTAAAGGCACTACGAATTGGCTGAGATATGGCCACTTAAGCACAGGCTCTTGCCCCATCAAACCTCTGTTATTTGGTCTTGGTTCATAACTTTATGAACCAGGCCAGAATAACAGTAATCCGTTAGCAAACTTCAAGTCTTCTGTTGGCCATATCTTGCCCAATTTGGAACGTATCTAGCTAATTTTGCACATTGAGAGGTATTTTATGCCGTTCTTTCAGATTATGGGGCCAAATTTAAGAAATTCTAAAAATATATTTTTTATGACGTCACACTTCGGTACTCTATAGTAAGCTTTTCTTTGCTGATTTTCTGAAAACATAAATATGACGTCACGCAAACTATTTTAGAATTTTAAAATTTGACTTCATGATATAAAAGTGCTCCACGAAATACTTCCAAATATGCAAAATCAGGTCAATGGATCAAAATCCGGGTGAAATATAGCCAGTAAAAGGTTTGAAATTTACTAACGGATCCCTGTCGTTTTCGCTAGAGACCAAACTACAAAGATTTGGTGGGGCAAAAGCCTGTACTGATATGGCCATATCTCTACCAATTCGTAACACCTTAACTAATTTTGCATATTTAGAGGTATTTCATGATGCTTTTTTTCAGGTTTGGGCTCAAAATTTAAAATTCATCACTTAAGAATTCTATTACCAAGAGCCAGAAATAAATAAGGTGACCAACCACTCTTCTCATTCCAGTCTCAAATGATCAAATACTTTGGGTACCCTGCGGAAGAGCATTATGTTATAACAGAGGATGGCTACATTCTGAGTTTGCAACGTATCCCGAGAGGAAGAAAGGGAGTTGAACCGAATGGTCAAGTAGTTTTCATGCAGCATGGTCTTGTGTCTTCAAGCGCTGATTACGTCATGAATCTGCCGGAGGAAAGCCTCGGTTTCATTCTCGCCGATCTTGGTTATGACGTATGGCTTGGCAACAGCAGAGGCAACACATATTCAAATAAACATGTTAATCTTTCCAATGATGATCCGAAATTCTGGGCTTTCAGGTAGTTTTAAATTGTATAGAATTTACGTTGTTTTAATAAAGAACAGTCCCCATCACGCTTAAGACATAGTCGAGAGCAAGAATTCATTTACCCTGGCCCAAAAACAAAAAAATTTTATGTAAACAATGTGAGATCTAAGTGTGGGTACTTTGAATCTTCTTCTGAACCTTGGAATCACTGACCTTCAACATGTGTGACCACCAACTTTTCTGGACTCTTCCTGAAGCAATCCTATTACAAAACTATATTGAATCCCGGCACTCACTGTTATTAGGACTAGAGCCCAGACTGTTTTATCGCTTTAGTAGATCATGAGTTTTGCTATGGCTTCTATTTTTATGATGGTCTAAGCATGCATGTCATCCTCTCGAGTCTTTCTACAACTAATTCAGAACTGTTATAACCATTATAAACAGTGTATTTGCTTTTGAAACCCTCTTTGTATCATCAAAACAAGTAATCTTTGAATTACGTGCCATAATCAACTAATAAAGATGCTCTTTGTTGCAGTTGGGACGAGATGGCGAAGTACGACTTACCTGCCTCTGTGAATTACGTCCTTAAAGTATCCAAACAGCAGCAGTTGTTTTATGTTGGTCATTCGCAAGGAACATTGATTGGCTTTGCTGGTTTTGGCCAGAACCTTGAGCTTGCAAAAAAGATCAAAGGCTTCTTCGCACTTGCACCAGTGGCTAGAGTTGGACACATCGAAGGGGCAATCAAATTGATATCTCATTTTACACCAGAACTAGAGGTATCATTGTTTAATTGTAACCACGTGTTAATTTTTTACTATGAGATCACTCAATTTATCTATGTTGCTAAAACCTTTGATGATGTATCAAAAATTACATTGGTGAACAATTTTAGAGTTCAGTCGGAAACTATGGGTTTTTTAACATCGTTCTACACTTATTGAGAGCTGGAATTATATGTAAACAAAACATGAAATACTTTCGCAAGCGACCTGCACTATTAGGCAGCATCCACGAATATTGATCTTTGGAGAGATAACTCACAGTATTAATTGAACTTGCTTAGTGTTAAATGTTCAGAGTAAACTAAAAGTTTCCATGTCTTTATTTTGCAAATTGGCTGGTTGACACCCCCTTTGAATTTCCAGATATCACGAATGTTATTTAAAAGTCCAAAATACTTTCACTTCAGATTTCTCCTGATGTCCTATTTGTTCTGAACAGAACTTTATCCCACATGTACCCAAAATTTACGAGAAATAACAAACATGCCAGGTTAAGGCACAAATTCCCTTCTTTCTTACTGACGAAATGACCACAACAATTAATTTGCCGAAGGTTTTACATTCGACCGTTTTACAAATTGCAAGTCTTCTGATAAACCCTTCTTCTTCTTCACAAGTTCAAAATTAAGATTAACGTTATTGACAGACAAGCTTGCTATATTTAGTATCTGAGATGAAAGTACTTGTCACCAAGCTGCACTACACTTAGTTCTTAACTTGTGGAAAACATATATTTTTTACGTGGATAAAATAAGGTGTCGTCTTAGCACCTTGTCATATTTAAAATAATGCATCTGGCATTTAAAGACGAACACTTAAAACGGGAGGTTTAACTCAGCGCAAACAACATTTGCTCTTCTCTTTTCATAGATATCCCCTTGTTCATTCAACCACCGATAAACTTTTCTTACTGATGTCCTGAGAAATGACTTATTTTTTCTGTCAACAGTATCTTCTGAAAATTCTCGGAGTAAGAGACTTTGCTCCTTCAAACTGGTTGATGAAGTTGTTTGCAGATACGCTTTGCAATAGTCACGTGACTGAGAGTGTCTGTGCCAATATCATATTCTTACTTTGTGGCTACGATACTACAAATCTAAATGATGTAAGTGCCAAAATTTTCATCCATTTACTATTAGCTCTATATTTACATCTATAACACCATTGCCTGTCTTGATGTAAATTCTCAACATTTGCAGAAACCCTGTTCTGTTTTTTTACTTTATGACTAAGTAGGCTTTATCTGTACTTTCTTTTGGGTTATCCTGTCAATTAAGATTCCATAAATGTATTGGCTTGCGTGTCGAGCAATAAGATGCGACAGTTAAACTTGAAATTAAGATAGTATTGTACACGGAAAGTTAGAGCGAATTTTAAAGACGACATTCGAGCGTAGCCCGTTATTGATTTTATTTTACCTTAGTTTAAAGTTATATTATCCTATCCATAGCTGTAAAATCCCCCTGCAATGAATCATGACGCCCATAACAGGTTTAATCCATATTTTTATTCCCCGCTACGACTGCCTATCATTGTCAGCGAATTCTCAAAGTTTCACCAGGCAGTAATACCATCTTAACGATTTAAAGCTTCCTTTATTAGACAAGATATTTTAAACAAGAAATATTTTAATTATATAATATTTTAGACAAGATTGCCTGTATACATCAGCCATACACCAGCTGGAGCATCAACTCAGGATATCATCCATTTTGCTCAGGTGATGTATTATTTTCCGATTTAAGGACACAAACATTCCTTTTTAGTTATACACATCATGTTCTATTATCGGAGGGGCTACCATGTTTAAATGTTTAAATGAAAATTAACAGTTTAATTTGAAATGGATAGAGTTCTATTTTTGCGAAGAAAAAGACGTTCCTTAAGGTCCACCTAAATACACAAAGGTTCCCTTTGAGTACACATTTTTAAAAGGCTAACTTTCATATTAATAAAAACAAGTCGAAATCTTTGCGTCTCTACGAAAACAGCCGTTTTAAAATCGATAGTTTCCACTCTGCGCCTTCGAACGTTTGCATTTCTAGTCACTGATCGTCACTGCTGCGCAGCCGTGACCAAGTTGATAAAAAGCTCGACCTAGAACTGAAGACAAAAGGTGCGAAGTTCGAGCTTTCTCTCAGCCTAAGTCAACGCTTAGTGTCAAGAAGGACGTCCGATTTTTTTATGTTCAACTATTCCACTAAAATACCTCAGCTCCTGACTTAAGATTCAGAAATGAAAATAATAATCGTTGAGATATGTGGGAGGCAAAAAAATAATAATTGTGCTCCATTTCTTACGTTTTTGGCAGACTGGCTCTTAGTTTCCAAGAAAAGCCTCATGTATTTCTTTATCGTGATCAGCACATAGAACTTTAAATAAGAAATAATTTAAAACCTAAAGGCAGAGGTGGTATGAACGCAAAGTATATAATAATTGCATGGAAAGTCTGTTAATGTTTAAGGCGCGAAGACGAGGATCAGAAAGACGACAGACCTTTCCTTTGAAGCTTAGTGATCGACTAAATCCTGCCTGCTAATCATGACAATTAAATAAAGATGCAAATAAAGACGAGTCGTATAATATACGTAACCATGCTTAATAAGATATCAAAACTGTTCACGTAATTTGTTAAAGGCATGATAGATTTAAATGTCATTTTGTCGTGAAGTTTTTGCACAAAGGGTTTCTCGGTAGTAATGACACAAACGGCGTTTGATGAACGATGATACAAACATAGGAATGATTCGTTTTGCTGACTTTCAGTTTATTTGAAACAGATTAAATTGCCAAGTTTTAGCATGAATTTTTTATCCTTGTAGATGGTCCAAGCAAACAAATTCCAGGCATATGATTACGGAAAAGATGGCAACATGAAGCATTACCACCAGGTAACGTTTTGTCATCACGATATACCTTTCGGGCTATTCATTCTCAATTCGGGCTATTCATTCTCAATCCTTTTTACGCCCAGTCCCGTCTTTAGCATTCAACCGTCAACTTTTAATGTTTCTGTTTTCATATGTTTGTTCTCTCTTTCCTTTGTTACATTATGACGCTCATCCAGCGATTGAACTGGCAACAAGACACGTAAATAACCTATACAGTTTCCTGTCATGCAAAAATTCGTTCTATCTGTGTTACTATTATGAAAGGGTAAACCCAAACCTAATAAATCTAGAATTCCTTTCTTCCCAATCTGATCCAACGTCTTCTCTAAAACTTCATTTTTTAATGCCACGTGATATTTATATATACATACATATGTTACATATTTACAGGCAAGTTTCGAATTTAGATAAAAACAAAGTTAATTTAAGAACCCAAATTGTGCTAAGAAAGTCTTGCATAATCGGCAGTTGCATTCATCACCCTTCCATTCCTTTATACGTTTTTTAAAGATGGAAATAGGGCAGTTGATTAGTGTTCTCGCCCCCAAACCTGACTCCATATCACGCAACTCATTCTTCTTACTTTCCTCTTTGCTACCCTATCTTACTTCAACTTCATCATCGTACATTCTGGGGGTGTATAAATTTTCCGTATCGAATTTTACTTATGGTGGTATTGCTTCATCTTACACTATAGTCTTTTTTGCACCAACAAAACCAGTTTATTTCAATTGTTCGTTACTGATTTTCATTTATTGATTTCTCTAACAGGAAACCCCACCATTATACAACGTTGGGGACAGCCCTGTGCCGACTGCCTTGTTCACAGGCACTCAAGACTGGCTTGCTGATCCCACTGACGTGGCTTGGTTAAAACCCCAAATAAAGAATCTGATTTACAGCAAAAATATTGAAGTGTGGAATCACCTTGATTTCATTTGGGGGCAAGATGCCTACAAATTGATATATCCTGACATCATCAAGTTAATGAAGACCTTAGAATAGATCGAACTGCAGCTTCCTTATACGTTAAATGATTAGCTTCCAGGCAAAATTGTTCGTTGTTGTTTAAATTCCATTCCCTATTCTAAGGCATCGCACAACTTGGTTCAAATTTGTGGGGCATTGATAATTCAAGACAGTGCATTATTCATGCCTTTCGTTACCTCATCCTTGAAACAGATATACTAGGCTTTATACCGTTTATCACAAAAGCCCCTTTTATTGTAAAAACCCCTTTTGCTCGCCCTTACCAGACAGTGCCCTTTTTGCTGTATCCCTCAAGTTTCAATATTTCCCTACCCACCTGCAACAATAGATTGATTGAAGAACACATGCTCTCCTCTTTCAAACAGTTTCATTTTAAAGAATATCTCCGTTAATATTCCTGCATTAAAGTTCGAAAAATCGATGGTCATGACAGCAATTCATACTGACTTAGTATTCTCTTCCTTTGTATCCAATGAAATTTACTTTTTAGTAAAAAAATTGATATTATCAATTAAGATTATGAAAAAAACAAAGAAAAATAAACTTCATTGCAGGAAAACCTCATTAGCTTATCCCACTTTTAATTTGATGCAGATAAATGTCATTTTGGCCTAAGATGGTGCGATACCGAAAGTTCAGAGAAAGTTGCTTTGATGTACAGAATATATCCTAATAAATGAAAAAGTGTTGTTCTGAAAGGATCTGCAGTATGAAATTCTACGTATATTTTGTCTTTTGCTTTAAGTGTCTTAATCAGCCCAATTCTTGCCAAGGAACGTATTGGTTTGTGACGTGTGGCAAAGGTTTGAAAGCGATAATCAAAGATAACTATTTGTAAACTTCCATTTGAAAATAGCTCCTTTTTAGAGAAGTTTACTTTTAGATGTAAAGGAAACCCGCCATCGATTACCTGAATTTCAGCATCATTTGGTTAATACAATCAATAAAGTATCGAAAACATACTTTGATGTCGACTCCTTGCGTTCTTGTATACGTGCTTTATGTTTGTTGATAGTATTTTTATTTGGTTTATGAAATACTAACAATGTTTTTGCTCTGTGTTATTTAAGGAATGGGGTTGGCAAGTCTCTGAAGGGGGATCTTGCAGGACTGAGATACCTCTGATTCAGGACGTCACTTCATTCGGCCCTTTCGAAATCTTGCTCTGTTATCAGAAAGAAACCATTCTTCTCAAATTAATTGCTTGGAAATGTTTGAAATGATATTCGTTTGCTTTAGCTAGATTATGTTCTTATAATATTTTGTAACTATTTTAGCTTCAATTGAGAATTTTTTTCGATTTGCGCTATAACTGAATTGTGGTGATCTCTTTCTCGTTTTCTTTATTGCACAAAGTCAATCGACGCACAAAGCTTGAAAGCAAGACCAAAAATTTCATTATTTATGGTCTTGTGACCTTTTGTGGTTGCCCAGTACATTTTAGCTCTGGTCAAACTAAGTTACTCCTTTGCCTTTTAACTTCCTTATAGTTCCAGTTCAAGAATGCGTATTCCTAAAATAATTAACCAGAATAATTTGATAATGTTTTTTCAAAACCTGGCCTTTCATTTTTTTTGTCGAATAATTTCATGCACTGAAAACATGATTTTTAGGCTATGCTACACACTAATTGATGTTGATAAATAAATCTAGTTCTGAACATTTTTTCATAGAGAATTTTCGCTCCCCCACAAATATGGTGCAGTTTCTTTTACCCTCAGCTATTTTATCCGAAGATCCGAAGTACTTTGTGGCCCCTTTGAATATCGCTCGCCTCGAAATTTTACATATCCTTGACCCCCGACAATAGTAAACTGTAATCGTTGATTGAAATAAGAAAACATGTCCAGAACACAACATAAGAGCAAACCTTGTGGAGATCTCCAAAAATTTGAACTGTCCAAGATTTCATCACCTCCAGATCCTGACAGTTACATGTATTCGGTCAAGTCTGATAAGAAAATTTAAGATTAAGAAGACTTTTTTCAAGGATATCAATCTTGGACGAAGGATACATAGTGCAAAACGTTTTTCCATGTGTATCTGCTGTAAGCGAAGGAGAACATTTTAGAAAGGATGGTCAAAGCAAGAAGGACTATAGCCATTCTGAGTATCATCTACTTGGTTAATCATCATGATCTTCTTACAGATAAAACCTAAAGAAACACCTTGACTGAGACATGGCAAGAGAAGAGTTCTTGCCTTGTTTACCAATTTTGGAACCAGCCTTTGCTCATATTGCCATATCTCAGACAATTTGTAGTATATTTAGTTGATAATGCACATTAAGAAACATTTCCGAATTCTTTTTGAATTCATGTGATCTACAGTCAAAAATTCAAAAAATAGATTTATGACGTCATCGGCCACGAAGTTCAGAGACCACTGTGGAGGAAAAAAACTTTGCGGGAGAAATCTCATGACCGTGAGAAGAGAAGTCACGCATGCGTTGGATGACCTCGAGGTGGAGTCATAAACACAGCTTCGAAACTGGTTGTTCTCTTCATCTTGCAATATTTTACAGTTCTAGTAAAGACGATCAAAATGGGGCTAAACGACGCAGAAGTGAAGAAGCAGGTATATAAATAATGCATTTTATATTCTTTTGCAAAGTCTTTTTTTTTAAGTTTTGGTAACGGTTTTCCAGCAGATGAAATGCTTTCAGCTAGGCCGTTTTCTCGCTCCAGGAAGATCCGAAAATCTCACGTGAAACCCTGCTTAATTCCTCGCTAAAGCACCTAAATCTGGGAAAATTTTGGTAGTTGGAAAGTTCATTTTTCAATGTTCCGATTAAATGGATGTGTTTGCGTGCAATTGTAAAGTTGATATGTCTTAGCGTGCAATGCGATTGCGATCACGGATCACCATTCTTGATGCTGACGATACCAAACAAAGTTTGCTTGTTTATGTCCGAATTAAAAAAAAGAAAACACTATAGTATGAATAGAGTAAACATTTTATTTCGAATCCATCTTAAAGATGAACTGCTTTTGGAAAGGATCCTGTGATTTTTCAAAGTTTGGTTAACTAAACAGGAACGTTCATTTCATTTTTAGATTTTTTATTCGTTTAATTACTAGGTGTACCATTAAGATTTGAAATTATTAATGCTATGACGTTGAAATTGCAATAGTCATGATATGCCATGTATTATAAAATCTGACAGTGCTGATTGCTTTCCTGCCTGTATGTATTTTTTCAAAAGAGTTACATGCCAGCAGCTTCTGCCATTTTTGTGGATCTAAAGAGAAATGCACAATTCCTGTCTTTTTCCCATTGCTTATTGTCAAAAATAGTCTGTTCTTTTACTAGCTGATCGACAAAATTAAAGATTTGATGTGTGTTTTGTTTCAAACTGCCACTAGTGTAGATAGTATTTTTGAAAAAAATGGGCAATACAATGTGCTAATAAAAGAAATTGTTTTTCCCAGATTCAGCACATGATGGATTTTATCCATCAAGAAGCCAAAGAGAAAGCTGATGAGATTGAAGCTAAGGTATTTTGCTTGCTTTTTTGCTATTATTTTCAAAGACTTTGTTTTCTGTTGAAAAGGTTTTGATGTTTTTATGATATCCATGATGATTATTTACAAGTTTCTCATTCTCAAGCATTGTCATCACCTGATATTCTGTCTCTACAAAGTCAGAAAGTCTTCCTTTATTCTCACTTTTCACCAGCATACCACTCTTCAATGATTGGTAATGAAAACATTTTTATGCATACTAAATAATTTGTTATTAAATTGATTTCCAGGCTGAAGAGGAGTTCAACATAGAGAAAGGAAGGCTAGTGCAACAAGAGCGTTTGAAGATCATGGCTTTTTATGAGAGAAAGGAGAAGCAGATTGAATTGCAGATGAAAATGTATGTATCTGAGACTGTCTTTCTGCTCGAAGCAAAAATATTTGCAGAAGGAGTGCCAACTTTTTTTCTAATAAATTTTACTTTTTGTTGGATATTGAATTATTTCAGTGAAATATTTTTGATATACCCATAAGTATAATATCACTATACTGACAGGCTTAATCTTTTCTTGGTACTTTTTAAATTTATTAACAAAATGTTATTACATTTTTTTCAAGATAATAGTAAAAGCTTTTTATGTTTTGTGTTTAGCCAAAGATCAAACTTTCTGAATCAGTCCCGGTTAAAGATTTTAAAGTCTCAGGATGATCAAATTCAGGTAGATGCTTGAAATAATTTTTATAGATATGCAATTATGCTAATGAAGTTATATAATTAAAAGGCAGTCTGTCCCCTATTGTGCTTAAATTTATTTTCACGGGAGTAAAATTTATGCACCGTTGAGCTTGATCAATAATTAAACGATTTAAACCAATCAGAGACAACTTTGATTCCAGAGCTTTCGAATCAAATGGCTGGGTTTTTGTTTAAGTGAAGCTGTGGCTAAAAAAATGTTTTCTCTGTTTGCTTTGTGCAACAGATATGTCAAAAAGGAAGACCATGTCATTTTTTCATATTGAGGGGACATTGAGGGAACAGACTGCCTTTCAAGAAAATAATTGGCAACTGTTGCTGTTATTAACAACTGTTGCTTTCATACAAGATATGATTTGATATAGTTCTTTAGACAATTCATCTCATACATCAATGAGAGATGTCACCTCAAAATCAAACAATAACTTGCCCTCCTAATCACAAACAACGCAAACCTAAAGAAAAACCAGTATTAGCAGTTTACTAAAAAACTACAAAGACTGTGATACATCTTGCAGATCAAGGGGCTGAAAAGTTTTTTTGGGGGGCTAAACTACAAAATTAGAGAGCAAGGTAATTTTTTGTATAATTTTAGAGACTGAGTCCACTTCGACATTTTTTGGGAGACTGAGTCCCCTGAGCCCCCTTCCCTCCTTCCGCAGTCCCTGTACTAAAAAGAAACCGCCAAGACAAAGCTTTTTGAAAAGACAAAAATTTATGTTGGATGAAAAGACAAAATTTTATATGTAGCTTCTCATACAGATAACAAATCTCTAGCTCAGTAACCCTGCCAAAAGTCTCCATTTGGCTCCTATAGCAAAGTATTTGTTCATTCCTTAACATTCTCTGCTACAGTCCTGCAAGAAATTGTTAAGACAAATTACAATTTTTGAGATTTCTGACTTTGCGTTGCCCCTGAAATTCCAAATCCCCCAAAATGCCTTGTATCAATTATAGATATAGTTCTATCCTTTGTGCTTCAAAAACTTTAATTCACAATAAATCAGTGTACAATGGAAAGCTATTTTTGAAAAGAAAGAAAAACATCATTTTTTCTTGAATAGCCTTCACTATTGTTGGTGGGATTTTTGGTCCCCTTTCTCTCTCCACATTCATTCACAAATTGCTAGTTTAATTTTTTAACAATTTATTCATTTTTCCAAAAACATGATTTCTTTTAATAGACACTTTTAGATGAAACAAGGAGCAAGTTAGGCCATGTTACAGATGATACTGCGAAGTACAAGAGTGTTCTAGAGGGGCTGATTACCCAGGTACATATGTATATGACAGGTGTAATATTTCAAGTTGAAGGGAGTTCACCCAAAAGTGAACTGCTGTTTGTTTTCTTGTGAACTGATTATCTTAAAATAGGGGCTACATACAAATAACAGCGTAACAATACAAAGTAAAAAGGTCAACACTAAATGATGGTACAATCCCTGTTGTAATGTCTCAAATTACAACAGGGACTCAAAAAACAGACATATTTTTTTTAAATTGAGAAGTGAATTGAGTCATAACTACAATGATTGTCCAAAATTAAATTACAAAAATCTTTATTGCTCAATTGACTGTGTGGCATTCAGTTTCAATTAGGATTAGTACTGCATATTCCGCATGTAACAACACTGATTAATTCTGAATTCTTTATATCTTTTTAGGGACTTTTTCAAATTCTGGAGCCAACAGTAATTTTAAGATGCCGCAAAGCTGATGTCACTTTAGTCACGGTAGGCTTTACTTAACACTTTTAAGTTATAAATGGCTTTGAAAAAAGCAAACATTTAGTAAACTAAAGCTTTTCGACTGACACTCTTCAGAGTTTAAAACGTCAGGCCAATCAGAAACATGAGCACATGACTGTATAGGCAAGCGGCACTGATTGGTCAACCTATACAGTTATGTGCTCGTGTTTCTGATTGGCCTATTTCGATCCACAACTGGGTATATATATTTCCTAGCATAGAGTTTTCGATCTATGTTCTGACCTTTTAAACTCTGAAGAGGGAATGCTGCTAATATCAACTACCAAAAGGAACACATCTGCTCTGGAAAGTCTGAAAAATTGAGCTGTCACTTAAGAATGCAGAAATTGTTATGTTGGCAATGGCAGTTCAAATATTATTTGAGATCTGCCATGAAGAAGAAAACTTTTTCTCATTCAATTTTTTGCATGCCAACCAGATAAGATAATCAGGTCTGCATAGAATAGCCAACCTCATTGGTTCAAAGCATGGTTTTTATGTTTGCAGCACTGATCTAGATCACATGTTTCAGACTGTCTAAACATTTAATGCTAGGGAAATTTAAAAGAAGTCAATATCAAGCCAAGATTATGTTTCATGCATTTTCTCTTTCATTTTCTGCATTTTGCTGCAGGAAACAAAAGATAAGGCTGTGAAAGTGTACAAGGAGAAGACTGGGAAAGACTGCAAAGTTGTGGTTGATAAGGAGAACTTTTTAGGAAGTGACTGGTAAGTTAAAATTTATATCATTACACTTTTATTATATAATGTAACTACATAACTATATTTAATACCCTTACATAACATATTAATTTCAAAAATTTTATAAGCTTCTTCAAGATGGAAGTAGTTTGCAAACCAAGCATTTTATTTCCAAATTATTTGAAATCTTCATTTTTCTTTTTCACACCATATCATCCATCTTTATTGAAATTCTTTTTTTCTCCTTCCTGAAGTTCTGGTGGGGTTGAATTGATTGCCAAAGATGGCAAGATTCGAGTTATCAATACTCTAGAGAGTCGTCTTGAGCTTCTGAGCAGACAGGTAAGTTTGAATAAATTTCTTCCATTAAAGTAAACAAATTCATGTAAGTGAGAAAAAAATTTCTGTTGTTGGCCGTAAAGTTCTTGATTTTTCCCACCGACCCATCAGGGAAATTTGAAGTTCAAGCTTTTTGCTTTATATAGTTTGAACAATATTTTCGCCATTTACAAAGGTCCACTTGATTTAGACCTTTGTTCAATGGAAATCATTTCTGGAGAGGATTCTAAGACACAAAAGAGAGGTTACTTTGTACAATTTCGAGTCTATTCCAACTTAGAAAAGTAAAGTCAATGATATCGTCAGTGGGAATCCAATGGATCCATGGCGATTGCAAGCTTTGTTGTGAATGTGTAGTGTATGCTCCTCCTGACCCTGATGCTTTGCCCTAACAATAAAAGCCAATTTTTATTTCAAATCGATATAATCAATATAGGGCAGTTGTCTGTTAATCACATTAAGCAGGTAACACGTGGTTGCATCTTAGAACCGAACCTATAGAACTATACACCAAAATGTATAACGCTCTGCCTTTGTGGCATCGATTACAATATGAGTGATACAATAGTAATTTCAATTAAAATTGATATAAGATAAATATTAGCCATCCTTTTACTAAAATTCTACATTATTCTTTTTCTGTCATTTCAGATGCTTCCAGAAATCAGAAATCGATTATTTGGGGACAACAAATCAAGGAAGTTCTACAATTAGAAATTATCACCTGAGCAAATCAAATAACTCTCGTGAATTTTGGAAATCTTATATTTATCTTTTTTATTTCAATGAATCCGTCAATCTTTATGCTAATCCTTTAAAGTGACTTTGAAATGTCAGTTCGTAAACAGTAAGATGACGATCAAGGATCTTGAAAAGTGTCTGAAAATTCTTCTATATATAAATTTTATATTTCAAGCAGAATTTTGTCTTACTTGATATTTATAATTCTTTTTCTTCTTGAGAGACGCCCAATTACATCACAGGATAGATTGTTGTGTGGTGATCAAAATATCTTATTTGTCCAAAGTTTAAATTTCGATATTCCTTACTTTCACTAGCTAAGGAGCGAAAGAAAAAGGGCTTTATAAAGTATGAGATTTTCATTGATATCTTGAGACCCTGAAATTGTATGAATCGACTCTACTGTTTCAATGTTTTTGTTACTGTCAAATTTGCCAGCAAAATTAGAAAGAAAGGCAGCATGAACCAAAACAAAATAGAGCTAGTGACAAGAAACTACCATAGGAAACCGTGTAGTATTTCGTCTGCCACAATTCGTCAAACATTTAACAGAGATTCTTAAAGTATCCACAAAGTAGTTACCTTTTCAACTTCTTTTTCTTGGGTCAATATGCTTCTATTAGCATGTACTGTACCAAGAAATCTGAACAGTTTTTTGGCGGTACAGAACTTGAAAATGGCATTGAATAATGCTTTTTTCAAAGCCATTACCAAGAAATCTGTTTTCAGATTCATTCTAACTTTCCCATCAGTCAAAATGTTTTGCTGTGCAAGAATTTTAGCTGTTGTTATAAACAATAATATTAAATTACACCTTGACTTGGCGTTGCCTAGCTTTTATATGTTTAAAAGCTTTGCTTTGCATAAAAATGCATTTCTTTGCCAAGGGGGGAATGCAAAACTTCCAGCAAAATGAAGCGAGTGGAATCAAAGGATCTGAGAATGTAGAAAAAAGGCCAACTGCGAAACCGTTGACAGCAAAGCAGATTTGAGTAGCACATCTTATCTTAACTGCGAAGTTCCTTCTCAGTCTGGTGATAACAGTTTGACCAGTTTGCTGGTTGTTGCGAAGAAGTCCTTTCTAATGATGGTAAGAGATTAGATCTTTACCGGAAGTGTCCAATCGTGCGCGCTCAAGCGGAAAGCATGTAGCGGCTTCACTTCAGTTCTTCCTGCGCATTGCATTGGTTTCAATATGAATTTTTAATAAGGGCGGCTACAATTTTTATGAACATTGCATTGATCGAACAAAATTTAATTGTAAACAGAAGCGGAAATTATTGGAAATATGCTGTAGCTGGTTATACAGAAAGGATAATATCAAGACGTTTCCAAAGATGTTACTATGATTGCCTTTTAAAAATGATTTTGAGCGAGTATCTTGAAATATGAATAAAGAATGTCCAGATGATTCTGCAAATACTGTTTTTCATGGAAGCTGTAATCCAAATTAAAGGTTAGTAAGTGAAATCTCTCGCTGATTTATTTTCTAGACCTGTGCACAATTTTTACACAATCTGCTTTGCAAAGAAATTGATTTTTATGAAATATAAGCATCATACCGTACCACCATGACTGCTTTCAAAGCGTCAAAAAGATTATCTCTAAAACAGTTCATGTGTAAACAACGTTTTTTCTTTGCAAGGATCCTTTAGTTGAATTTTGTCATTCCCCAACTCATGATTCGATCATTCATGGTGGATTTTTTTTTATTCAAACGCTGGTTAGTTTCATAAAAGACGTGCAGCGCAAACAGGGACAATGGAATTGTAACTAAAAAACTGTAGTGTTTCCAGGAATAACCCTGTTTAATCATCTCCATACCAAATAAATTTTTCTAAATTCTGTGTTTTAAGCCGCTGTCATCATTTGGAAATAACAATAAAAAACCATTGATTCAGGAATTCATTAAGATGCCCATTTATTTGCACCAGCCTATGTTGTTTCCTTTTCCGTGCCTTAAAATATTATGATTTGATCAGCGCAATTTAAATCAATGCCTATTCTTTATGATTCCTCTATATTTTAGCTTCACTAGAATGGCCTTTAGGTACCTATTCACTGCCTAGGCCCATAACTGGATGCCCTCCCGACTGGAAAGAAGGGATGAGATACCAAGATTCAGAAAACGTCTTGAATTCCAATGGTCGATCAGAATCTTACCATTTAGCAGGCACTGTCAATAAGCACGGTGTCAGGCAGGAATTTTGCACCAAATTTGATTCAAATGATGGCACCGGGGATTGGCCCACTGGACAGTATTGTATATATCGTTATGGACCAACATGTCCACAGGGCCTAATAGAAGGTGGGAGTTGGCTAATTTCATTTCAATTGGAATTTATATGCAAATCTTTTTTACTACTATCATTTCCAAGAATTTCTATGAAAACGTATAGTTTTTAATGGAAAGAACTTTTGACACATGCAACATTTAAAGCCTGATTATGAACCAAGTAACGGCAAGGATCATGGAGCATAAAACAGATTGAGGGTGCTAAAACGTTTTAGGGGGCTTAACATGCTAAAAACCAGAGCAAGACAATTTTTTGCATAGTTTAGAGTATACTTTGGAACTAATTGTAGGTGCTAGAGCCCCCTTAGCCCCCCTCCCCCCGCTTACACGGTCCCTGAGTAATGGGACACATAAAACAGCTTGCTTGAATTACTTACCAAGGCTGTAGCAATGTTATAATATCCGATAACGTTAAAGCAGTAAACAAAAATCTGTATCCTGCAGGCAGAAATGCTAGACTTACACTGATAATTGGCAAATCTGTTCGTTGTCATGAGCATAGTTGAAAATTCTATTTTAATCCTAATATTCCTATTTGATATTGGAGTAGGGCTTGGGGTGTAGCAGCCCACTTCGTTCTAGCCCTTTTTTGAAGGAGAATCATGCATCGTTATATAGGTATTCAATGATTTATAGATATGTAGTCTTGGAAATTATTTAGCCTCCTTTTCGCAGTAGTCAGCCTCCACTTCGGAGAATATCTGGTGCAACTCCTTCTTATCATGTCGATTTTTGTTGCAGGTTGGATTTTTTGGGATGATGAAAATGACGAGATGATCGATTCAGAAAGCTTGTACCAAGGCTACGTTCCTGCGGGCATCTATGAAAAAGACACATTGATATACACATGCTGTAGAACAGATGGGGATAAAAAGGTTTGTACTCACTCTGAATTCTCGCTCTACATAAATTGGCGTCTTCCATTTATGTTCGACACGTTCTATGACTGTATTTTGAAATAGTTTTATCTATGTACCTTACCCATAAACTCGACTCCATTTCGTTCTTTTGATAGCAAGATCGAAAGTTCCGATATTCGCTCTTGCTTAAAAATATTGAACAAGGAACATTAAACGGAAATTTCGTCCAATATAGAATATATGAAGCAAATTTATCTGCATAGAGCAAATAGGGTGAGGGTGACGTAAGCTGATGCCCCAGAGAGACTATGCAATATATGAAATTTGATTGGCCAACTTAGATAAGGTCACGTGAAATCCTCTCGACTACAGGAATTTCATATTGTTGGAGTGAGCGCCGAAGTATTATTTCTATTGCTTTAAATGCGACTTGAATATAACTGGCGTCTATTTCCTTCTAGCTGTGGTTTGAAACATTTTTTCGTATTCAGTGTATGGTAAATTCGAGAGACTTCCTCTAAACGCGACTCAACTAAGCCAATCAAACATTAGAAGCGTGTTCTTATTTTGATTTGTTTTTGTAGGTACCCATATCCCTACCATTGGCACAACCATTTTATCTGCTTGCTTTTGGATCTTCTGAATGTCAAACAGTTTCTGGTGCAAGATCTTTGTCGGAATTTATTAAATGGGATGATGAAGATAAAGGAAACAGAAATGACAATAGCCGCATTGTTCCTTACGACGTCAAGAAGGGACGATGGAACACAAAGATTTACTTCTGTTATTACGAATTTGGTAAGAAATATTGTGCTACATATGTTTGTCCATACAATGAAACTCCAAGGTACAGTGAACAACTGTATGCCCCGAATAGCTGTCCGAATGGGGAATATGTCCGTTGTCCGGAAATTAATTAGAGTAGGCTTTGATCGTAGCAGAAAGTTCGGGCAAAATTATTTGCTGCCTCCCCACTGTTTAATGTCGTGAAAAATTTCCATTCCTTTGCTTGTTCTTACCCCTCAACTTTTGACAGCCAAATGCACTTTTTTATGATTTAAAAAGCCTCCTTTGAAGTTCCTTTGGAGCTACTTTTCCTCCATTTTGATTGTTCATCTCTTCGATTCCCCCTTCAGAAACGTACAGTGAGTTGTTAGGGTTTTACATCACCATAGAGCGGTAAGGTCATGACATCAGCGAAAACTATTTTTAGAATTCAACTTGAGCATATAGTCCAAAGAACACCAAAAGATACCTCTAAATGTGCCAAATCGTTTGTATCTAGTGCGAATTGCCTTAAATTGCCAAATTAGCACTGGCTCTTTTCCCATCAAATCTCAAATAAATTTATGAATCAAGAAAAAATAACAGCAAATCGTCAGCAATCTCCAATCTTTTATTTTCCAGATCTCTCGAGATCTGTGGCAGATAAAACAGATATTGCACATTTAATGGTATCCAACCGTGGCTCATATGCTTAATATTTTCCAGTTGTTCCATTTCATTATTCTGTTTTGTTACAGGTGGGTGTGGAGTCAACGGGGCAGTGTGTACAAATTCAACTGATCACGATGATACTCAAGCGGCCAAGAGTGCGGTTGTTGACATTAGTTCAAAGAGAGCAGATGTATGTTCCTTTGTTTTGCAAACTTTTTGCTAAGGTATAATGACACTCATGTAAGCAGAGAAGAGGAAGGCAAAAGTGTTTATACTTTTAGCTCGCTAACCAAGGGGTACATTGTCCCTCCAGTCCAATTGGCCTATTGTTTATCTTCCACTTTTGTGTCTTGATATAGCTGAAAGAATCAACTATTTACTCCTGTATTTCCAGAATTCTCAACTCCCACATTTTCTGTGCATTTTTACAACTTGTAAATGTTTCCCTGTCTGTAGACTGCATGAGCAAATTTTAGCAATTTTGAGACCAGTTTCAATGTTAGCCTGACCTGGTCTTATAGGCTGAGCTTTGTGTGAAAACCTTCTTTATTGTAAAATCAGCAATCTCTGTCACACAAAATAATATACATTCTCGATGCGATTCACTTCAGCTAAATAGATGTTTTCAACATTTTTGCCGTTATGTTGTTGTTATTGCCCAATTTTTATTCGAATAAGATATTTTTGTTTGTGTTTCCATTAATAATTAACTTAATTGCCCAACACTAGGTACAAAAGGTACATTTAGTAAGCGTAGCAAAATATGACAACCCACATTTTCCCGTTTAGCTACCTGGGTTTGCCACGACGTCAAAGAGCTCATCTGGAATGGCCGTTGCTATTGGAAGCTTTGTTGCTGGTACAATTTGCGGAACAGCAGGCTTGATTTTCGTTGTAAAACATTACCTAAACAAAAAGGCTGGTGAAAATGAGGGAGGAATTGATGACGATGAGGAGGAAGAAGTCATTCCCATGCCGGATGAGATATGGTAGCCTCCTTTTGAAGCTAACTCGTATTCAACGAAATATTAAACTTCAAAGAACAATTTTTGCAAAGAAATATGATGCAGACGACTTCTAAGCTTTTTTTGAATTTGCAAAGCAACCGTGGAAACTGGATCCCATTTCTGAACAAATTTATTCACCGTAAAATCAACGGTGCATTTCTTATTTACGCCGTCAAGTTTGTATGTAGATAATTGCATTGTAAGTGGCTAAAATTCGTGAAATGATGTCATCATGTTCAATCGGTAGATAGCTGTTTGCAGTCATGAACACAACGAACTTTCGTCTCAGTGACGGATTCATTGTTGTAGCATTGTATTTAGAATTAGACTGGATCTGGAATGTATATATATAATATCATATAGTCTAGTTTATATTATTGCTGTAGGGTTTAATTACAAGCGCAAGCACTTTTCATATATTTTGCTAAAATTTTATCGATTACCGATTCTTTAGTTTTCCTTTCGATACATCCTTGCCGATGCTTACTGAGAATATAAATTCTGCATTAACCGCACAGACTGATATCATTTTCACTAATACGTGACAAATTAAATGAACTCATCTTACCTAGAAGTTTAAGCCAAAAATTGCGACTCTTTCTTTTGTTTGCTTAACAATTGATACCTGTCAGAAAGACGTGATTATAATTTCTAGACTGTGTTTTAAAAAATTATTACAAATTCTCAAAGCAATGAAACTAGCAAAGAGGTTTATTATATGTTGATGATCTCTTTTGTTGGACTTCAATCAATTCTCCCTGATCGTGCACGTTTTAGATGAGACCCAAAAGCTGGGAGCCATATCAGCTAGATAAAATAGATGCGCTATTCATCGCTTGATGATTGGCAAAAATTCAATAAAAATTATCTAAGATATTTGCAAAAGATGTTACGAAGGCAGGCAGCAGCAAGAATCTACCTTCTATTTTGTTTTGAAATCTTATTTCCATAACAAGAATATAAGCTGGAACATTTTTTTTATTTACATCACATAGAGTCTTCTGTGATTTGTGGTCAAATTTAATCTTACTTTTTAGCGAACCTTACATTTTCTTTCTGCCTCCCTGCAACTTGTTGTATTGCCACTACTCTGATGTTTTTGTCTTTTTGTTTTTTCATATTTCTAAAACTAAATTTGAATATCTAGGCTCCAGTACATTTCCATTTGTTCCGATTCTGTCGACTGTTGACTGTTGCCTGTAGGTCTTTCGATTCTTTGTTACCTTGTGAGCGCTCACTTTCACTCACCTTCAGTAAATAGCTCTTGATGTAACTTCCTAGGTGAGCCGATTGTTAAGGAAATGCCCCTAAATCAGCTTTTTGTCTGTTTGGAATGACAATAATTTTCAACCCACTCTTTAGGTGAATCTTCATCAGTACAACGACCCTTGCACAGCCTGAGCTCTTTACGCACTTCATTTGCATATGTGACCTAAAATGTTATTACCCCTTCCAGGTGAGATGCGTCTAATTATTGTTTCTGTTTCCTCTCTTTGTATCTTCTTACGTACATACGTTTTTGTATATATTTGTAAAAAGGCAATGTTCCTTAAAAGGTCCCCCAGAATTTGATTTTACAAACCTGTGTCTTCCATAGACTGACTTACGGTTAGCTAAAGTAACTTTCCAGCGATAGGATGTTGAATAACCGCTTGATTCATAGTGAAAGATAATAACAAGCAATAAGAAGAATAAACTAATGCAAGTTATTCATATGTCTTGAAGCTATCAGGGAAAAAATAGGTTAGGCTGCTTTAAAAACAGATTTGTGATTGACGCATGTTGAAAGACAAAGGTGGGAATAAATAGTCATCATTATTGTTTTTTTCTTACAATAAGGCTTGTAGGCCGAAATGGTCCATCGCCAACACAATTACTATACTTACAAGTTAACATAATTATAAATTAACAATAAATCTCAGAAAACAGCAACAGCTAATACGAAGATAAATAGATGAAAAAATGACTATAAGCTAGAAAGTTTACGTTACGAGGATATGCACATAAAGGACTTCCCAAAAGATTACCGTGATTCAAAAGCCAGCGATGTAAAATAGCTATTGATATCAGACAATCCGTATCTTCTTGACTCAACAACCAAATAAACTTATCACAAAGGTCAAGGCATGATTATCTGGGAAATTTTGAATATGTCATAGATAACAAAAAATTCCTAGCTGTCTCGTAAAGGGGACAACCTAATAAAAAACGAATTTCGTCCTCCACAGCAGTTTTATTAAAAGATTGTAAAGGACTGAAGAACAGTGTGCTAGAAATTCAAAAACTCTAGCAACATTGTCAAAGCAGTTATTCCTTTTAGGGGGAACCCATGAGTAATTTTAGTAGAGTGTGCAAATTCTGATTCAACAGCGGTCTTCAGGGAAAGGCAAACTTAGAGCTCTCCTTCGTTGTTGAAAAATTGCAAGGGTAGCCCATCCCTTTACTTGTACCCCCCTCTAAACAGTTGCAAAGATAGAGCAAGTACCCGTTGGGATATCAATTTGTCGTACTTTGTTCTCTTCTCGCTACTAAACCTTGAGATGTTTATGACACCTTGTGTTATAGTTGTTTGTTTTAAAAGCAGCAAACTTAAAACGAATGCTATAATGACATTTAAATTTCCAAATTCTGCATTAGTTTGTTTGAAAGCCAATGATGCTCAATGGCCTTGACCTGGGGCTCGGTCACCTATTCAACCAGCAGGTCGCTGATGCGTGAGCCGAAGCTCTTCATGATATGGCCTAGGCAGGAGGTTTTGTTCTTTTCAACGCCGCATTTTGACTTAAACTTTTATTTTTCTGCCAATGGTAATACCATACCTTTCTTAGCATCATCGCTTGAGGAATATCTTACGAAAAATTTAACTTTGCTGGCCTTTTCGTCTTTCAAATACTATTCCAGTCGCCATTGGACAACTGCCTTGGGTCCATTATAACGACGGGTAGCCCTTTATGCTTGACCAGACGTCACTGCCCTTTTGATCTTGTGAAATGACTCCTCTCTCAATGTGATCACACGTTGTAAATATTTTTGTTAATGCTCGAGCCTGGATCGTAACGTAGGCCATCCTTAAACACGAAAATGGAGGTAAGAATATCATTTTTCTTTGCTAAAATAGCTTTTACTGAAATTCGATATTGATAGCGTTAATTTAATAGCATTTTTATAAGCAATATTTTGCAGCTGTTTCTCTTTAGTTAGAGGTGCAGCATTGGCAAGCATCGATGCGAATGCCGCCAAACTTTGTGATGCTTGTTGCGTAATGCTATTTTCTATGATATCCGAAAATTCATTTAAAGAATAAGAATTAAGAATTTATAGAGTGTTTGGAATACAGATTCGCTGCAATATATTCTTGATCGCTCATCTTTGTACATGGTTTAATGCAAGAGAAAAACTTGAAAGACTGAGACGATCTGTTATGAAGGCGTCACAGACTGTTACTTTTGTACCTTCGTTTTTTCAATCTTTTTAATCTTTTGACAGGATCCTATTACAGATAGGGTTATAGATTTGTCAAGTAATATGGGCTACTATTTTTCAAATTAGAAGCTAAACATTTCATCTCGTGCCCTGGTATAAACCAATTTCAAGTAATGTCTATCAAAAACTTTACGTGACTCGTTTCAAAACTCGAACAATATTTGAATCTTTACTTTAAGGATGCTGACAAATATGTTTAACCTAAATATCTAGACGAATCAAACAAGCTTTGCAAACACAGAAGAACATAGCAAATTTTGAATGCTTTTTCTTATAGATTCTGCGATCATATTACTTAAACTATTATTTACAGCAAGGTTATTTTTCCTGATTGTGTTCAGGAATAGCAATACCCTCTTTTCAGACCTTGACAGTGCACTTGGATTGTATGTTGCCCGAGAGACATCATGGCCAATTGCATGTCAATGTGTGTATTTTGCAAAAAGACAGATTTGTTTTTTCAAAATAACATTGCGTTTAACAACATTAGCCATCTTATGATCATTTCGAAAAAATGCCTTCAAAAAAGCTTTGTGCTTTTAAGAATATCTTCTATTTGTCTGTACTATCACAATATAAGGTGACAAAAAGTCACGATTAAATACACACTTCTGGGGTACTGAACAACACCTTCTCTAATTCAATAGGGCACACAAAGACTTTGATGTTGTTGAGATGTAGTCACTTCTTTCAATTCATCTGAATAAGGTTTAGCTATATGGTATAAGTGTAAAGACGGTATTCGTACACATATATATAATAACAATAATAGTAATAATAATAATAATAATAATAATAATAATAATAATAATATAAAAAAAAAGATTAGACCAAATTGGAATCTGAACAAAGATTGAAACCATGCAGACCACCGCGTTGCTGAACACAGCCAGGATCATAAGGAAAGTCTTGGAGCTCTAAGGAGGCTTGTTGCCACTGGACCTTCAAGAAATCCACCAATGACGGTGTGAAATGAACTCATAATAACAAAAATAATAATGATAATAATACTAATAAAGATAATAATACGAATATTTCAACAGGATAAAAGCTTCAACATAAGTAATGCTGTTTTCAATGCTTGTCCTGCTAAAAAGAGAAGAAAAGAAATGTCAAAAGCCTAATTTACTATATCATAACTATGAACGTGTTAAAAGTTCATGATGAATTTCAAAAGCCTAGTTTATCAAAGCTACTTCATTTCAAAAATAGATCCAGTTTTTCCTTAAAAACCTTTTTGTTAATATAGTAAGTGTCTAGATTGTAGCGTCTTTGTTGCCCTGTAACATATTCCGATACAAAAATGATGTTACTGAAATTTTATATAATAAATATCTAGCCCGGGTTATACTTTGGTGGTTTTTAAAATTGTACTGTGTCAAAGCAATGATGCATTGCGGAAAATATATCTTTGTTTCTTCTATTGTACATCAAAAGCTGTTTTGGCATACTTGTAATGGCGCGTGTGGGGTTCATGAATACTGCAAATAGACGGCATTCCAATCAAAATCTAAGATCAAGAAATGAATTCAAAAATATTCTAATGCTTTTTTTTTCATTTCTTTACAGTTCTTTTGAAAAGAGAGAGTAGCGAATATATGAGGCATTTTTTAATTGCCTCGATACCTTTTAAACACCTCACGCCACACAAAATAGTTAAAATACTCTTTTCAGCTCAATAAATGCTATACAATTTTTTTGCTATAGGCCTTTCGCAGCCACAAACTCTTAGCTGTCCTGGTGCTGTTATCCATTAGTTGTAAGTATTTTAACTTCCGATTCTTATAACGCAATAAGTTCTAAGTCTACTTCTTCAGATTTTATATCATTACCGAGGAGCGTTATATTATTTCATGATAATTTTCTACTGTGTATCCTTATATCTCAATCTAATGGTATTTCGTAAACCGTGTTCTTTGCTTTAGATTCCATAAATATACTAAAATGCGTGCGGTACAATATGATGCTATGATAACGATCAATGTATCAATGTATAATAAATAAATAATGTAAGTATATTGTACCAGGAAAAATGTGACACTTGATAACGGGCTATGCTCGAAGCGTCGTTAATTATTTTAGAAAAAAATTTTCCTGGTACAATTTACTTACATTGATCTTTATTATTTCTTTGCATTAGCTTTGCAATAAGTACTTTTCTTGAGTTGATTAACAATGATAAATAGCACATAATAGAGATGACAAAAATCATGCATTGGCGACATGAATAGTGTTTATCATTGTGCATTCAAAATATAAAATTAAGGCCATGATCTTCACAGTAAATTTAATTTCTCCATTTTCTATGATGGATGTTTATAATTATCAATTCCTTAGCCAAATTTGCGTGTAGATAGAGTGTGGAAATGGGGTGTGAACGACCCCTTGGCTGACAAACCAAGTACTTTTATATCATGATAAAAATTGCACTACAGCAAAAAATGACTTTTTTCCTGAGGAAAGACCCTTGTTATAAACTTTATGGGTATAGACTTCAAGTCTAAGAATCTGCTTGAAAATAGATTCACCAGTTCAACACAACAGAAGCTTTCGTTTATTTCAAAAGGAATCTCGATGTTTCCGGAAAACGTTTAATAAAGCTAGAATGATTTTGTGTTTCTTCGTTTCCAGACCTCGCTGTTGATGCAGATAAACCAAAACCAACCAAAAAACCAACAACACCAAAGGTTACGACGCCCAAACCTACAAAACCGCCAACACCACCAGCTGAAGGTAAGTAAGCCAGATACAATTTTCATTTTAAAACTAGCCATTTTTGCACAATATTCCGCCTAATTTGATTCCTTAACCTTTCAATATCTGTATGCTGAGTCTCATATTTGCTGTATTTAAATAAGCCAGAGAGTTTAGACTAAATGATGAATTTTTTCTCTTCTTTATCAATGGTAGGAAAAGACTATTACGTCACATTGAAAATTCTTGGGCAAGAATGCAGTGCTGATTTAACCAATGTTGCAAGTGCAAAATTCCAGGAACTCAGAGGAAAACTCTACGATGCTGTAAGCAGACTCCATTCTGTTTTTATTATCCATTCATTCTATATAGCTGCATAATCTTATTGTTAAATACAGTAAGAAACTTAACAATAATAGTAAAATATGAAGATATAACCGAAAAATAACAAAATGACCCAATCTAAAAACAGACATCTATAAGATCAAATATGAAGAAAAAACAAAAAAATAACATGAAGGAAAATTTTTTTATCTTTGTTGATAATGTCGAATACTGTTTTTTCATGTTAGCCATGAGTCTGTATATAAAGAAAAAGAGCACCACTTGCCTCTAGATGAAGAAAAGTGTTCTGCTTTATCTCCTTTCTTATTTTGATGTATTTTCTCAAGTCATAATCAATCACTTCCTCTTTATTCTTTATCACTTCCTCATACATCATCTTATTCATCACACTTTCTTTTTCACTTTCTATGCATTAAAATGTACTTAAACTACAATACAGGACGTCAGATGCCTTATTATATCGTGGTACCATTTACAAACACACCTTGCATATATGTGCCTCTTACATCGTCACAAAATCGATTTTGTGTATGTTTTTAAAAAAATATCTTATGTCAATATTAATTTTCCAAAGATTTCTTACAATGTAATACGTCTTTTAGCATTTGTTTGCTCAAATATTGATATGATCCTTTTCTACAAGGGAAATATGCATTTAACCATAATTTCTATTACAGACCCTTCAAATGTACGCAAACTACGACTATTATCAAGATTTGCTTGCACTAAGCTTCGAGTAAGTTTTACAATTTATTACTCATTTGTCTTCATCTTCATTCGCAACTACATCTCCGAATGCTATTGCAAGCTTGCTAGCTAATTGTTTACAATATAATGATAGTATTTAGTTGGTTCAAATCATCAATATGCACCAATGTGACACCTCTAGGAAATTGATAGCTACGTCAAACATAAACATATGTAACAAAGAGTAAATGCCTCAGATAAAGTTGCAAATAAGCGATGCTCAAAGAATGGACACTTTCAGGTATGCAACGAACATTAAGTTACAGGTTTGCAATGAACAACAAATATTTATAAAACGCGGTGCATAAAAGAAAGAATAATGAAACGGTTTTTTGCTTTTTATGCATATCTTACCTTTGCCTTTAGGCAGAAAATCTATTTCTATTAGAAATCAAGAGAGGAGGATTTTTGCTAGTTATGTAGAATATATGAAATGGTTAGAGAAAATCTATAATCATTAAGTATAATTTAAAAGATGCTTTAGATTAATACGATGAAATAGGATCAACAGATAAATGACACAAAAATGGAAAATAAAGACATAAATAAATGAAGACATGTTTCTACTAAATAAATGTTTAGGGATAAGGCTGTTAGTTTCTGATTGATTTCTGACTGATGTTTTTAAGAAAAACACTTGGTTACATCAATATCCATAGCGAAGATAAAATTTCATGTTGATGTTGAATTGAAGTACGTTGTTCTATGAACAGATAGGCTTAGGCCTCGCAGAAGTTTTTATGGGCTGCAGTTATCAATAAAAACCAAAGAGAAACTTTATACCAAGAGAACGTTTCAAAAGTTTGCTTTTTGAAAACCATTTTCAAGTTCTGTACCGTCCAAAACCGTTCACAGAAAAACTTTTAGTAAATAAATATCTGTAGGATGAAGTAAAATTTTTCTTAGCTTGTCCCTAAAAGAAGCTTTGAATGAAAAGATAATTTTGTCGTCATCGACATTTTTAATTCTTTATTTGATTCAGGTGTACTGAGGGAGGAATTTTGGCACACTTTGCCATTCGATTCACAAAGAAGGCAAAAGGCCACATGAATATCTTTTCCCAAGCAGTTCAAGCTGGCAAAATTGGTGAACTTGAGATTCAACCAAGCTACATTGAAGTCAGTAAGTACTTCTTGTTTTATCGCGCTTGACTGATTCCCACTATCGATATGCAAGTACAGGTACCTGTTTGTGCTATTCACATGACCGAGTATGTGTAAGCTATAGAGGTGAGATAAAATCCTGGACCAACTGCAAACACATAACAAAAGTTACAGACGTAGGTTCCATTTAAAGAATTGGGAGAGTGCAGCAAGGGAATGGCACCTTAACCCAGATTGAGGGACCGCGGAGCACAAAACAGATTGAAGGAGTTGAAACATTTGGGGGGCTAAATATGTTAAAAACCAAGAGCAAAGCGTTTTTCTATGGTTTCAAGCACATTTTCGGAATCATTGAGGGGGGAGACTAAAGCCCCGTCAGCCCCCCTCACTTCTGCGGACCGTGCCTTAACCTCGCCCCCTTTTTTAGATTATTACCCTTTATAATGAGTAGTTGAGATTTGATTTGAACTATTATATGACAAACCATACAAATTAGCAGCCATTCTTAAGCAGCTCTTATAAAACGGGCCGTTTATTCAAATTCAACTTGATTAAGAGAAACGGCACATATTTGGTCTTGCAGTGCATTTTTTGAATGATTTGCAAAACCTTGTGGGGAATCGATTCTGATGCTCTTTTTTATATGTCAAGTCCTCATAGAATCATGTAGGCAAAACAACGCCCTTGTCCTGTCACAAATACAGAATAATTATGTTATACTTTAAACTCTGGTACTTTGCTTCCGTCACATGTTACTCTACCTTCACAAACATCATTCCTTTTCTTCTTCTAGCCGACCTCGACCAGAATCTCCTCGTTGGAGGAGCCCCAGCCGGAGCAGCTTGTATGGGAGGATGCCCACAGACCTGTGCCCCAGCATGCGATGCATCATGCTGCGGAGGTGAACAAGGAAACGAGCAGACCATTTATGTCCCAGTTCCAATGGCCCAACCTATGCCACCTCCACCACCACCCGCACCAGCTGGCTGCGCAGTAGGATGTCCCTCTACATGTGCACCAACCTGCACACCAACTTGTTGCTTCGTACAAAAGAGATGGCTCGCAAAAAAGGCTAAGGCCCAGACAAAGAGCAAAGTCAATCCCGTCAATAGAGTATTCCGACCCCAATTCTAAACTATGGACATATGACTTCACGATGTTCCAAAATGTAACTTTTAATATCAAGTGATTTTCAGGACTATTCCATGTACATTTGGAAATGGCATAGTCTATAACAATATGATTTGATAAAAAGACAGTTATAAATTCCCCTTGACTTTTGCAAATAACCCACCCTAGCGTTTCATTTACACAAACCACTGTTTTGTGTGTCAGATATAGAGTTTGAAAATGTCATCTAAAATGCAAAAGTAAGACTAAAATCTGTTGGCTCCTTCACATTTCAAATAGCGCAGCCGATGATTTCATTTATAGAACGAGTGAACAGACACTGAAAGCCTTTTTCTTTCCTCTTAGTTTCATAATTCTTAGAATCTTCTTCTGAATACAAAACAGTGGCAATTTGAAATATTTTCTCCAACTTCTTTTGTTTATGAACTTTATCATACTTGACTTTTCATTTTGGAAAAAGCACTGTTTATAGTTTTATTGGAAGATCTTGACTTTGTACTTACCCATGTTTGACAAAGACAGTAGCAAAGGTCAAAGGCCAATTGATAAAAGGTGAAAGGCCAATGACGTAAATTGTTTGTAAATCTTAGGATTTTGTTCGGTATTGTTCGTTTTATTTTCATGTAGTGAAATCGTGTGTCTTCTTTCTATTTGTTTTTCTGACAAATGTCGTATTTTACCATCAATCGTATTTCAGTGAGCATCCGATTTTATCTTTAAACTTTCCCATTAACAATTTTACTTTCTAGAAACTGTCTAGAAAAATTAACAATTTTTCTTCTTTATTTGACAGTTAAGCTGTCAAAGACTTTTTCACATAGGCATATTTGCAAAGAAGGCTTTTTCAAGCACTCCTTGCACTAAACTGAGCATTATTTAAAGACCCGTTATTTCTGTCACTGAAAGTTTTTCATTGCGAACCTGCAAGTATTATGATCAAAGCTTTATAAACAGTTTAAAAACTACACACTATCTTCTAAGAATAGATTTAGTAAGAAACATTAAGGCTAAAAACTGGTAAAAATTAAGATTTGATGAAACGAAAAGCAAAATTCAATTTTCAGTACAATTTGACTGTCTAATCACATGAGCTATTTGAGCCAACAGACAAGCGTGAATTAAATGCAAAAAATTGAGAAACACTTTACATGCTTATATTATGCTATTGCGTTTTGTTTTCTACAATGTTTTCGTGATGGATAACGACGAAAGTTAAGATTTTAACTTTGCTCACAAGAATTATTTTAGGCTCAGAGTCACGAATTTTTAAGAATATTGAGAATTAGCAATAATTAGGGTATTCTTATATACAAAAGTTTGTATGACAGAAACAGCATCTGTATAATTTTTACATGGCAAAGCTTTGAATTTGTCTAAAGTTTTGTTCACCTTGCATCTATTTTAGACAGATATGAGAAAGAATCATTTGAATAAAGGGCAAAGAAAAGCGTTCAAAAATAGAAATCTAATTAATTACCTCTTTCTGCAGAAATGCTCAGCTACCTTGATGTCAAAGTGGCCTAAGTGGTGACCGTTACGATTAAAGGGACAGTTATCTATTTTTACATGTTACCAGAATCAAGCTCCTTTTCCGTAACATTCCATGGCATGCTCTTTTAAAACACTTGGTGTGCCACGCTGTGTTTTGTTTATATCTTTAATGGTTGTGATGGTATAAATGGTAAATTCCTTTCCAACTTCAAAAGCTGGGTGCTTTGCAAAATCGAACAGCCATAGATCATCCATTCTCTCTGCAATTAAAAAATCTTTTACAAAATTTACGAAATTGCAACTTTCCCTGTCATCAGATGATCATGACTGAATTATCAATATGAATGATGTATTTTTTATCAACTTGAACGAAAAATTCTAAAAAACCCGAAGAGCGTTGCTATGTCCATTGCTAAAAAATATTGGGTGATTTTCGCAAACATATATTATTTTGAACAGAAATGAATCCAAGATTCAAAATGTTGTGCTATATTTCCAAATATCTGACCAGTTTGGTTGTCCAATACAACAATAAAAATATCAACTTGAACAGTTGTCAAAAGTTCTTGAACAACTCTGAAGCTTAAACTCTGGTTTGAAAAAAAATTATCTTTAAATATAAAATGGTTAATGCACCTTGCCAAACAGAAGCATGCTTGTTGAAATTATTCAATGCTTGATATGACCTGATGATTTCTGGTAAGCCATCATTTAAACCGGTACTTTCCTAAACCTTTTTTAAGCATCGATGGTCCCTATGCATCTTCATAATAAATAGGTTCTACTGCAAGTATCATCTAGAAGATTGAATATCGTCCTTACGAAATTTGATTAATTATTATCAATTAAATTAAAACAAGATTGGGCGGATAGATGTAATTGACAATTAAGCAGACTAATTTTGAAAACAGGGTCGTATGAAAGTTATATGGAAAACGCCTTAGTTCACACTACTCCGTTTTCAAATGAAAACGGAGTCAAACTTATCCGATTTTTGCCTTGCGTTCACACTACTCTGCTATGAAAATGGAGTCGTTTGAAAACGCCAATGAAAACGGATACTTTCGAATACGCTCCATTTTCAATGTGAGCACCAAAAACGGAAGCATTTGAATACGCTAGCAACGGCAACAAAATACGTGCTTTCTAGCACACCAAATCTAAAAATTTTTAAATTGAGATTTCACAATAGACTTGTAGCTGTTACAACAAAGTTTTTCACGATTTTATTTAATTTTATTTATAATGACGCCAATTTGTTGTGGATTCGTGAACGTCTCTTCCCAAAAATGAGGCAACCACAAGCGTTTTTGTTGGAGTAGTGTGAGCACCTATCGTATTCAAAGCGTTTCATACGAATACGGATTACACTTTTTTTATAAGAACAATTTTATAAGAACACGAAACTCAAAACTGGTCAAAAGTTAAGAACAAATTAAGAACAAGCTGAGACTGAGCTTCTGCAAAATGCAATTTTGAATAACTTTTTTCTCAAAATCGAGGATTTTGAAGCGATGTGTGGGTGCTTTTTCGGTGAATATTCAAATTTGTCAGCAAATTAAGACTGTCTCTCACTTTATTGGCAAATGAGGCCTGAACACCTCCTTAGAGCGAAAAAGCTAGCAATAGCACTGCTTACACCCTCTTAATTTAAAAACAAATTAAGAACAATTCAGCCTCAGATTTTCGAAAAAATTAAGGACAGTCAGCCTGAACTTGAATTTACTGGTTCTTATAAAAAAAGAGTGTAGTGTGAACGGACATCGTTTTCACCAACGAAAACGGAGCGAAACGAATACGGAGTAGTGTGAACGTAGCCTTATTCTATCCTTTTGTGCAGGGTTGCCAGATACCTCGAATTTTTGGCAGCCACGTATTTTACGAACGATTGCCAAATTCGGCCTGCCAAAGAACATATACAAAAACAGCCAAATTGTGGCTAATTCGCGGATTCAATTTGATGTAGGTTTTGTATGTCGCTATTTTGAAAACTTTGCCAGCATTGAGAAATTAGATTTGAAATCATCCTGTTGAAATCAGTCTACAATTAAAATCTCATGTAGTTTTGACTGTTCATTCGCGAGATACTGCTTGTAGTTTTTGAAATATTTTCAGTGAAAATTTCAATGAGTTGTAACGGAAAAGCTTGATTTTGAAAATGGCATGATTCACGGCCAATTTTTAGGCACAGACTAATTTTAACTTCAAGATTCAGATTCTATGATCCATTTTTTGGCAAATGTGAAAATAGAAATTGATAACTTCGAATGGTAACCACATGAATTGTGAACAGTTATTGTCAAATAAAAATTGTGCATTTTGTTCATTTAAAAGGATAATCACTGTTCTACTAACGTCTATTTTGATGATGAAAAATATTGCAGGTTTGAGAAAACATATAACCTTACCAAAAGAACGTTGCAAGTAAATTTATACAGTCCGCAGTTTCGTTTCGTTATGGAGCTGAGGCTGCAGGCACACGCATGCGTTATTGATTCTTTTTATGCGCGACTGCTTGATAAGTCGGGGTTTCCACTTTTGTAAAAACTGCTTAGGATATTTTGAATAATTATTATTTGTATTGGTATGTCTTGCTTGTAAATCTGCTGTAAATATCATCAAGCTTCATCTTTCTACTTGGTTTAAATAAACTTATGAGGTATGTATCGGCTCTATTTTTGCTTCATGAATGACGCGAAGTGAGGGAAGTTTTCCGATATCTTGAGGCTAGGCCCAAACGAAGAAGGGCGGTAATCTACGTTTGAATCAAACATTATGCGCATCCATCTATTTATAGCGAAATACTTCGATAACAATACTGTTTGATGAGTAAACTTGTATTTGTGCGTAGGAACATTAAGAATTAGATGTCCTGAAGATTATCGGTTTTGCTATGTTTTCATTAAAATTTCCTGGAACTACTTTGTTGTGGCGCAAGCTGAAATATTATGATAATAATGCAAGACTGTTGCATTTTATCAAGCTTATGAAGAAAATTCGAATATTCGTTTCGTTTCTTTATTGTGTACTGTTTATTAAATGTGGATTTTATCATGAGAAGTACAACAAAGAAACAGGAAACCGTTATTGGTTTAAAGCAGACGATATCCTTTCATGCCTCATTGCCAACGAAATTAGGGCCAACAGTTTTTTAAAGATTGCTTTGAGACAAGCTAGGATTTGATAGCAATATGCTTTGATTATTTGTTCTACAAATTAACCAAATGCAACAATAAATAGTTAGTTCTATAGTTTAGATAGTAAGGAGATGTAATTGAAAATAGTTTTGGTAGACAATGAAGACTTCACCAGATCATATTGATTGAAGCTGGAAAATGTCTCAAGCTGGAAAACTTGCACATACTTACAGTTGCATACTGAAATCGGCATTTTGATCTTGAAGTGTTTGGGTAGAAAGCTAACAGTTTGTAAGACAACCTAAAGGACAATATTTTTATTAGCAAAGCCCCACAAGAGATTCTTTCCTAAGGGACTCAAGACTGCTCCATTATATTACTGCACATAAGTTTTCATTTCATTTGAGGGGCTGTCCTAAAGCAAAGCTGACTTTCAAGGGCCCAATTATAAAAACCTTTTATTATCATATACACTATCAACGAATATATATTTATGATATTAACTAACTACAATTATTATAAAATAACAATGATTAAAGAACAGACCCAGATGCAAACCGCCAATTTATCTTACCCTCCTATCAAAGAAGTCTTGCATCTAATAGACAGCAATGAAAAATTATGCTTGTGCGCTATTTCTCTCCATTTGCAACTCCACCTCATATACTAAAACTGTGTGCAGCAATGCTCGCCCAAAATTATCTTTAATTGGGATATGTGCCCCAGATGAAAAGTTTGTTATGTAAATGGAAGAACTTCTGTGCCTTGCCTGAAATCTCTGTGTGCATTAAAATATTTAAGGTTAAAAAAATCTTCATCATTGTTTAACATCATTTGCAAATTGATTTGATTACACCCCTCAAAGTAAATTCAACCTTTCTCCTCATTCCCATCTAAAATGACACAACAGATTAGGAATTGTGTTTTTTCATGGAACTTGTATGACATTTTCCAAAACCGTCAACGTTGTTCTGAGGAAACAAGAGAGAGGGCATGTATGATTCATAGTATGGTGTGTAAGGTTTCTTACATGATCTGTCCAAACCTTGAAGGGGCATTTCATACTTACTTTGTATACACAATCCTATCACCAAGCGATCTTCAGATGCACTTTAATTCAGTTTCAAATTAGCTTCCATATGCAAAAATCAAACAAATTGAAGTACCTCATCTCTTAACAAAGCTAAAAGCTTCTTCTAACATTAGAACTAAGTTGAGCTGATAATTGATGGCAATGTATCTATGTATTTTTCTGTCTATAATCTTCTGTGTATGTTTTCTTCTTCTTGTGGCCATTTTTTCTCTTTGTTTTTTTCATACCAAAGCAATATTCTTTCTGCAAAATTTATACCAAGTTTGATGTAATTGCTGCTTTATAGAAAATCTCTTGTACTAGAATATTTTTTTGGTTTACAATGACTTCCAAATAACATAAATTAAGGTTTGGTTAGATTTGACTGGCTATAAGCATTACTTTTATCAATTTGAGAATTTTCACATGGGTTTTTTTGCTCAAAATTTGCTAATAAATTTTATTCCATCATTAAATTCGTCGAGCCTTGTATATATATATTTTCTTATGTCCTATTTCAGACAACCATACTCCAACAATGCATCTTTTTACAGCTATTTTTTTCAAAACATTTTGATACTTGGTTATTATTCAATGATGGTGCTAGAGACAGGTCTTGCACAAAATTAAACAAGGAATGACAGAGTTTATCAAAGTTTATTTTCAAGGCACTAAGCATAACATTTGAAGCAACTTTTTGCCTTAGATATTTCTGCTATGAAATAAGGAAATTGATATTTTTCTGCCTCTTGTGCATTTTAGCTGTTTCTGTATTTTGAAACTATAAATGCTCGTAAAAATACTTGAATTATGAAGCAAGTTAGTTGTTTCTAACTTTTCCACAAGTCTTGGTGCATAGTTTAACACACTTTTATTTGTGTTTGAAAATGGCACAGAAAAGAATAAGCCATAATGGAGTGTTTTTTATACCCCTCAAAGTATGACAAAATAGGTTTATCAACACATGATTCTTCCTGACACCTTACTTTCAATCCACATCTGGGTATAAATTCACAGAAGCTTACCATTTTGGTCATTATGATTATTTTACATCCATTAAGGTGTAGGTGAAAAGTAATAGTTATTATACATTTTTAGAATTAGGTTTTTAGAATGACAATATCCTTCAGCGGCAATAAAAAACATGTCTTTTTTCCTTTATTTATTGTGTTTTTAACATCATGTACAGGCACTGCGAAGGAGGGGGCATGGGGAGCCTTACCCCACTTTTTGCAAACGATGCAAGATATTAAGAAGTGAACCACCATTAAAGCTCCGTTTTTGTTTGGTTATATCCCCTGCATTTTTTTTAGACCCATAACCCTTCTCAACACTCATGGTACCTGATGTATCAGTGAAAATTGTTTTGAGTTTCTTCAATTTGCAGAGCTGTAGATGGATATTTTTCAGTATTTTAATTTGATCACTGCTTGGATATATTCAAGTATTAAAAGATAATCAAAAGAGTTTAGTGCCATATCTAAATTTTTGATTAGATAATTATCTCATGAATTGAAAAAACTTTTTGGAGATGTGGCAATTTCAGAATCAAGCTTTCTTTACCAAAGATTATTTATACACTTTGAGACAATTATGGAATTATTCAGATTCTTGCCCAGTTAACAAAAGATATCAAGGATTTTCAATTGATATGTGGTTGTATCTTGATAAATTATTCACTGCTTTGATTCAATTTATGCATTTTTTGTTATTATTTTTTAACAATGCAATCATATGATAAGTTTTTTTGTTTATAGCTCAACACATTGGCTTCTCCTGAACACTAGACATCTTTGAACATATTGATGAAACTAAGCATCATGTTTTATTGATCAAGCTATTGTTGTCATATTTTTTCCAGTCTTCAAGACACAACAGTCACAAATGTTTTACAATATTATTAACTGCATGACTTAAATCTTTTGTTCAGGTTTTCTTCCTATGAAATCATGTTTAGCAATGTATCCATGAAACTAAGACATTGCAGAACAAAGGCTTACTGATTATCTTGATTTTTTTTCTTCTTGATGGTAAAGGCATCGATATTGACAACAATCTAGGGCTCATGATAACTATTGCAGGCCTAGTAGTTTGTATTTTTGTAGGTGAGCTGTGAATCGCTCCCCTAATTTGCTATGGCAAGCTAAGTCAGTAACACATAGAATGTATGTTAAAGGCAATCAACAGATGGCTTAAGCCCCTTCAGTAGCTGACAATTGCCTTTTAATAGTCTTGAAGTCAAGGAGTATGCTGCTTTACTTCTTTCAATTTGTATTAGCTTTAGCCGTGACTCAGGCTTTGCTGAAAGGATTTAAAAGAAAGGACTCTTTCAGTTTCATGTAAAGCTTGCTCAACACAAAAATAACAATCTTTTTGTTGCACAGAGTTTAAAATGGCTTTGCAAAACACATTTTGAAACAAACTTAAGTTTTTCCTCAGACACACTTCAGAATATAAATCATCAGAACATAGATCAAAAACTCTATGCTAGGAAATATATATATCCAATTGTGGATATAAATAGGCCAATCAGAAACATGAGCACAACTATTGAGGTTGCCCAATCAGTACCACTTGCCTATGGCAAATGGAAATATTACCAACAGATCTTTAGGTGAAAACGAACTCCTGTCTAGACAATACCGGCTTTTTCATGTTTAAGTAGGTGCATTGCAAAACTGCTAGATGGAACAACGATCAAGCTTTACCAATAAATCGAAACATGTTGCCACTATAATTTTTAGCACAACCTGTGTTTTCCAGTAAATGCTGCCCGATAGCAGAATCGCATATTTTTGTTCAACCAATTAATCCTCTTATAGGTTGTTCAGGGGTCTCTGAATACTGAGCACTGAGGCGAGTGTGAGCTATCACTTGCCCCAAACAGGCAGGCCTGTTTTGTACAGCGAATCAGAAAATTTTATACAACTTTAATTCATTGAAAATTCATTGCTGTATGTTGTAATTTTGGACATCTTTAACTTAGAGAAAAATTTCACTCATATAATGCTTTGACAATTCACAAGTTTTTGCAGAAAGTCTACACATGAAAATGAGATCTTGATTGTAAATTGTTAAATTAGTGAATCACTAATTTTGACCTGTTGATCATTTTCTCTTAACAGTTAAGGTCACATTTCAGAATATCTTTTCTCTAGTAATTATTGAAAGCTAGTACTTGATATAGTAACAACTAACACCTCTTTTCCTTCTTTCTTAGCATAAACAATTCATATACAGATCAAAGATTTATTTGGTTTAATGTCTGTTGGTGGAGGTTTTGGAGATAATATTTTAGGGATGAACCAGTAAGTACCATTTTAAGATGGCAACAGCTTATCAAATAATTTTTTAAACACCTTAATAAATGTTTTTTGTTGTACATGAAGAAGACATAAGTCCCATTATTCTGAAAAAAGTCAAATTGTATTCAATAGTTTTCAATGTTTATCATGTATTTTGGTCAATAATGTAGTTATTATTGGTTAATCAGATCTCTGACACTCCAGACGTTTCACACTGCTAAGAGAGTCAAGATTAAGAATTGTTAATTTTTATTCATGATGTCAGAACAAAATCCTAAATGCCAAATTCAAAATATTCCATCAGTTATTAATTCTTTGCTTACCAAAAAAATTGAAACACATTAAATGTCAAGTTTATCAAATATTCTACAGCATTGTACAGGTATGGTTATGCTTAAATCTTGATACCCTGAAAAATCAGACTTAAATCTTTACTTTTCTTTCAATTATCCCTTATAAGAGCTTTGGATCTTGGTTTTAATTATCAACACAGGGATTTCCAATAAGAAAATGCCCTGAAGATATTAAAGCAGACAGCTAGTTTTTGGTTAAAAATTTAACTTAAATCCTTCTCTACCATATAAATATGAAGCCCTCCAAAATGTGTGAGGATGGCTCAGTTGCTAGAGGCACTGACTACAGACCCGAGGGTCTGTGGTTTGAGTCCCCGGCATGACCAAACTTTCACCCAGAGTGAGGAGAGTTTCCAGCTCTCTGTAATTCCAGGCAAAGGAATCACGAGGTGTGGTCACATTGAGAGGAAGGACCAGAACACTGCTCAATAAGCATAAGCTTCTCAGTGTCCTAAAAACTACCTTCGTATGCTAGGTAGAAACAGATATAAGCCCTCCCCCTGTATACAGGGATAAGTTATAAGTTTCTATAGTTTAAGCCTAGTTTCAATATTATTGTAAATACTTTTGTCATCCCTTTCTAAACTGTACCATCCTTTGCTGATTTACATTATTCATCATAAGCAATTTAATCCAAGATCTTATACACTGAGTGCTGGTCTTAGTTATGCATAAAATTTTATCAAAAATATCCAAAACTAGTCAATTTAGCCTTATTTCCAGCAACATTTGGGGTGACTTTAAGCAAAGTCTATCATATAATACATTATTTGCATTGTCTCTGCTTTCTGGTAATCTAGCTACAGTAACTTGCACTAGCTGGAAAGCTATTAGAACTTGTACTAATGTCTAAAGGGAAAATTCATGTTTTTCTGTGCTTTCACTTGGGATGACTACTTTAAGCGAAGTTACAGAAAGCATTTGTTAGTAAAACAGTAACTTTAAGAGTAAACTTTCTGCTCCACCTTTTTCCTGCTCAATCTTTCATGTACCTGGTAATTTAAAATGAAAAAATTCGTTGTCTCTGAAAAAGGCTGAAAATGTTAACCAGTTTTAAGTTAAGGCCTCTCCATCAGAAACCTTTTCAATCTCATGTTGATCTTGCTAGACATTTTTTGTAAATATTACCCTTATAGTAAAGTCTCTCATATCACTGCCAAAAGTTTTATCACTCAAAGCCTTTCTGCAAATGAAACCACTGTCAAAAGTGTTGAAACACTAACATTAAAAGTTTTGATTTTAAGTGAATTCAACCATTCTTCCCTTTCCCATTTGTTTACTTTAAAATTACATAATAGATTATGAATCATGGAATATTTTCCAAAAATTATCAACATTGTGTGAGGGAGCAAGAGAGGGCGCGGAAGAAATAGCATCCAGGAAAAGAAGAAGCGAAAAATATTTGGATTATTAGTGTAGCTATTAGATGTTCCAATAAAAATTCCTTGCAAATAATGTTTTGGAATATATTTTCTATGCTGACACTCATTTCATAATTCTTTAAGTTAACTGTTACATTTTCATAAGCTGTTATGTCTATGCATCCATTTGCTAGGGAATTAATAATTCTAGTATCTCTGTTAGTGACAATCTCCTTTATAAATGACATATCTGTTTCTTTCTACTGTCATTTTCCATATTCATAATTACTTCAAATATCCACTGTCTTTTCATATTTATAGTTTTACATTTCATACATTCTTCTTTTCTTTGCATCTATTTTGGTTCCCTTTAACATGGCTTGAAAATTGAAATTTAGCTCAATAGTACTTACTGATTTATCACTTGAGCACAGTATTAACATTTTTAGTGTTTCTTGTTTTACGCACGATGAGAACAATTGTTTTTAAATTTTCAAAAGGAATCTAGTTTTTTTTATTTTCCTGTTAAATGTCATATCCCCAAAGACTTTTTGAAACTGAGAAGAAACCTTGTTTCAAGCTAGACTGGATTATTGTTGATCTGGTCTTTTTATTGGGTTTTTCCTAACTTGTTAAGACGTTAAATGGTCTGCTTAATCTGCGACTTATCAATACATCTAGTAAACAGCCCTTAAAGTGAAATACTACTTTTATTACATGATCACCGTTCTGTGACAAAGACCCTGTCATGGTATACACATTACCCCACCGTAAATGGGTTGTAGTAAGAGCCTGGAACGCAATTATGGAAGTGTCTGGTGATGTTTTGATCAGTTAAGAAATAGTTTATGGTTTATAAAATAGTTGTGGCAGGAAATCCAATCAAACACAACCAGTACAGCTGTTTGTTTGGAAATCAATCCCATTTCTTGCGAATAATTCGTAAACAGCCATCGCTGGCTGTCTAATGCTTGTTACCTTCAGTATTATATTTTAGGATCAAATTTAGTTCTTATGCCCCACTGCTAAGAAAAAGAGTGTTGTGTATTTTGCATGAGGAAGATCATTTATTTGAGTTTATGGTTAAAGGAAGAATACTTGTCGAAAACGGCGATGTCAACTTTATTTCACATGAGAGAAAGAGAAGCGGGTTGGCAGTGTGTTATTCTGAAATAAGCCCTTAATTTACCAAAAATAGTATCGTACTTTATAGAGTGTGTCCGGCTTTAAAATTCCTTAAACCCCACCTCATTATTTCTCGCTTCCAGATTTTGCTATCAGGCTTATTTACTGGAATCCTCTTTCCAAATAAATCGACCCTTGATGACTAAAAACCCATAGAATGTTTTTATCGCTACTTCAAGAATTGTCACTCCGCAATGCCCCCCTCCCCTTGCACATAGTTATTACGGCATACTGTGGATTGGAAGGGGGTTGGGATGTAAGAGATAAAGTCAGCGATATTTTGAATATGATAGAAAATAAGGGCAGTGGATGTTTTGGGGGATTATTGGAACAGGCAGCTTCCACTCCTGCAGCCCTCGGGCATTGGTTTCCTTATGTATTGCTATGTCCTTTAAATGCATTCTAGAGCCGAAGCAGGCTTTTCCTCTACAAATCATGCAGAATCGAATCGCAATTTGGATGTAGAAAAGTTATAGCAGACGAAATGTGGCACCCTTTTTTATTCCAATAATAAGATTTTTAAGTGTGGCCAGAGTCGAGGGGCAATTCACTCTTGCAAATAGCGCACGAGATTTTCCCTAAAATAAAAGGATTTCTGTGGATTTTCAAATATAACAATACAGGGGCGGATCTAGAAAATATTCTGACTGTCGCACACAAGGGTGTGGTCGGAAATATCATTCGTGACCACACCCCTTGGTTTTTAAGGATATTCGCCCCCTTCTCATTTGAGCAGTCGACACGCACATTAAATTGGCTTTTATTTAGAACGTGGCCAAACTGTTGTTTATTCCTTATCTGAGTTTTCAATTGATACTACAGAATCATTTGTGTTGTTTCTTAGCCAAGCGTAAAGCAAGAAAGCGTATTGACGGTTTTCCTTTCATAGTCAGGCAAAAATTCGAGTCGTCTTTTTCGATTTGTTTATGGTATACGATGACAAACCAGGCCACGCGAAAAAATAAAAAACATCATTGCAATGAATTTTCAGAACTAACCAAATAGAACAAATTTACACAAATATTCATAAAACCTGCATTAATAACTAATATTATTTAATAGCTAAACCAAATCAGCGTGTAAACATGTATTTTACTCTGAAGAAACCCCTTCGAATTCAGGGGAATACCCAAGCAAGTAAACATTACCCGGAAATATCTGAAAGCTGATAAAGAACTGAAAATCCACATTGAATATTCACTTTGAAAGTTTTGTCTAAGTGAAAATTTTTCTCTGCCAACGTCCTGAACATTATTTCTTCGCCAGAGCTAAATCGCAGGTATCGCCCACTGATTATCACCCCAGTCCAGTGCATTTATTGACATTAGTAGGCCCTCGATCCATGGAGGAGGTAATGAACATCGAAACTTGAAAACATCCCGTGTCGAATGTTACTCTGAAAATCTAGCGACCTTTGTCTTCCAAATTACCAGGTTTAACGTATTCGTTTTACATGTAGCCAGCCGACTCCATAACACAAAATTCCTTTTCTCCAGTGAAAAACTTGCCCATGCCAGGCATAAATAAGCTCAAAACTGCACAATACACGCAATGAGGACGGATTAATCTTAGCCCAGTGGTGCGACCTTACTAAAAAACATACTGTGCACCGAAGTTCGCACTATCTAGCAATTTGATTGGCTAAATATTTTGAAACAAAAGCTGTGCGAATCGGTGCGAACGTGCTACTAATCATACTGTGCACCGAAATACCCTAATCTAGCTACATTGGTACCCTGTTGTTTTTTAGTCAGGATGCTTTGAGATTTGAATCAGATTGAATCAAGATCGAGATAGAATTAGAGATTGTGTTTAAGATTTTGCTTCTGTTTATGGCCAGGTTTAAATCATGCATGATTCAGACCTTGGATATTCCTGCTCCTGCACGGTGTTCAGTTGTCAAATATAACTGAAGCATAATTCCCGAGTAAATAGAATCAAAACACAAATGAGAAATTTGCCAATAAGCGAAAAAGTTGTTGTTCAGCAAAAACCTCTCTCGAGACAGATTCTTAATATAATTTTAAAAGTTTGACTGTCGCATGTGCGAACGGTGCGAACGTCTAGATCCGCCCCTGTAACAATAGGATTTTCACGAAAGGTGTACGAGATTTTCTTGGAGTGATTTGCCCCTCAGTCAGAGTGTCTTCACCCAAATTGTCAAAGGGTTTTGGGAACACCGTTTTGCTTTATGATATTATAAGAGTTATTGAACACTCATAAGTGTTTTTTATTTTTGTAGGTTTCAAGGCTCCTATAGGAAACAACCGCAAGATTTATCACCAGGTATGAAATTTTCTGATATTCTGACATTCTTTGGGGAGCTGAGAATCTCTGTAAATCAAATCTTTAATACCTTTTAGAATATTTTGAAGCAATGTCACCAGCATTTGGATTGCCTGCTCTATGCGGCTAATGATGTTTGAATGTATTCAAATGGTATCGTGGCTTTCGATTCCCAGACCGAACTTATCTCTATTCTGATAAGAGCCTGCCTTTACTGGGTGATGTTACTTAAACTTTGAATAACTGCAACATTTTCTTAACTGGAGCCGATTTGGAATAAAGCATTTTTCCAAGGTTTGTTTATGCGGCAAATGTTTGTGTTACAAAGAAGTGCAAAAATTTGCCACATCCCACTATGTCCTGACAGTTTATGACACGAGATTTATGCCTCTCGAGCGAAACCACTTTTTCACCAATGCTTAATCTTCAGAAATTGAAAAAATCACGAGTCGATGAAATTGCAACACAAAGAATTTGAAGGCATAAAGTAAGTAGGTATAGAAGTGTCCAAAAATTCTACAGCCTACGAGAATGGCATGATCACTGTGGAAATCTATTAGCTTACCTTAAGGGATGCTTTTTGGAAACAGTGAACATTCAAGTGCAGAAAAAGCAGAATGTTGGTTTATTTCTTTTAAAGGAATTCATTCAGTTGTGTTTTTAAGTGAAGGCAGTTCCCTCGTCAACTCCAATTTTCGATGTAGGTGGACGAAAACCAAATCTTGGCAGTGGATTCGGACATGGAAAACAAGGTTACAAAATGGGAATGTATAAAGACGAAAATGAAACTGAAGAAGATTTCAACAACCCATTGCTTAGCAAACCAGGATTTCCGCAAAGACCCTCAGACAGAGATGTAAGCTGCTGTCTTCCATTAATTTTATCATAAGCTGTTTCTTTTGGCAAAAGTAGGAGTTTAGGGGAAAAACAATGACAGATGATATTTCTTTGAATTTATACAAAGGCCAGCCAGCTAGAATCTTGTTTTGATTGGTAGTCATATTATTTAGCCAATTAAATTTAACATCAGATTCATATTAAAACCACGTGCTAAAACATCAAATATTTTGAAAATTGTTTTGAATTATCGATCAGCATTCTTAAGTTTTATGCTCTGAAGAGTGTCGGACGAAAAGCTTTTAGTTTGTCAAAAAATGTTTACTTTTTCCAAAGCCATTTTTTTCAAATCTGTACCGCCAAATATTGTTTATAAAACCTTTAAGATGCCAGTAAAAGATAATTTTGCGACCTTCTCATTGTGTGGCATAGGCTGAATAATGCCAAAAAATTGAAACTGTATTTTGACGTTTTTTTTTATTTTAGATCAGTCAACAAATGTCACAGTTAAGTTTATATGGATCCCAGTCAGGTTTGTGTGATTTCCACCTTATTCTTCGCTGACCCCGGGAATTTATTACTTTAAAATACCGTCTTATAAGATCATATTTTATAGAATCTGTAGCCTAGAAAGCTGTATTTGTGCCCAAGTTTAATAGGTATATTGTTTACCGTAATACCCAAAGAAGGCTTCTGATAAAGAATAACCTAAAATTTAATTTTCAGTGTCAGTATTAGAGGTCCAACAAAATCAACACTTAATTAGATAAATCAGAAAACAAGGACCAAATCCCTGAAATCATTGCATACTGGACAAAAGCACCAATATTATATGAATCTAAACCCTAAATTGGTGAAAAATATTTTTTGAATGAGAACCAACCTAGGCTCTCTCGAACCCCCTCTTCCTTTTACGTATATAATTCTATTACCACTTTCTATTTTCACTTGATAACGGGCTACGCTCAAAACGTCTTTTTTTTAATTCGCTCATTTTCCAGGACACTTTCACCTTATTTTCAAGTTATATTGTCAACCTTGGCAAACCTAAAAAATGTAGGCTGTCAAATGTGAGATTTCAAGTTTGTCAGCTTGCATCAGGCACATCTTTATGTCATGAAATCCCTTTTTATCAATTAGTATTCAACTGAATCGTTTAGAAAATGTGTATATAGTAGAAAATACGGGTCTCTATAGCAGTATATTATCAGAAATCCCAAGCAATATCCACCATGCTTATCAGATCGAATTTATTTTGAGCAATGGTCTGACAAGCACATCTCACTGTTCAGAGCTTTTAGCACAGATGTCAAAAGTATTGCATCATGCCATACATTTTAATCATTCATGTGAAGACATCCATTTAGACAACATCTGTTATGTTTATTTACGAAAACGATAGATTTTTGAGCAACCTAATAAGTGTATACTGAGCGTTTGCGTGTAGAACGGTTCTGGGTTGAACGTCCAAGTTTTGTTTTTAGGTAGATCATCTGCCAAAGCACGCACAGTTCTGTCAGTGCTGCATCGAACACTCTGCCATGTGCATTTTAGCAGTTATTATTATATACTGTGCTTCATGAAAGGGACAGTAGGTCTGTTCCAATTGGTGTCATTTAACATGAGGTAGTTTTGTAAGAGTTGGTTTGCAGCGGAATGTTCTGTATCAACATTAAAGGTTTTCTGTTCTTACTTTCAGATCCGAGAGTTGGCACTTGGAATGGTTCAGGACAAACCTTTGATGGCAAGTATTTTGTCTCTTTTTATGGGACGGAGATGCGGGGTTTATGCTACCGTTGTCATTTTTTAGGAATTTGAAGGGGGTTTTCACACTAGAATCTGGGAATATGTATCTAGCCATTGTTTTGTTACTAAATGGTTTTCTGCAGCATTGGTTAGAGTTCTCTTGCCTATTTGATTTAATTATTTCAAATACTCTTCATGGTGAGGGGATTTGCTAGCCGAGCCTCAAGTGGTTTATGCGTATTTACTTTTGATGTTTATAAATTATTTTTGTTCCATCAGATCCACGGTCGGCTGCATGGAATGGTGGACAGTCGTTAGATGGTACGGCCTAATTTCACTTTATCTGATTATGGCTTGACAAAATCCCAAAATTCCTTTTAACTTTATATATTTCGTAAAAATTTATCATGTAAACCCTCTCATTATCAGAAAGAAAATCAAGAAAAGGCAACATCCATATAGCAGCTGTAGTTGGCAAGTGATGCAGTATCCAGAAAGAGGCTATTTTGGATAAGGGGCTTGATCCAGAAAGGGGCTATACCCCAAAAAGGGGCTATATTTAGAATAGGAGTAAACCCAGAAAGGGGCTATTTCCAGACGGGGCTATATCAAGAAAAGGGTAATTTTAAAAAATGACTATATTGAATTATTAAATAAAAAAATATATCATATGGGGCTATATCTAAGTACAAGAATGGATTTTCATCAATGCTTGTCTATTTTTAATTTAAATTTACTCAACTTTTTGCGTTGCTCTTTTATCGTTGATTTGAACTGTTGATTTGTTACCTTCTATATTTAGCTGCCATCTGTCTGCCTATTGTTATATCAAATTTCCTGCTTTTTTAGACGTTTCAGCCGATTTATGGAGGTCGACTAGTCAGCCAGGTATGTTTTTTGCTAACATCCTAAATTGATTTCTAACCCATTAAGTTTATCTACAGAAACCCCTTGCATAAAACATTTCAACCCGGATCTAGTCTAAGTTCAGCAGCTGACAACACAGCAACTCCAGTTTACTGTTTCATCCCATGCTGAATTTCCACAAGAGAAGAAATATACTTGTAAATAGAAAATCTTCTTGACCTTCGACGCAATGATTTACTAAAAAGCACAAAATACTGGGAAGGCCATACTGGTCCAAATCGCCCGTAAGTAGAAACCAAATTTCCAACATGCGGGAAAAATGGCGACCTGGAATGAAACAAAATCCTGGCTAACTTTTGTCATATAATGAGTCTTTCACCGGCCCCTGCTATTTGGATACGTTAAATAGAATGTTCTCTTGATTTGCCATTCCCAAAAGCTTCTGCTTCCTTTTACCATATCGCATTTTTGGAAGAAATTTTGAAAAATAGCACCATAATTTTCCTCACTTCCAGTGTTTTGTTAAAACTTTGCCACGCACAACGTGTTTTCCAAACGAACCCTTGAAAGGGTCACTTGAGCTCTTTAGTTATGACGTCATTAAAGATCTATCTTTAAAGCCTTTTAATTTTGACCACATAACTTTGAGAACAATTATGCCATCCTCTTTATGTGGAAAATCAGTTAAATGTATTTCGATTTTGCTGAGATGTGACCATATTAGCACAGGCACTTTCTCCATCTTTGTTTTAGATTGTTCCAACTAGATTTAACAACCAACTAAATAGCAGTAATCCGTTAGCAAAGCTGATTTTTTTCAAAACAACGATAATATAGTTAGCAAAAAGATTGAGTACCAAAATAAAGATATAATAGTTTGATTTTAAAAACTATTATATTTTCATTCTGGTTCTCAATTTATTTGCTAACTATATTATCGTTATTTTGGATGAAGTGCCACACGCAACGTACATATTTAATTTGATTTCTTTCATTTACTATATCTCATTTTGCAACAGTCAATTCATAGCAGATTCAATACATTTGCACTTAAGAGGTAGTTTTTAATTTCATACTCGAAAATGAATAATTCTTTGACGTCACACTTAAGAACTCTATTTACACAAAAAGCCATTTCGTCTTGAATGCTTTATCAGAACAATGTGAGCCATTCTCCCAGAATATAGAGTATTACCTTTTGAAAGTATATGCGACATTGAAAATATATTACATTGTTAAACACGACCTTTGTCTTTGTTTTACATATTCTGTCACTTAAGGTAGATTGGCATGCCCTCAGCTTTTAATTGTCGTGTTTTTAGGAGGAGTTTTACCAATGTACAGTTCAGGACAAATGACACAAACATCAAGAGGGCAGATTAGTACAACACAGGTAATGTGTAGTGAGGAACAAACAGTGCTATAAGATTTGTAGTGCCTACAAGCACTTAAGGATCTGTCTTTGTGATACAGCAACCAAAGGGATTATGTAATTACAGAATCTATGTTGAATAATGTATGTCGATGTTCCTTTGTTTGTTGCGAATAAATTGCCTCGTTTTTGAAGGTTGAATTGACTTGAACAACACCAAAAGTGTTTTTAAAAATATGTCCCCAAGCATTTTCTGCAAACGATAGCAAAAGCTATGTCGGTTTTTCTGCTGCCATTTTCAGGATGGAACAAAAAAATCAATCTATTTGTTTCGATCATTAACTTGTCAACTAGCGTTGTTGTGGTTGGAAACATTATGACGTTTGCTGTTTTTAAAAAGAATCATTAATGGAAAGAACACGATGTTTTCAAGGATTCATTCTGGTGGTAGACATTGTTGAGTTATTTCGGAGGAAACCAGGATAACGAATTGTTTGGTTTTTTCCTTTGCAGTTCTCGCGGAGTTTTTCTACGCCGCCGATTGCATCTGGAAGTGACAGGTTTGGCGGTTTATCTGGTACAGGAATGCCGCCTATTTCTACTGGATTTCACCACAGTTCATCTTCTACATCTGGTCAGACGTCTCCTGGCAGGTAAGCAAAGTTTCAGGAGATTACTTCTCACCTGACTTTATGATTGTCCTACCTTCATTTAATCTTCAACCGGCTGTAGTATTAACTGATATTGCGTTGGACGTATTAGCAAATGCGGATAAGGTATATACCAAAGTTTTGAATCCCGGTAGGTTGTGAGATTTGCGGAACATGCTTTGGCGAATTTGGATAGGGCACACGATTAGGAAGTCATCAAATTCTTCACCCACCACTTGGAATAATTTACGAAAAAACATTTTTTTAAAAGCAAAAGACTTTATAAGAAGGCTCGATTTACCAAAAAATAAGAGGAGCATTAGACATGCCACGCCTCAGATTAAATAGAAGGATGATTCTTCAGACCTCTTAATGGTTTTAGTGCAAGTTTTGTGGATGCATATGCGGTTAAAGCGGGTAGGTTATGGTGATCCTGACCATACACCCCCCCCCCCCAATATCAGTCTTTCGAAGCAACCCATCGTCTAATATCATAATAGAGACCATATCGTTTAATTTCTAATTCTAAGTTCTAATTGTCATGCATGCAAAAAATGCAATCTTTATTTTAGAAATGTGTGAATGTTTAATGTTTTTTGCTAAACTTTTTTCTCTTGTTTAAGCAGGAATGGTTTGCTATCAATGGGTGGACGATCAACAATTGGACAGCAGTTACCGTCAAGTCTTGCGTCTAATTCACAGAGCCAATCAGCAATAAATAACTCAATACAAAAGACAGGAAGAACTGCAGGATTACCCTCTGTTTTAAGCAGGTACATCAATTTTATTTGGATCAGTTGGTCGAGAAGATTCCCTTTTCAAGACACCTTGTCCGTTTCCTGGCCCTGTTTTAATCTTAGTGTAATCGGCTGATCCTGTTTAGAATGAAAAATATCAATTAGGTGACTGCAAGAGGGTGCCTGTTGTTTGGTTTTAAAGGAATACGCTAAATCTATATATATAGGATTTGAATATTCGATAATTCAATACACGAAAGCTTTTTACAGTTTTTATGTGATTCCAGTAAACCCTACAGGTTAGTCAATTTTCTCTAAAAGAAACTGGTAGAGTCTAACTATTTCCTTCATATTTCTATTCTGACCTAGTCAATAAGTTTTGCTTTTAAAGTTAGTTCCGCTGATTTAATTTTATATTCTGAATTATCAAATCGATGTAATTTTTTGTGTTTCATTTAGTGGCTCTCGAAGTTCACCAAATTTATTACCTCTTGGACTGACCCAGCCTGTACATCAGCAACAAGTTTCACAAATACAAACATCAAATCAACAACCGAACAGAGTTGGAAGTTTTGGAAGGTAAACTAAGCTTTCTTAAATATAAGAGTTGATATATTTTCATTAGTTTCAAGAATCTTTTTGCAAGATATTTCTATAATTATGCTTGGCTTGCTATTGTTTCTTTTCTAATTATTAAAGTAAACATCAACATAACGGATGAGAATTTATGCCCGTTGAAGAAAGGTGTCGTAAAACTATGGGTTCGTTATGTGAGATTTCGATCACACTCAAAATATTTCGGACTGAAATCATTTCTCGGTTGCTGTAGGGTGTCCGTTATTGGGAAATGTCCGTATGTGGTGTTCGTTAGTAAAGTTTTGACTTAATGATTAAAAAGAACATCAAATTGATTGTAATATTTGTACTGTTTTTCTAGTAGAACCACGTTAGTAGGGTCAGTACCAACCATATGTAACCATTCGCTAGATTTTGTTAGCATCGTCAGTTAACTGTTTTCAATATTTGAATTGATCATGATGATTATGATGATATAAATATAATATTTCTGCAGCTTAAGCAGCTTGTCCGGAGGCGGACCGTTGTCAGGAATCGGAACAAGACCTTTCTCATCATCTGGTAGCCAGGTACGTTTGTATACCTTTATTGGTGATCAGCTAATACTGTAAAAAGACCTAAAACGCACCAAACTTTTGTTAATTTCGCTATTATGTTTAAGCCTCATTTTGAGTTTTGTTTTAGAAAGAGGCTGCCTCGTGGTTCGCGTTTAATAGCGATTATTATTTCTTCGTTAATTGTCATATGCTATTTAACATTAAGCAATTGGTAAAAATATTGCAATCTCTTTTTTAAAAATTTCTGAGTTGATAGATATATCGATTCTTCTTGGAAACATAATTTATTGGATAAAAATAGCTTAACAATTTTTTTTTAATTTTTCCATCGACTTGAACTTCCCATTGCACTATCTGCTCAAAATCATTTTTTTAATCCTTATTTCCTTTTCCATCAAAAAAGTACTGTTGAACTAGTATCTATAAAGTACCTGTCTCTCGCAGACTTTGTAGACAAATATATTAAAACTTTTGTTGCTACACCAACAAACTGAGGCCAGATTCCGATTCCTGGGCTGCTTGGCATTCGCTTTTCCGCAGATCTCAGCTTTGCTCCTAGCAGCCAGTTTGGATTCAGTATTATACAAGACCCCATTTTGTTAATCTTTACGACATATTTGCCAACTATTAAGGAGAAGAGGGTTCAGCTGAGGGCCTTTGCCTTGGTCCCTATCTTTCTGTTGTATTTATACCTACTATAACATCGTAATTGAAATCCGGATATTTTTGTGTGAAGAGGTTTGTAATTTTGAGCGAAATACTTATTTCTGTTTTCTCATATAATTGTTTTTTAATTAACACCCGATTTTTAGGGTGGTTTACTTGGCCAGTTACAAAATGTATCGGCAGGGCACGCGGTATCATCTTTACAATCAACAATGGCATCAGTTTTCTCAGGTAAGTAGTGGTTTTTTTCTGATTTTATTTGTACCAAAGTTTAAATGAAGTTTATAAAAATTTCTTTTTACCAGTCTGTCATAAAGTGCTTAACGACGTTTAGGCATGGCTGTATAACGATGAAACGTAAATGCACTTTTTTATAAGAATAAATTTCATTAGAATATTGAGGCTCGAAATTGGTTGAACTTAAGAATTAATTGAAAATTTTTGTAAAGGCTTGATTTTTATCGACAATGAGGCTTATTATCTGTATGAGACTTTGAGCAAAGAAGACAAGCCTCACTTTCAAACAACATTTTTCAGGTACACTTGTTTGGCGTGTGTTGCGCTTGCTTGTTTTTTCCTGCATTGTTTTTGTGATAAAGAAGTGCAGTAGGAACTTAACTTTCTTCTAAGGAATGGTTTAAAAATAGTTTAATTTAATTTACTAAATTACTTTAAGAACCATAAATTTTTAAGAAAATTGAGGCTCAGCAAAAATTAAGGTATTACTATAAGACTATTTGACAATTTTTTTGGTGGTACAAAATCTGAAAATTGTTTTGAAAAAAAGCAAATATTTTGCAACATTCTAAATGCTTTTTCGTCTCACGCTCCTTAGAGAATAAAACATTTCGACTACGACCAAATACCAGGTGTCTATTTTTGATCCTGATTATTTTTACGCAGGGTCATCAGACAATCTTACACAGCCAATCGGTTCAGGAATCAGTAATTTTGACGTAGACTTTCCTGCACTGGCAAACAGAGGAGCTTCATCATCATCGTCACCCTCAAGTTCACAAAGTGCGTCACTGCCTTCAAGAACGGGCTACGGTTCGTCTTTGTTTTTTAATATTGTTGATCTCCGAATTAGCTTCCAAATTATTTGATACAGGGGGAGAGGGGAGCTTCTTCATTTAGGCTGAGCTTTTTGGGCTGCTTCGTGGAGGGGCCTATTAAAGTCTACTTGATGGTCGCCATGCAAAAAGCTCTTTTAAGGCATTTTCACATTATTTTTCAAGTTCATTTCAGATACGAAACATTCTGCGAAGCAATATTGAATATGTAATTTCCTATTAAATGTGTTCTTCTTCACATGATAATCATGTATTTACTCATCTAACCTCACCCTTAGAACTGGCATGTCAGGGTGGAATCTTATTCAAGGTTGGGGCATAAAAGGCGAATACAATTATAACATTAATTGATTAATTGTAAAAGGAGACTACAAAATGCAAATCCCCAACGGTTTGAAATTTTTTGCAACGACATGCATTGGTTCCTCAATAAGAGAACGGCAACACGATTCCTTTATTTGTTCCTTGCCACAGTTACGTCGAAATGTCTGTTTGACGTCCCTCTTGATAGGAGCAAGAATTCTATCTATCGCCTGTGTGATATGAAAGTTTTCCGTTCATTGTCTTGCTATACCTTTATTATTAACAATTATTTAAAGCAGATATTTTTTTTATTTTTCTTGACTATGTTCATATTTCTACTTCAGGTGGTGCTCTTCAAAATCATGATTTAGAATCATGTAAGTATCTCATTGTTTTCTTTGGAGTCTTCTGGAAATACATAAATGTAAATTTTAAAAACAAATGAGCCAATCAAATGCGTCTTTCTTCCTCTCACTTTGCTTTCGATCAACACCTTGTTATATATATAGGTTTCCAGCTTACTTTCGGTCATTGTCCGACGCTTATACTCTGAGGAATGACGGACAACAGCTTAATTATGCTGTGTTTCCGGTGTATTTTTTGCCATCTTCAAAGAATATTCATCACATAGCAAATTTAGTCCTAGTATCTACATCCTTAGCAACACTAAAATCTTGTATATTCACATTAAATTTTCGATTAAGTCACCCTTCCCCTTCGTTTATACTCTTCTTAAGTCGCTCTATATCAGTGGCGGATTTAAGGGGGGGCAACTAGGGGCAGTTACCCCTCCCTCGACGAGTTGAAGCAAGTATGGCGCCCCTTTTTTGGAAATTGTGCGCCCCTTTCGAAGAATGAGAATCCGGTAAAAAAGTTTCTGAGACCAATAGGTTAATTTGCTTCAAGGATTACTTCAAAGTTATCTTGTTTATTCCGAAAATGGATCTGAAATTGTTGTATACAATGTTCTCTCATCGTCAAATTTTTCAGCGCCCCCACTACCAACTGCCCCTCCTTCAAGTTTGCTCTGGATCCGCCCCTGCTCTATATAGTTCGTAAGGCTATGTCTACCCTCATTCTAGTTGTCATGGTAACAAACAAAAGTCAAGACTCAGTTAGTGAGTTTCAAATTCAAAATGAAGACTTTCCAGCTCTCCCGGGATCTTCGCAGTCAGATTCTTCATTACATCAAGAAAACAAATCACTGGGTGAGTGAATTCTACTCCAGTTCTATTGACAAAGCAAAACTTTGTATTTTCTGGGCACTGCGTTTATGTATGTTCGCTGTATAATCATGCATATAACCTGAAATTGACTTCGATAAGATGTTAAAGCAAGACAAAATCGCGAAAAGCAATCCAAATTGTTCATAGAAGCAGTGGCGGACACTTGGGGGGGGGCAAGGGGGGGTGACTGGCCCCAATACTTTAGAGGACAATGGTCTTTTGCTCTAAAACAATGGGAAATGTGACGTCATCTTATTTAAACAATAGGCTTGCCCCCCCCTCAATATTTGACGAAGTGTCCGCCCCTGCATAGAGTACATCCTAGTACAAGGTCTAACCAAAAATAGGGAATCTATGCGACAAAGTAGAGGAAGCAGAGCTAATAAAGCCTTAACTGTTAACTATAAATGCAAATGCAATGCAAAACATATCAAATGTAGCTATCTCGAAACAAATTAAAAACAGGATAAATGTGAAATACCAACGATTTATCTATAGGATAAATATTTTGTGTTTGTAGCGAAACGATATGATATTATTTTATAGCATTTTAGATTTTCTTTTGTTTGTTATGAAACTGCCAATAGGGGTAATGACAATTTTTGAACTCGAGTATTGCTTTCATTTCAGTAGAGACATTATAGCCTTGACTCTAACTATAACAGTAATGGTTTTGATCATTATTTTGGCTCATAAGACATTGACATCAATGCCTCTCATCTTTATTCGAGGTTCTGTGATACACCCTTAAATGTATAACTGCACTTAATTTGTACTAAGACAGTTTCTTTTAACTGTGATTTAATTGCAGGTGTGTTTGTTTAATTTTTTATCAGCAAACAAAGTTTCATGAAAAGATCATTTTTCGAAGCTATCAAGGCTATTTAGAAGCCACGCTGTTAAATTTTGACATGAATTCTTGGTGTCAAAGTAAACAGGGTCTATAAACTAGCTATTTGTTAATCTGCCAGCCACTGTCAGTTTTAGCTTGTTTGTCGCTATAAAAGCTTTAATATTCCCATGCATTTTAACTATGACAGTTTTAACCTATCCATTAGCGAGCCTAATTGAAGCGGTTGGTCGATGCGGTATTACCAAAAATCAAATGGATCTGCATCCGAAGGTTGTTTTTTAGGACACTGGAAAGCTAGGCTTATCGAGCAGTGTCCTCCTCCTTCCTCTCGATGTGACCACACCTCGTGATTCCTAGACCTTGAATTACAGAGAGCGGTCATGCCAGGGTCTCGAACCACAGACCCTTAGATCTGTAGTCAGCCCCCCCCCCCCCATGGCGCTACACTGGGGCGGGGTATACATAGCCTGATATAGCTCTTACCGTGGCTCTCTGAGCAGCCACCGATACCAGTGACAGATACCCTTGTGTTATTGTGGCGTACAACAAATTAACCCGCGCAGCACCAGTGTAGGCCCATCTTAGAGGATTTATCAGATAGTCACCGAAACGCTCTCTCGAAATGTATGCTCTTCATTCATAAAGATCACAAGAAGGGTTCAGATTGATACATTAGCAATTGAGGCAGACCAATTTTTTCAACTAAATTGTCATAAATGTCTTTAATTTGTTGTGGAGGGTACTGGAATCCGAAAGGGAAATATTCCGAATTGTTAGACGACTTGGACTTTCTAATGCCTTGGGTTATTCAGAATGGCCCGTGCCTCAAATTATAGTTACGTTTGCCACTGAAAATTCAACGAGCGACATTAGATTATCTCTGGGCCTTAAAAAACTGTCTGCACTTTATTCCTGCAGATAAAATATCGGTGTAAATTACCAAATGATTCTTCATCGGGCCAGTTTCTTTTGCTTAGGTGTAATCTTTTCCATAATATTTCTTTTTTAAGTAGAAAAGCAATTGAAAAAGTCTTGTTTTTGAATCTTTGTTTTTGTGCGTGGTTTTCTTGTTACGAGGAAAGTCGTTTTCAGGTGATTCTGTTCAGCATTTTTGCAATATAAGGTGGCTCGTAAAAATAAACAGAATGCTCATCATGGTATTCAAAATAGCGCACATGCAACAGTTGCAGTTACAAGCGCAATTAAAGCTGTAATTAAACATTAATTGTCAATATCAGGCATAATTTTGTCATTTGTATCACTTACTTTGTTGTTTTTAGATAAGGTATCTGATGAGTAATTTTCTTGTTTTCACAGTGTACCAGGAGTTACTAATGAGCTCAGGATCTTCTTACGAAAGTGTGGTAAAAGACGGCAGGTATGTCATTAATAATTGTCGAGTGATTATCATGATTGACATGTGATTGTCATGATTGTTGAATGATCGTCATGATTGTCGAATGATCGTCATGATTGTTGATTAATCACTTTTTAATTTTCGGCTTTATAATGAGTTATTGAAGCTGTTTTCCATTCATGATGGTTCGTGGTTTCGGTGTGAGATTAATTTTGCGACTGATTGTGATTCAGTTATTAACGATTGGGGACTTTGTTGTTCGATGATTTTGTGATGGCACGATTCAAGACAATCCTTGACATTTACTATGATTAATGGCAGTCATTGTTGCTAGGCTATAAACAAGTTAAAAGTTAATTATTATTCGATTTATGATTGATGGTAAGTGATTGATGATTATTTGATTGATGATATGATGGCAAGCGATCATAGTTGATTGGACTGATTAGGCTGTTGGTTTTTTATTTTTGACACATTATTGACATTGCTTTCTAGTGACAAATTATATCACATATTTTTTTATGTATTGTTATTTCGGCAAGATTTGACCATTTCTATCGATATACGACTAAAAGTATCAATTTCGCCATTTGCTACTTTTGTCCAGCATTCGCGATGATATCTGCAAATGAGCAGTTCTAAATGTTCTGTGTCAATGGGCAGCCGTTCTCCACGTCTTCTTTTCCTTTCACTAAACGCTGAGATTTTTTGGAGCATCAGATTCTGAGCAGCTGTTTCGCATTTTTTAATGATGAGCAAATTATTAGCTGCTACTTTCTTTTCAGCCGCGTGATTTTATAGAAATCCCTTTCCGTTTTTCTCACTTTATCAGTAATTGAGTAAAAAGCTTGCCAATTAGATACCTTAATTTTTTTGACTGTTGGCTGTTTGTAAATGCTTTATTATCTGCTTTTCTTGATCTTTGTAGGCCTTTTAGTGATAAAAAGTCAAGAACTCCAGGCTCTGCTGGGATACAAACGAGCTCATCTGGTAAGATAGACATTATTTTAACACATAAAGGTTTTTTGTTAATTGATGATCGCATTTGGCATAAAATTCTGAGTTTCGTCTTAGAACCGTCCTGTTATCTGCCCCAAAGCGTCTATCTATATCGACAGTTGCCTAATGATCCATTAAGCGTGAAACTCAGAATTTCAACTTACAACTGTCCTGCTCTACATGGCATCAAGAGCTATATGACAGATGGCTTGAGCAGCAATTTTTTTAAAGGTCTTTTTAAAAACATTAGCTTGAAATGTAACTGATACTTGACTGGCAGTTTAGACATAGACGTATTGAGAACTAAGTGTAGGGCGGGCATAGCTGTTAGAAAAGTAAAAGGTTATTAGTGAAATATATCTGCTTTAGTATCCTTTTCGCGTTTGATGCAATGAACATTCAAAAAGTTTCAGTTTTGTATAACATATAAATTTCTTTATTGTCAACTGTAACGATTTAATACCTCATTTTTCTTTTTATGTGAGCCTTGAAGGTCAAAAACTGCAACACTTCAATATTAAGATATGAATTCATACATTATATACAATATTACAAATAATACAATTACTAGATTGCAATAATACTACAATATTACAGTAATATAACTTACTACAAGGACAAGATAGTACCATACCACAAAGAGTGTGTGCGAGCATATTTTCTTCGTAGTCAATAATCAATCCATAAATAAAGTCACTTTTAGTAAAATATTCGACTTTTCTGCTAATACACAAATTTCCTGTAGGTGTTATTACCAATATTCCCGTCGGAATGGTTACTGATCAGTTTGGTATGATTGGACTGTTAACGTTCATCCGAGCAGCAGAAACGGAACCGAATTTGGTCACTTTGGCCCTTGGAAGGTTTGTTTGTTCGTTTCATCAAGCTTTTGTTAACCTGTTTGTCAAACATCTCATCTTTAGTTTACATCTGTTTACACCAGTTAACAACAAGTCTACAACATTTCAAAACAGATTAAAACAGTTTTACAAGTCTAAACAAAAGTTTACAATAGTTTATAAAAGTTAGTATGAAACATGGTATTACTAAAACGTAACAGCATGCGTAAGAGCCATGTTACATTTCAGCCTTGTTTTGATCGTTACTTTGAACTATTTACAGCAGTTCGCCACAGGTCACAACTGTTCACCATTGTTTACACTAGTTAGTTTAAGACAATGTACAAAGGTTTACAATAGTTAACGACAAACTGCTAACGGCATCGTTACCGTATTAAAGCAAGTGCAAGAGCCTTGTCATTTTAAAGCGAGTTTTGGCACTTGTTTATATGATTTTTTTGTGAAAGTTTAAAGTAGTTTAAAACAGTTCACAACTGTTTGAAACAGTTTGCAACTGTATATTTGTTTTATCTTTCTCTTGTGCTTGTGTGACATCAGGCAATATAGCCATTGTCAAATACTCACAAGATAGCTTTAAGGTTGCGGTAAACATTTTGACACGATATTTGATTTTCTCTCCCTAAAAGCAAAACTGTTAACGGAATCAGATTAAACTATACATCATTCGATGCACAAAAACGTGGTGATCCAACCATGTAAAAGTAATTGGCAAATATTGTAAAATGATACTTTCCAGGCAAATTTATTGCTTACATGAGTGTACCATCTTAAAAAGCTATTTTTGTACCCTTGCATTTGCGGTAACAAAATCTGACTTATATCACCAAAAAGCGCAGGTCCTTAGCTACCAAATTGTGTCTCAGAATTTTCAAATTCCTCCTCCCCTTGAAACTATATCCTGTCAAATTGGTTCCTTGGGTAAAAAATAGCTTTTCGTACCTGTATGTTGAGGAATTGTAAGTCTGTAGAAAACGGCATCTTACTGATCGCACTTGCAAGGTACACTCGTAAACCACAGTGAAATCCGGGTCAAGTCATTTGAAGCTTGAAGATCAATAAGCCTGTTTAAATAAACACGGCTGTACATGGGATACATGGATGTTCCATGCGATATTGTAAATGGAAATGCGACCACAACCGCAAAGCAACGATAATCGGCTTAACAGGTCAAGAGATTTTCAAACCTCAACTAAAAGCTTTGATAAAGAAATTATGGAAACCTTCGTTCACATGGGATTTTTTCCATTTTCGAAATTTCTGTTAGTTTCAAATTTGGTATTATTGTGTGCCTTGAAAGTTCGCCTACTTAAATGTGAAAAATCGAAAAATGGATGTTTTCATCCAGAAAACGTTTACCGTAGCCTTAAGGTTGATACATGATCTCCTCTGAGTAAAGAAAGCGATAATTTGCACGTTAAAAGTACACACACGTCTCTTTGAAGTATCATGCTTGAAATGTTACAAATGAAGTTGAAAGGAATCCTATCTGCACATCCTTCCAAAAGAGCCCTTATTTGATGACGTCATGAGTATACTTTTTTCGAATTTTTAAATTATGGATTATATTGACTGAAATGAATCACGAAGTGTCTCTAATTGTACAAAATTAAATGAATGTGTTGCATGTTGGCTTACGCATGACCATTTGAGGACAGGCGTTCTCCCCATCCGGATATATAATTTGATGACCTCACTCTTAAGATTTCTATACAGTCCAATTGAGACAGTGACAGCGAATTTGAATTTAACTTTTATTTTTTGTTTTTTAGCGATTTAACGACCCTTGGACTGAATTTAAACTCAACAGAGTAAGTACTTTTTTGTTTTATGAATCAGTTGATATTTTTCTTTGAGACTGAAGAAGAAATATTTTCCCCGCAGCTAGATTTTAATTCTCTGATTTCGAAAAGGGATATGCTGCTTACGTTAGGCTTCAGTAACGGGAAACCCAAGGTTAAATGCGGTCTAATGGGTTGGGGCGGGCAACTGAGAATTTGTTGAGCATTACGAAGCTGTAAACGACGGAGGAAAACGATTTCATGGAGGATAAGATAAAGATAATTTTGAGGAGTATTTCTAATGGAATGATGGATATAACAAAAGGAAGGCCATTGGATTCACAGATGTGGTGATCATAAAGTTGAGAGAATTAGGTTACTGGAAAATAGATGATGCAATTTCCACAACGATTTGTCTGTCGACTTACTTAGACACGCTGTTTGTCTGTCTTAAGGTAGCGTAAACAAACACGATTTGTTTGTCTACGCTACCTCATTTTTATAGAAAAACGTATATGTTGCGTTCACGTTGTTCTTCTCCGAAGACAGGTTGTTTTGACAATGAATGCCGAGTAATTTTTGTATTACAGCGCTTTTAAAAGCAACGAAGCATCCATTGTATTCTTTTTTCGATTCGAACACCGATTAAGGCGTAGAGAAGACATTTTTTTTGGAATCGAAGCGAAACGAACATGGAAAGATTACCCAGGAGCCTTGGAGAAGACGTGGGCGTGTACAATGTCGAGCACTTTTTTCAATGACCTTGTAGATAGACATTAAGAAAAGCTAGGAAACATTCAACCTATCAGTGACGTCAAAAAAGGCTTTTATAAAATGTCTACCCTACAATTAGAGCTTTTGACGTCATTCGTCTCCAGACCTCTCGCGGGAAGTTGATGATCGTGTTTACTTGCACATTTTCCTACAGTTTTTATTGAAAGCACATGGTATAATTTGTTCTTCTTTCTACCATGGTTGTATTCAAGGCATAAGTTTCACGGAATTCAAAACGACTCACTATATATCGGGGTGTATTTATATTCAGGCTTATATCCTATCAAATTATTATTGCAGATTTCCATGGATAAGGCTTGTCTTTCCATTGGTGCCAAAAATAGAATACGTTGACTGGTTTAGTTAGTATGTACATGACCAAAGTAATAAGCGTTAAAACATAAATCTAACCACAATTCCGCCCATATTAAAACTGGCCAAAATTTTATAGCTTGGCTAAAGTCATCATTGTAACTTGGCCTTTCAAAATTCGTATGAAAAATGACTTGTGAACTGATGGTATCCTACAGGATAAGATTTTATCTGTGTATTATTAAGAGACTTAAAGTGATATTCTTTTTGGAGGTGTTAAAACGAACTTATGTCCCATTATACTTGAAGAGCCCTAAATCCATTATTGCAATTATGATGACGTTTTTAGCCAGGATTAGCAATACAATAGTGTGTGGAATTTTTAGGAAACACTGATGGTTATTTCTTACTGTGAATCGTGTTTCAAGGGTTCTGGGATGTTATGAATAATCGTGGAGATTTCCCCGTTCGCAGAAGGACTGTAGGCCCACCAAAACCGGTATTGACCATGTGCCTGTTAATTGTCTTCAGTAAGATCCTTTTCACCGAAACCTATCTTTGTTGAGGTTTTTTATAGTACCATGGTCTTCAAAGGTTTTGTCGATGTTGAGATAAATAAAAACCTTCTCATTTCAATAGTTCAAGGAATTCTAGGTTTAAGCCTTTTTGAAACACTCAACATATAACTGAACATTGCTCAAAATTTGTAGAGCGCTGTCCAGTGATGTTCATTTTGAGGTGTTAAAACTCTCCCAGCGAGGGGCAAATCACTCTAAGAAAATCTCATACACCTTTTGTGAAAATCCTATTGTTTTATCTAAAAATGTAATCCTTCCCCCCATAAATCCTTTTGTTTTAGGCATAATCTCGTACGCTATTTGCAAAAGTGAAATGGCCCCTCGTCTCCCAGCATTTTCATATAGCATACGACCTTGTAGACAACTATCTATTTGTTTTAAGTTTGGCGCTAAAAGAAACTCCATATATATTTGTTTTTACCTAGCTTCTGTAGTAGTTTTTAGGACACTGAGAAGCTCATGCTTATCGAGCAGTGTCCTGGTCCTTCCATTCGATGCAGCTACCCCTCGTATTTTTAATAACAGAGAGCTGGTGGATCTGTTATTATGATGCTCGCTATTATTAATCACTTGGATTTGTAGACCCTAACCACCGAGCCACCCTCGCGCATCTTGACTACCGTTGCGTGGACTGGTGCTTCGCTGATGTTCTGTTAAATCGTTCTCAACAAAGCTCCATAAAACCTTGAACGTTTTCATATCTAGAGACAAGGGGCTTTATATCTAGGGGCACAAATTTCGCCTATTGGATTTAATTTTATCCTGTATTTTATCTGCTACTGTTTGGTACAGATGCGGGGCTTTTTTTAGTTATCGCCACTGTAAACACGCGCAGTCTCAAGAATAGTCTATACTAGTACGTCTTTCAGCTTCATCTTTGTTTTTTTCTTTTTAAAGAAGCCTGTATCATACTTTTGGATCACCCTTCTCAGACACCACGTGTCGACCGCATGAAATTGGTGAGTATTGTCATTTCTCTACTTAACCCTTATTACCATTAACCGATGACGTAGTTCCTGAATACTTATTATTTAAGATAACCGCTGCGATTAAGGTTTCCGTTTTACTGAGATTACTCGGGGGCTTCAGAAACAGTTCTGTTTACGGGAAATGCTGAAGGTTTTAAGTTAAAGGCCGATTTCAAGCCACCATTTGCACACTCGCCTTCTATTTACCCAGCAGCCAATGGCAGGCCATAGGTACAATGGTTATGAGTTGGAGACGAACCCCCCTGAAACAATAGATATACTTTATTTCCATCGAGGGGGGCTAAAAGCATCGAGGTACTTGTGACTGTCCTCGTGCTGCTGGCCTATAGTAAATGCCTTCCCAGATAGGCACATCTTAAGTACCTTGCCAGACCATATGGGATTCACCTTTATCACTATGCATTTAGGGAGATCATCTCTAGTGTCAGAAGATTGTTGGACGGAGCTGTTTGAAGCTGCATTTTGTGTTTAAGGCTAAAGGATTCTAAAACCATAAAGAAAATTCTTAAGTTTGGAGAATATGAGAACTCCTTTATCTAGAGAGCCATCGTGGGAAGTATTCGGAGAAGGCAGTCAAAAGTAGACATGATAAGCAGGGAAGACGATCACATATCAGTGCTCACGATTTGTTTCGGCTTAAGTTCAAAATCAGACAAAGCTCAACCTTGGGTGCCTTTCTCATTAACTAAGCTTCCGTTCTGCATTCATTTTTCACTGGGTCAAGAAATCCATTGAACTCCACGAAATCCAAGAAATCCACTGAGTCTTGCGCAGGAATGTAGAAATCGTCGTGGCGGAGTCAAAGAAACAGTAGAAGCAAGGAGTTGTCCTTGTCTGGTAGCAGCTTTGTTTTCCAGGCCTTCCTTAGCCGTTCGAAAGCCTGGTGTTTTGAACTCAGCCTTGAAGCCGCGGAAAGATTAGATTGCTAGAAGATTTCTGGAGGATAATCTATTTTCTGACCAGCTCTCAGCCATCAATTGCAATCACGTTGTCACGAAACCTTCGAGACAGTCGTTGCTAAGACTTTTGTCTTTCTTGTGCAGAAAACTTGAACTGAAATACCTGCTCCTAATTTTGGCGATTCTTACTATTTATTCTTCATTTTCTTTTGAAATTTATCCCCTATTGACTTCATTGCATTTCCATTCTGTCTCGTTTGCTTCCCTCAGTTTTAAGTTTGAAACAATTGACGTAACCCCAATTCAAGCTTGAAGTTACGTAATTCTACCCATGCTGTAAGCAATCTGTGTCCAGGCCTCTGGAGTAAAGTTTGTCATCTTGCTTCAATGCCTATGCTTCCATCGTGCGAATAGATGCAACCGTAGGTGGAGCCTAAATAGTAGGAATTATATTTAGATTTCTTACAATATTTTTAACCATACCTAGGAATTGAAATTGTTTGAAAGGTTCCTTTACAAAGCCTGTTTTGTATGCAAAAAAAATGTAGAAATAAAGGGATAGTTTTCGCAAAAGTAATAATGGATGGGTAAAGTTATAGCTCAGTGCATCAGTTTCCTTACTAAAGAAAACGTGGTCTATATTTGAAACTCTTGACGTCATTTTTCCAGGCCATTTTTGCAAAGTTGGTAGTGTTGTTTCCTTTTTCGTTGTTGCACTGTTCTATCTTTGGCTGTTGGAGGAATTCGATTGATATGTTTTGTTAATAAAGAAATTAAAAATATAATCTAAAAAAACACCTCGTCATGACTCATGATTATTGCGTCAATGTTAAAGAAATGTCCTTGTTTTTTATTAACGGTCAAGTCAACTAACCTTTTTGTTATGGAAACACTGCTATATATATATATTTATATATGAAGTGTTGACGTCATTTGTTTCCAGGTCTCTCGTATTATCTTGGTGGTCTACATTCAGCTTCCATTCTGCCACTTTTATTTTTGATAATTTTGAAAAGAATTGAAACCAAGTGTATAAGAGTTGATTTATAAAGAACTTTGTTTTTATAAACAATAGAAATTATAACAAAATAAAAGATTATTGAATCGAAATTTGTTCAGTATTGTTGCAAAAAAGTTTATCAATACTCAGTATTGACTTCAAAGACCTTATAATCTATGTGGTCATACTACTGGCCGGGAGGTCCATGGTGGAAAGAGTATTATCTTGGATGCTCGGTACGCTTGTGTCTCTCGCACCACTCCTCCCCCTCCCTAACCCTATGGTACTTTTCTTTGGTCCATTATTGACACAAAGTGTGGTATTTGGTCGAACCACTAGTTATGATGTCTTAGTTTTTAGACCCCTCAATGCTAACCACTTTTTTGCACCACCACCGCTCGTCACAACTATTTATCTTGATTGGAGCTGTCTTTTTCACCTTTGCGTTTTTCGTTTGCTCGTGACTCATTCTGGCTCTATTCGTAAAACAAAGCTGAAAGAACTTTTTCTATTGTGTTGCCCATTCAGATAGCGATTGATCCAACCCTTAAATAACGATCCAGCGCTATCCGTGATTGGTTTCGCGAGTTCAGCGACATAACTTTGTGGCTGGTAGAAATAAAACCTCGTTTTTGGTTCGCCGTGAACCTCTTTTCGGTACCATATAACTGGATACAAGCGTTTATAGAGTAACACATACTTTGTGATTTGCTTTACTAAGCGTAAGCAAGTTTACCAACGATATCTATCTGTAACTGTTCAGCGATACATTTTTGAAAAGGAGGCCTTTCCAAAACGCTTCTGTAACGAATCGAAATCGTGACGTCACTGGCTAAACGGGGCCTACGTTTTTCAAGAGAATGTTATTACAAATGTTTGTTTGTTCAGACCTTTTTCTGTCTTTTCAACGAAGGTGTTAGACAACAAACTCTATTCTCTAATGCACTTAGAAAAATTTGCTGGTTTAGGAACTTACCAAACTTTAATGAGAATCGCCGGACATAATTTCTAGTTTTCTTGAAATAATTTCCAAATCCATTCAATTTACCTTACATTGCATGCCTATTGAGCTGTGTCCAAGAACAAAACGTTGTGAAATGTATTTTAATAAACAATGAAGATAGCCAGTTTCAAAGCAAGCTGTATAGCAGTATTTAAAATTGGTGCTTTTACCCTTTATAGGTAATAGAAATGAGTTAAAGTAAATGTTCCTAGAGTCTCCATCCTCCGGTATCTTCAAACGTCTCAAAATCCCAAAGTGGAAAAGCAATGCCCGGAAAGATTATTAGAAGTGTTCTCTACTCAAAGCCAAATTTTAATTCGAGTTCAAATTTGAAACACGTCTTGGCAGAACGTTGGGATTTCTGTTTAATCGATTCGCTGCTCCAGATTCGAGAACGTCTTTTCTTAAACCTATTGTATTGTTGCTGCCAGATTAGGTATTAAAAGTTACATTAGCTCGGGCCTTTTGTTTTGAAATCATCAGTGGTCAATTTTTTGATATCAGCTAATGGGATTTTACACATTAGTACATCAGTGCAATTAGCTACATCGTACCAATTTCACTTTAATGCACGTTGAAACAATTTCAGATGCAGCGAGTTTTTGCATTATCGTAGTTAAAAGCCGGTTTTTACCTAGACGAGTTTCTTAGCGTCAAATTTTGCTCAATAAACAGTTTCCATCCTCTACTAGGGTATTGGCCACATTCTAGCTAGCTTTGTTAACTTAAAAAAACCTTATTGATAATTGGAACACTTTAGGGAAGTATCTTGTCATATCAGGTAATATTGCAGGCAAAGGTAGCTCAAAAAGGAAATATTACGTGATCCTGTGTTAAATCCTGATCATTATAACTGATTTTCACAATCATGCTACTTTCTTCAGAATGTTTACACAATTTTCACAATTCCATTGTCACTGAATTAGTCCTCTTCTGTAAGCACTTCTTTTCTCGATTTTGACCCCTGCAGAGGGGTTTGCAAGCCTAATATTTAAAACCATACAACTGTCAAGGAAAACTTTGCAGTATTTTGTTGTACGTCTTTGGCATTCGGACTGTCCAAGAACGGTTTGAAAGCGCCCTCCCTTTCAGTGGTGGAAAGTACGCTTGCTGTTTTTTTATATTTTAAACGTTGAGGACCTGTGGCTCTATTGTTTTGGTTTCCAGCTCATTGAAAAAAACTTGACAGCTTTAAAAAGCTTTCACTTTGGAGGTCACAGGATATTATTGTAAACCCAAGAAGACAACAAGACAGCCCAAGTTGAGTTTGGTTGAAATTTTAAGATACATGAAGTGCAATTTATGTGTATTTAATTGCCCATTTTTGCAAGTTAAACACCTTGTCACGCCTAAGAAATATGCCTAAGGTCTCAATACAGTATCTCTTAAGTCTGACCCCTGAGCAAATCCTTTTTGGCGTCGATGTTGAATCTTTTAGTTTGATGATTACATTTGATAGGACTGCATGGCCTCGCATTCACGTACCAACTAAGGCGATATCTTTCCTTTTAGATTTTGACTCTTTAGATTTTGACGCTGATTACTCTCTCTTTGTTTCTAGATTTCTACGTGCCTCCAGAATACTTAGTAAACACTACAATCCGAGATCGACTGGCGAATATACGACTAAATCGATACGGCGAGGATTTGCTGTTCTATTTGTATTATACGAACTGTGGTGATATTCTACAACTAGCCGCTGCAGCAGAACTGTGAGTAAACGACCTTGTTAGCAGTTTTGCCAGTTCTAATGAGAAAATAGAACTGTTTTTTTCTTAGCAGGGCTTACTTTGGCCGTTCATATTCATGATTAGACCTTGTACCCTTGATTGGATCTATTTTATTCCAATATGGATCTAAGAAGACGCTCTGCTCTGTCAATTGTCATTATTTCCACTTGATAATACCAAGCCTAACAAAATCATCGTAAATAAAAACAAACTAATAATAAACATTAATAATAACTTCTTGGTCCTTATGATGGCGTCACTTGAGCCTTTGATAACGACTGAGGTTTATATCAGTGTCCCGAATCTGAGGTGTTCCATGGCCCAACAACATGGCTAGAATATGTAACGCGAAATCCTCGTTTAATTATCTGAAGAGAAACATCGAATCGTTTCCTGATTTACCAGGACCCTGACGCAAGACTGTGCGCAAACTCCCCCCTTGACCGCCCCACTGCTCAAAGTGCTATCCGTTACACAGGCGCTGAGCTTGCGAAACACGTGGGCTGTACCAAGTCTTACTCTGATTGGGCAGCTAATCTAATTGAGCCAGCAACCAATTGAACAACCAAATATCAACCAATGTGATAGCATTTTGTGGATTGGGACAAAAGTTTGATATCGATTTGTGATTTTCGACCAGCGAAATTTTCTACAAAATTCAAAGTGATTGTCAGATGCTAGTGGAAGGATTCTTTGAACCCTTATCAGGCAGACGATGATTTAAATTAAGTTTGTGAGACAGGGTCAGTGCTTCTGAACCTATTTTTTGCAATAGCTGAAACAGGCTGAAATTTATTTGAAGTAAGGAAAGTGACCTGGTATACTGCATTGCGATATTTGTTAGTTTGTGACAGCTCTGTTACGTTTAAACATTGGTGGCTTGAAGTAGACGTTTTCGGAGCTATGAAGTTGTGAATTCAGATTTGTCATGCAGACCCTGTTTACTGAGTATTTTGTTCTAATGTCAACACTGGCATAATGAGAATGGGATTGTGGAAACAGTAAAATTGACATGTCCTAATGAAAATTTATTCATCAATATACCTTTTGTTGATATGTTCTTAGTAGGCTGGGTTTCTTTCTCCTGAACGTATTAATATCGTTTAATGCGAAGCAGATAACATGTCACGTGGTTCCCTTTTGCAACCGCAGTTACTCGAACCAATTGTTAACGAGAAAAGCCTACCTTGTTAAAAGATTAGAGCACACTTATTTTCAAGCAAGCGCGGATCTTCATATTGAAGTGACAATGCAGTTATCTTTGCTTAAGCAACTGTAACGTTTCATGATCATTATCTCCTCCTCAATTGTTTTTTATGACGTCATACCCACCTTAAGCGTAATTTCATTCTCCCACCCATAGTGTTATTTGAATAACAAAGTTGGATTGTGCGCTGGTAGAAGTTTCGTCAGCTTTCCTTGACCCTACATGCAATGAAATTAAATTGATATGTATATCGAAATTTACCGGGTATGGTTTGAGAAGACCAATTGGCCAAAAATTTCAAATCTGACCTAAAACGGTTTCGGAACACTGATTTGTGTTTTCCAACCCACTTCCAATGAGCTAAAACCTCGAACCTCGCCTTAGTATAAAGATGTATGGGCTAGCTTGGTCAATCCATAGCGAATGGAAAAGGACAATATATTTCCCAGGAGTCAATGGATCAAAAAACTCCTGACTCAAAAATTGTGAAAAGTGCAGAATAACCTAAGGTTCATTTTCAGGATCCTAGCAAATCAAATGTTTGCGGTCTCGTATAACGATGCCCAGAGACTTTGTTGGTCGTTCTTCGTTTTCTAACAAAAACTTGTTTACAACAAAAGAAAACTGATAAAAGAGGACTGAATGTTCAGCTGAGTATTTCCCGTGACTCCCGTGTGAAATAAGACTTTTTGTTATGCCATATCAATTTTTGCTTCTTCTCCTTGCTCAATTTTCGACAAAGTTGATATGAACACGACAGCTGCGCTTTTAACTTTGATATCTCGTTTATCGAATTATAAATTACTGTCATTGATTTTGTATCGTTTGGTTTTGTGTTTATATTTCTGAGAGTTTGCTAATCAATAAAAAATCCTCTTGATTCATAAATTATGGCAAAATTGTGCGTGTTTAAGACGATAATGTTTTTATTCTAAAAGAACATCGACATCGTGTTATTTTGTCTCCTGGTTTGTTTTCATACAACCAACAATGAAACTGAACGTGCTAAAGTTCTTTAAAATTGCGTTTTTCAGTATTTGAATTTAGGACCTTAACGATAATGTTTTGCACCTGGACGCTTCAAAATTTCGCGAACTCCAACTGATCTGATATGCTACAATAAACAGCGCTACTGTTGTCCATTTGATGTTTTACAAATAATATTCTTTTCGATTGAAAAAGTTTGCGATTAAATTTAGGAGTTACATAACGTCAAAAGTGAATGCATCAAAATAGACGTTTCCTTTGCGATCATCAAAGAGGGGTGGTGTCTGCTAGACTATCAAGAGACCCTTTTTCAAATAACAGTTCTTGGGGCTTGTTTTGATGATAAATATATAGGTTGCAATGTTCAAGGTTCTTACATTAGGTTCTTATATGAAAGATAATATTTTGGGTTAGTAATTGCAGGTAATAAGGATGACAATCAGAGGTTTAGAAAGCTTTGTAGGGCAAACAATTGATCTCGAACAAAAATGTTCTTAATCAAAAAAGACAGTTTGTAGATTCTAAAATTTTAGGTTCTTTTTGCGAGGATGTATCTTTCTTAGCTAAAAAGGGGGCTTGTGACACAATGTGTTAAAAAACTTCGATTGGCAAGAAATAGACGGCTGGTAGCAAGGGTATTTCTTAGATGGCGGGTGGGCAGGTAAAATACTTGGTTTTTAAATTCAAACGGACATCGTCAGCACCGATTCCATCCAATGACTTGTGATGGGGTTTAAGGGTTAAAAAAGCAGGGGCCTGGGGTCATGACCTTTCCAGCTTGTACCTATAAAAAATGTTATCATTCAGTGAGATCAACCCCAAAAGTCACCAATACCCTGCAGTTTCAGATATTAACGCTCCCTAGAAATTGATACCCTAAGAGTAGTGGTAGTGCAATACACCAAAGGTCAGCCTTCTGATTGCTACCCTTTCTCATAGAGTAGAATCCAGCTAATACCAAACCCTGCTTGTATTTAAAAAAATTACAAAACAGCGATAATTAAGCATTCTAAGCTTCCAGTATTGCCATGTTACTGTTTTCTGTGATATTTTGAATTTTTGAGGTACCAAAAGCTTTTTTATAAAAGAATACCCCAAACTCCCAACATTGGAATGTTTTCCTTGTTTTTAATTAGATAGTCCCGAATTTTGAACCACTTTGTTTACACTGTGTTTTGTTACAGATATTCTAGAGACTGGAGGTATCACAAGGAGGAGAGAGTTTGGATCACAAGAGCCCCTGGTATGGATCCACAAGTGAAAACAAGTTCATATGAACGCGGAATGTATTACTGCTTTGACTATCATAGTTGGCGGAAAGTTCCGAAGGAATTTCATGTAGACTATGACAAACTCGAAGAGAAACCAACATTAGGAAGTGTAGCCTGAATTTCTATCCTGAAATTTAAAGAAGTATACAGATGTAAATTGTGTCAGAATAAAGCATGATATGTCAAAATTTATGTTTACGAGGGTGTTCAATTTTTGTTATGCTTGTTGTGGCAAATAGCCCCCTGCGAAAAGTCTATCTCGTGCTTGAGAGAGGAACATTTGTTTCCTTCCTGTCTACTTCTGCGAAGGAAAAAAATACTTCACTCTAAAGCACGAAATAGAATTGGAGCAAGTCTACCTCGACACTGTGTCCAAAATCGAGTCCAAAATTGCATTCTCTGGTTGCTTACAATGAGTCATATTTGTAAGCTACGTATTGGGTACCATTAGCCATCGTTCATTATCATCAAGGGCCTAAATTTCCATCAGTCGCCATTTCTGTACACACTAGAATGATCAGCCATTATCATTGTCTTCATCCTTATCACTCATCAAACATGATCGAGCCGAATGAATCATTTTACGATGATCTTCTCTGAATGATTCTATTTCTAATCTATTTAGCCGGGTACCATGAGGAAAACCTCATTTTTGGTGGACTACCCGTTTCTCTTGTTGGTAATATAATGACAGCTTTTAAGAAGGTCAAAGAAACTTATCAAGGTCTTATCGAGAAATTTCGATGCACAAATTTGGCAATCGGAATCAACCACGTGTTTTTGGCAATATAGAGGATTACAAATACTTTACGTGATTTTGTGTTGCCATGGTTCTGGGCCCCTTCCAGCCACAGGTGTTTCAACCGCTCATGTTTGTCCTCCATTACAGCTAATAACATAAACTCGAAAAGTTGGTGTGCTGATCCAAAGCACAGGCTTGCTTTTATTTTTGTGTATTTGTGCGAAGAAAACAAATGCCACATTTTATGGACTTATCGACGTACTCGAACGTATTTTAGGCCTACATCTTTCATCTAAGATGTAGGCCCAAAATATGAAGAGGAATAAGAAACCCCCTTATTATTATTATCAAGCAACGGTTAAGAAACTGAGTACTAAACCAGAGCTTAGTTCGCTTTAAAAGTGTGTTTTTTAAGGAAAATTCAAATCTATTCTAAAGAAATTATGAAATGGGCAAATTTTATTGCCTCGAGCAGGCGAAACATTGTCTCCTGTTAGTTAAGTACATTCTTGTTGTTTTCACATCTACTAGATTTATCAAAACCAAGGGCCTACCTGAGAGGGAATTCGGGGAAGTTTATTTTTCAAACAAGTTGCGTGGTCAGTAGAAAATCTGATTTAGAAGGCATGCCTTCAGTTCTGAAAAACGTCTGATGTTGAAAATTAACCCATAATGCTTTAAAATACAAACGCGCTAAGTTTTAGGTCCTTAGGCCCCAGGTTCGTGTTGGTTCTCTTTCTAATGCGATATTAAACTCTGGGAAATTGTGGTATGAAACCAAGGGGACTGGGCAATCGGTCCCGGCTTACGTCAAATAATGAAAGAATTTGGTACTATGCTTGTCTTTCCGTTGTGAACTGTAATTGAAGGCTTCTACGGATTATATACTGATCCATTTTGGATGCGGAATATCTAAAAACCACGCCCTACATCTAGTTTCGTCATAGAGTTTCTTTACTCTTTACTTTCAGATAAGCCTTTGAAACGGCCAAATTTGAAAACAGTACGAAAAGCGAAAACATGGGACACTTAATTTCACAGAGTCGTAAAATTTTGTTTAAAATCAGCGAAGATTTCTTTTCATAAACTTTTGATGATCAGGGAGTCCGTTCCCCTTGCTTTTATTGAAGATTTAGAATCTTACCTTATGTTATGTTCTCGCAGGTTATTTTTTTCCAGATTTCCACAGCCATGTTTTTTCCTCGATCTCTCTACTGGCTCAATTTTCCTTTTTATGGCTATACTATATTCCCCCGGGCTCCTCCCCAACATTACCAACTTCTCTAACATTATCAAATAAAATTATACCTATGGGCTCTTGCATGTAGAATGTCAGACCGAACGAGAGACTCGCGAAAAGCGTCAAGGCAGGGAAGTGGCGAAGCGCAAAGAGAAATGGAAAAACGATTACAAATTGAATAAAATTGCTAAATCTTACTAGAGCAATGTGGCAATCACCCCCCTCCCCCCCCCTCCCTTCGCCTCCTGCTCCGTCTCTCCTTGATCAAACTGGCTTGAATCACTGCAAGACCAGACAGTCGGAAGTCTGAAGAAAAATAACGGTCTTTTCCGCCAACTCTGTTGTACGAGATCTTAATCCTGTTTATTCTGTGATATTGAAAGTACCGGCTTTTTACGATAACAGTCCTTGCCAGTGAGAGGACTCGTGGATCCCCGTTTAACATACCCTGTCCAGTTATAGATACCAAACATGATAAACAAAGGTGAAATAAAGAGATCGAGAAAAACACGCAGCGAGTTTCTGTTTGAAAATACGGGTCAGTCACCTTTGCTAAAATACTTTTCCGTGCAATTTATAAATTTGGTTACAAAATTAAAGAAAGCGGATAGAAAAGCAATTTAATCGTGGGGAAGCACCACTATCCTGATTGCCACATGATTGCTTGCCTCCCATACCCACTTCCATGCCCCGACCCCCCTCCTTTGTTCTTTTTATAGCCCTGCCACCTTATTAGCCTTTAATCGCCTCGACGACAATTGTAAATTCTGACGTTGAAGTCCTTGGAAAGCGGGTTGGGTTGTAGATGCCTTTTCATCGACAGAAATGCCAGAAATGCTGGATCGTCGCGATTTGCTAATTTTGCAATCGTATTAAAAATAAAATCGTGTATTTTAGGTGAAACGAGACGAGTGGAACGATCAATGCGCATGCGGCATAGAACCTTTTGTGTACGGAACTCATTGTCTATAGAAACCATTGTTCTTGGCGATTGTTCTTTTTCCCATGAGGCTTCACTCGATGTATACATCAAAACATAGCAGGTAATGTGGGCGCGCCGAGCATTCTTCTCGCCATATTTCAGATTCTTTTCTTCAATCCTGAATCTGTCCGTCTGGCAAAGGAATTTGATTCAAGCTGCATCGTAAATAACCATCTGCTCACGAGAATTGACCAAGAATCGCCCAGCACATATCGGGTATGTATTAAACTATAATAATCGCACGTGTAGAATTCTCGCGGGCCTGAAGGAAAATTTGTAAAATCGTTGGCGCTCCCCGCTCTTTATACGTGAACGTTGTTCGCATTTTTGACGACATTTTTACCATACTTATCGACGAGGGTTGCTTCCGGTATGTTTAGCTGAATTCTCTAGACACTGTAGATCAAACAGTTTACATTTTGATGTAGAATACTCGCCTTAATGTTGTGAAACGTGGAACTCCCTTGAAGTACTTCGATCTTGAATTTGCCTCAGATTTCAACTACCTTTCTTTATGTCAAGGTTTTCATTCCTATGTTCGAATTTCTTCCTGTTTGTACCGTTAAATCTAAACAATTCCCAACCCGGCGCTAACAAGGGGAACGTTTAAATTCCTCTTTGCAGCAATCCTTTCCCAGATATCTTTATCTTTTTTCCATAAATTTTAGAGGCAAGTCCTAGTAAAATGGCTGACAATGGAGAAACATCGCCCCAAGGAAGTGAGCTGTCTCCATCGGATCCTTCACAAATGGCCAACGACGCTGAAGGTGTTTGGTCTCCAGATATAGAACAAAGTTTCCAAGAAGCTCTTGCAATATACCCGCCATGTGGGAGAAGAAAAATCATTTTATCTGATGAAGGAAAGATGTACGGTGAGATGGCCTTTTGTGCACTTGTGAATAAATTGGTTGCTCTTTTGGGGGTATTCGTGTTATTCGTAGAAGTATGTAGCCGATTTGAAAACTTCGGCGATTAATTGGTCTGTGTGCATGGGGAAAATTCCGACATATTTCGAATGCCTCTTGTTTGTATAACTGTCTGTTCGCTGCTTTAGCCTGTTGACTGCTCACTTTGAGCTAGTTTAGTCAATCGCAAGGCGTGACTCATAATTTGGATAAACGAAGAGCTGATCGCAAACGTAGTAGCGTACACGTGCTGGGGAAACGGTTAGTCTAGATTCTATTGCCCAAATGTGTGCTGTTATTTTCAAGCTTTTTATCAAATTTTCTACAGAATAAAGTTTGCATCACCAATTACGCTGATTTTTTAAAACGCTGTACTAGATGCACGAGCGAAGTTTCATTGCAGTAATATCCCCACCTATCAAATGTAATGGATGATCTTAATAAATTTTTTATGTAATTTCGGAAGATCAATTTTCAAAGTTTCTCCAGTTTTGTTCTCCAGTAAGTCACCAGAACTAAACCCCCACCCCCTCTCAATCCCACAGGTTCCCGTCATGGCCGGCTTAGCAAAGTATATGACGTCTATCTATCCTCGTGATAAAATCTGTGGTTTTATAATTTGTTTGCCCTAGATTATCTCTGAATAGATGTACGCGCAAACAGGAGGAACTTGACAGACAAAAAGGCATATTGAGTTTCACTTTGGTTTTCAAGCCTTCGTTGCTAGGCTATGTGCCCTCGTCAAAAGAATTCATGTTTGGCTTCCATCGCGACAAAGGGGCGCAACGTTGCTTGGATCGACACCCGATTTCGATAACTTATAAGCTATTGCATTGTTCCACCAAATGTCACTACAATCATCTATTGTGTTTATCCAGGGACACATGATCTGTTGTAATTCAAAACATGTCTCATTGTGCACATGTATTTCAAAAGAGGAGGATTCCTCTGTGACAAATTTCAGTTTCGTAACCAGTCTAAACAAGCTCCGTGAAGTGATAATTCAGATCAAAGAAAAGAGTCAAAGAATTGAATCAAGCGAAATTAGTTTCTAAGTACCAGGAAATAATCTGAAGATTGACCAACATAATCCCCGTATGTTGGCCGAGTTTGTTCGTAATAGCTATCTTGTTATTGACTTAACTTCTCAAAGGCAACAAAAAGAAATGGCATGTATTAGCCTATCAATTGTCCTAAGGATTTCCCTTGCTCTTACACTCAAATGATATGATTAGGCACACAGTAGGGGATGTATTGAAATTGTAGTCTTCATTTTGAGGGTTCCTGGGCTGAATTATGCAGATAACTTGAAACTGGCATAACCCCTGTCAGGGGTCTCAATATGAAATGATTGAAAATACTTACATATAGTTTATTAGTCTTGCAGGTTTATAATGAGAAAATTGAGTTAATTATTTTGAATTTGGCATTGCTCTCCTAGGACAATTTGCACAAAGCCAGATTGATTCTGGAAGGTTTCTTGAATACCTTTGTTAGCAAATTTGTTTCCTTTGCGTAAGATTCACCACCCTGGGCAACTGATATATCCTATAGTGAGCAAAATATTTTCTAGCTATAAACTTCCTTATATCCCTAAAGCCCAAGCCTGGACATTTGAGGAAGGCCATAGTTCTTCCCCCTCACCAGGCTCTCCTTAAACGTTAGAGGGGAGCTACAGATTGCTCTTTAAATTGCTTCAAAAACCAAATTGCTTTCCTTGAAATAAATTTTTCCTTTGTTTCTATTCCTATTTATCTACAAACAGCTTACTTGGTAATTACCAGGAGAGCTGCTTACTGCTCCCTTACTAAAACTCTTATGGCCAGGCCGGCTAGAACCACATTCCTACGAAAATAAACGAATGACTTATTTTCCTCAGTTCTAGCTTGAATATTGATCAAGTACTTGTTGCCTAGTATGAATATTGAATATTGAATATTGATACACATTTGAGTTTAATTTTTTTATCATACAATCTGTATCTCAATCAATGATCTGCTCACATACTGCTAGATCACTGAATTGGTTGATCATAATTTGATGTGGATGAAAATTTTTTCATAAGTTAATCATTTAGTCCAAAATGTAAGAAATCAATCAAATTTTTTTCTAGCGATAAACATTTTTTGCAATAAACAAATTGTGTACTTTGAACTGTACATTCATTTGTAATCTCTCAAAGCTTTGGATACCACCAGAAGTTTTATTGGAAGGTTTAGGAAAGCTTATTCCTTGAAATATAAAGATAATTAGATTTATTAAATTTATTTATTAGTTTATTAAATTTGGTGATGCCTTTGTAATTTATGCCTAATTACAACTTGAAGCATATGTTTTCAAGCAATACATCGTGTTTCTGGAATAACAAACAGGGTATTGAAATTTTAAAAAAATCAGAGTTTCTGAAAGAAAAAACAGAGTTTTTATAATAATTTTGTTTTCTAGGCCGAAATGAACTTATAGCAAGATACATAAAACTACGAACAGGAAAGACAAGATCAAGAAAGCAGGTAATAGATCTTTGTATTTTTTTTCAATTGATTTATATATATATATTTTGCATTTTATTCAGTGTGTCTTTGAGCAATTTCCACTGAAGCTATGGCCTAATAGTACAATCATATAAAGTGTTGTTTATGTTTTATTGTAGTTCAACAATTTTATTGGCAAGCATTGATTTAGTTATGATCTAGGTTATGGAGCAGCTGTAGTGAAGAAAAATTAGGGTCTGAGGCAGGGGCGGATACTTGGTCAAATATTGGGGGGCAAGCCTATTGTTTTAGTAAGATGACGTCACATTTCCCATTGTTTTAGAACAAAAGACCATTGTTCTCTAAAGTATTGGGGGCAGTCCCCCCTTGCCCCCCCCCCCCCAAGTGTCCGCCACTGGTCTGAGGCTATTATAGTCATCTTGAGGGATGTATCTACAACATTTGATAAAGTTTTTATGACTGGAATATCTAAAGTAATTTATTAAAGAAATTTTTACTAGACTAAATTATGAACAGGAGATGACATCATTTGTCATTCATTTACGTACCATTTGAGTCTACAATAAAACTTCATTTCAAGGTCAGTTACTGATGGTATTTCTTGTTTGTTCTCTAGGTTTCCAGCCATATCCAAGTGCTTGCAAGGAGAAAGGCAAGAGAAATTCAGTCTAAATTAAAGGTTGGTAATGCCCCTGTAAGTAAAAATGGGAACAAAACACCAAACCCCTGTCTAATTATGTTCCAGATTTTCTAGATGACAATAAGCTAACATCTTTTGTCGTTGGTAGGATATTTTGATAAGATAATAATGAAAGCGTTTTTGTAATATGTTTTAAGTAGGATACCCATTGTGAAGAGTAATTTTCATTGTAGCCAACAGCATCCCTAACCTACCAAACTGCATTTCTTTGAAAATAATCTATAACCTATAATTGTTTCCTTTTCTGCAGTGCCTTGCCAGCTATGACTAAGCTTCCGTAAGTTGTTTTAAGCTAGGTATACTAGTTAAAAAGAGACAGGACATGATGAAAAACTCCTTCATTTTCAATTTTTCTGGTGGCAAAATTAAAAAAAATCATCCTGTGAACAATGAAAAGGAAATTCATGTTTAGGGGGGAAAAGAATTTTAGACTTTCCTAGCAACCCTTTTCTAGCTAATTGACAAAGCTCCCAAATGGAAAGTCTCAAAATCAAAATAGTATCAGACTGATCTTTTCAAACCTCAAACCCCATTTGAACCAAGGAAGCTTGACCATACTGCCTAAATACATTGTCCTTTTTAGTACAGAGAACCTGGAAAAACTCTAAGTCAGGGAAGATCCTTTCAAACTGAAATGTATCATGTGACATTGTTATTGGACAATATGAAATCTGAAGCCTTCCTTTCAATGACTTTAGTCTAGTCACAGATAACAGATTTAATTATATATTAAATCTATAACATTTAGCTGTCTCCTCTTTCCAGAAATGATTAGCAAATTTTGGCACAGTTTGTTGTTGTTGACGCATCCTATTGAATCCCTATTGTTTAAAGCAAGATTTTCCCAAAAGGAAATCCCATGTTTCAGGGGCAATACCATTTATTATAAGCCATTTTTTAAAACCATAGTTCACACTAATAACTGAAATTTTGCTATCAGGACCAAGGATCCAAAGACAAGGCACTTCAGGCCATGGCTACTATGTCATCTGCCCAAATTGTCTCAGCTACTGCTTTGCATAACAAAATGGGTGTCAACCCTGGCATGGATGTTCCTACCATAAAATCCGAGATGCCACAGGGTCTGCCACCACCTTCCGTAAGTTATCATTTCATGCATCTGTTTGTTGATAGATATAATTTATTCTATAGATATTGTCATGTTTACATTTTCTGCTGAAAGTTACTTGTTGTTTAGCGGAAGGGAGTTTTTTGACTGTTATACCAGATTGCTTTTTCCACCCAAGGGTCACAGGGTAAGTGGTGGTCAGAGAGAGAGATGCCCCATTACTTTTGCAACCCAGGACCAAACACACAGGCTGTGTTAAACAAACTTTATTTACTTGATTACTTTTTTATCTTTTGTGTTTATGTTGGCACTCCTCCTCTCTTACCTCTCTCTCCCCCTTACCTCTCCCTTTTCCATATCTCTCTCGTCCCCATTATATCTCCCTTCCCATCCCATAACTCTCCCTTCCCCTACCCTTACCTCTATTATCCTCCTATAGTATCTCTAACTCCTCCCTTCTCTCTTCCTTTCCTCCTTTGCTTACTTCTCTCTTTCTTTCCTCTATGCTTATCTCTCCTTATTCCTTATCTCTCCCTTCCCCCTTAGCTCTCTCCTCCCTCTCTCTTCCCTTACCTCTATCTTCTTCCTCTCATATCTCTACTCCCTCCGTTCCCCCTTTCCAGGGGTGGACACTTGATCAAATATTGGGGGGCAAGCCTATTGTTTTAAGAAGATGACGTCACATTTCCTATTGTTTTATAACAAAAGACCATTGTCCTCTAAAGTATTGGGGGTGGTTGCCCCCCTTGCCCCCAAGTGTCCGCCACTGCCCCTTCCCTCTCCCTTACCCCTCCCATCCCCTTATCCTCCCTCCAATTCGAATCTGTTAGCCCTAAAACCCGAGCTTTCTTATCCATGAAACTTTAACCATTTTTCTGTTAAGACATTGGCAATGCTATGGGAGAAAGGCTACCAATCCAGAAGACAATCTCGACATCCCATTTAAGATTCTTCAAAGAAAAACTCCTTAGAAACATTGTTTTGCGGGTTCATTGCTATTTCGTTTCGTGGTTCCGCATTTCCCAGCTATTACTAACCATTCTAGCTGATTAGGCTAACACATCAGGTCCCCTTTTAATGGGCCGGATTTGTGATTGATTCCAGTAAAAAGATGGCTCACACCTTTTCCTCTCTCTTGATATTTAGGCTTCCATCATGGCAGCCAGAGCTACTAACCCTTTTTTGGTGAGCTGCTAGAATTTTTGTGGTTGCGAGATGCGTGATTCATAAAATGCCTTGAAAGGGATATTGTTACATTCCATTCTATCCATCATTGATATTGTATTGCCTTTAACGAAGTGCTAGTGCGTAATAATAGAGAGGAAGCTTTTCTGTTAAAGATGTTTCAGTTTGACTTAAGGTGCCTTCTCATTTGTGGTTATTAAACGTTCTTCTTCAGCATGGCTTTACTTAAAGTGTTTTGTCGTTTAAGTGAACGCCACGTTCCATGTCGATTTAATCTTACTTTACTTAGTTCACTGAAGCTTCCTCGTATTCCTTATTTTGCATCTCGTTAAGAAAAAAGTGTTCCATAGCTACCTAAGATGACTTAACAGTGTTTTTCTCTGTCATCCCGTTCCTGATTCTCTCCAATGCAATTTGCTCGGCGGTCGCCCCCCCCCCAATATTTTCTTTTGTTAGATAAATTCCTAATATTTACTAAACAAAGGCCTTTGTTATGGAACAATGAGAAAATTTTACGTGAATTTATCAGTTAGCTTCCCACCCCCTCTCCCATATTTGACCAAATGTCCGCGCCACCGTGTTTAACACCTGTTCTGTGGAAAAAATAGTCTCCGCCTCAAAATTTGGAATTTTAAAGCTACATATATAGGCTGTCACCTTTTTTGAAAGAATTTCACAATGGTAACTTCAGATATTTATCAGTTTTTTTTCCTTCTGCGATTGAGTCTTCTTATGTCTAAAAATCAGGGCAGGTTAAAGCTTCAGGACGTCTAACAAGTTGAAATATATAATAGTATAAGAGTCATTTCAAGACATTTATGAAGATTAACTGTTCAATGTAAAAAAGAATTTGATTGAAAATATGTGACCCCTCTATTCATTGATCAAAGCGTGCTGCATCACAGCGGCTCTCAAACAGCTGATCTAACAGAATATTTTTTTATCCAGTTCTGGCCGCCTGGCTCTATTCCGCAAACCGTAGGATCACCAACCCTTGGATATCCATATGCAGGACCTGCCCCTTTTTACCCTGGTCCATTGGTGCCGGTATCTGCAATGTCCCAAGGTTCACCGGAGCCACAGTCTACATCTTCTATTACCATGTCAAGCCATTCAAGTGTACTGCCGTCCCACGAACAAATGGTACGTTAATACTTCCATGTCTACGCCTTTGCTTGGGGATATAAAAGGAGATCAGAGAATACTGAGTATTTCCTAAATACTAGCAAAATATTTAGATCTAATTTTATTTAGCTTATTTGCCTGCCCTCAACTGTCGCATGCTATCGCCTGCCAAATGAAATTGTGCCATTGTTCAAAATGTGTTTGTTTTATAAGCTTATTGTTAAAGTATTTGTTCATTGCCATCCATAGCCAGAACCAGATGACGTCATGTCCATTTCTGCAGTGGATGGCACATAATATTTTATTTTGTTTTCGCTTTTAAAAGTGATAAGAACATATATTCAGCTCTTCCAGACTAAGTATTAACTGGAACATTCTTGAATTATGCACAAAATGCTCGGTTTTGGGAGGGTTCTTATACCACCATGTATTAACTTCATTAACAGGACCTCCAACAAAGGGGGGCGGGAGGGGCCATGTCCTCTCCCTACTTTTTTGCAAAACAATTAAGCTTTTTGCAAAATATTTTGTTATGTGTGTTAACTTTTCCTTTGCTCCCCCTCCCACTTTTCAACCTATCCTATGATTAACCGCTTTCAAAAATAAAAACAATTCTTCGCAACATTATTTGGTCACATAGCCAGGTATATATATATAGATATCTTCTTTTCCCCAGAGATCGCTTGGAACAAGCAGTGGCCTAAGTGGCTCAGCCATAATGGTACCAGGGTCTCCTTGGCACTCAAGAGCTCCGCAACCACTTGTGAGTTTTTTATCAATTTTTAAGCAATGCGAATATTATAGTGGCTCATCTTTGATGATGGATAAACCAAATAAACTTCAGAGATTGTCTTACCATTTTAAGGCTGGCATTCTATGAAATACGGTCTTATCAAAAAACTGTTTAAAGGCTTGCTGGATTCCTTGCTAGATTATTAAACTATTTTTATGTGCTACCCTAGTAGTTTTCCAAGATTCATTTCAGGTTGTTTTTTAATTAAAGACTCGTTGCTAACAATGAGTCACTGCGCTAAGAAAGCATCCCATAATGCATTTTTAGACTGTCTGGAATCAATTTTGGTTAATCCGTCGAAGTTTACTGCCATTGTTTGGACTATCGCCACGCTCGCAAAAGCCAATTTTAAGCAATGGGTCTTTAAGCACCGTTTTTGATGGTATATATAGAAGGTACACGCCTTCATTGGAGAATAGTGTTCCCAAATTCATGTATTCTGCTAGTAAAATAAATGACTATATCTAAATGTTGGAAAGATATCAGATCCGATCAAAAATAACCCGGTAACATTGTAAAGCAATACCACGATGTCTCAATGTCAATATTTTTGTTATAATACCAATCAAGTCGACTTATAAACTGTTTTTGTCTGTAGCCTCTTAGACTGGTCGACTTCTCTGCATTTGTTGAAACACAACGAGCAGACCAACCCGACAATGTAAGTCTATTTTAGTTTCTTATTGACGTTAAAAAGTTCAATATCTTTTCCCTATGTTTGAAACAGTAATTCATTTGCTTCGTTTTTGCAAGACAGGTCTTGTATATATCTGTAGAAGAAAGATTTTTTTAGCTTTTACGATAGTTTGCTGATAACGTTTCAGCCAGGTATCTTGTTAGCAAAATGGATTTTCGTTGAAACAAATGAAGGGAAAACCAAAGATTAAGAAAAGAGAGAAGGGCTTTTAATAAGGAGAAGTTAAAGCATATGGGTTGAATAGGAGATGGTAATTATAAAGGAAAGTGCAGGGTGATTAAGCATAGAAAGCGAGGTAAAGAGGAGGAATAAAGAAAAGGAAAGTAAAAAGTGAAAAGGGCTTTGGAACAAAAAAGTTTATGTCGATGAAAAGGAAAGTAGGCAAGGATGGCAATAAAAGACTTATAAATTTTGAATGGTTGACAAATGAAAAGAAGAGGGGCTGAAAGATTTAGACAATGGATAGAGAATATCTTTTTTGTCATTCTAAAATTAAAGAACAGCAAATTATTACGCGATACTGTGCTCTGCTAAGTGTGGAAGACATATTTCTGAATCACTTTCATGAAGATTCGTGAAGAAATTCTGGCTTTGTGAAGAATATCTTTATAACGATGTGTAGCATGTGCTTCCCTAAAACTGATTGTTATTGTATGTAATTTAATAATGTCATCGTCATTATCTGAAACTTTGTACTTTGTTGTTTGTACAGTATGTCTGTTGTTCTGTCTTGATGTGTTGATTAACAAACTGTGATGTTGTTAAGAATGATTAGATCTAAATTGTGAAGTTCAGTTGTTGGATTGAATATGACATGAACATGTGAGCTTGTATTTGTCTTCATCGCTACAGATGGCAAAGAAACATGTTCGATCATCTGTATTTCAGACGTTGTTTTTCTATGTTCCTCAGCTCCTTTCAATTCTAATCTCGTGTTTTCATCGTAGTGCGAAAACGTAACAACACAGAACTGATTTCCGATAGTTAGTTCTTTAATTAACACTGAATTTGTTTTCTACAACCGTAATTGCATTTTGCGTTTCAGTACCACAAGCATCTGTTTGTTCACATGAATCAACCAAACTTCTCGGATGCTCGTATGGAGCCGATTGATATTCGACAAATATACGACAAATTTCCCGAGAAGAAAGGCGGCCTAAAAGAGCTTTACGAAAAAGGCCCAAGCAATGTGTTTTTCTTAGTAAAGTTTTGGGCGGATCTAAATACCAACATCTCGGACGACACAGGCGCCTTCTACGGTGTCTCTAGCACGTGAGTATCTTTTGATACTATTAATCCATTTCAGCCCCCCCCCCCAAGCATTTTCTTCATATATAGACATGTCACTGACTGACTGACTTGTTAACAAACTCTAAAGGGGGGTTGCTTGTTGAAAATACTCAAATTCTTCTGTGGATCAGTATTGCTTCTACGTGTCGATGATGGTTGTTCCTCGTCCAATTGAAAGAATTATTGTGCACGATTTTAAACCATCAAAGAACAAACATAGCGAGATTTCTTCACCCCTTAATATTTCTCTTTATGAGGTCATTGTATTTTAAGGGAATTTGCTATCTCGCACATTACTATGAATTCCATATTAAAAAGCAACACTAATGCAATGAAATTATCTGCTTATACTAAATCAATTTGTTTTCATCCGATTAAGTTTATTTGTAATGAAAATTCTTTTGAAATCTTCCCTAAATATCTGCATTTTGTGATTGTCATTTCTCCAATACTTGTAAATGAACCAAGATAGATAAGCCGTGCTTTCCTTGAGGTCCATAACATGCAATATTTATCTTTTTTTATTAACTTGCATATAAGAGCTCAACTAAAATGCCAACTGTAACCAATTTTAAGTTTCATCTTGTTTCATGAGTTCCATCATGTTTCGAGTCCAATCATATTTCATGGTTAAATGCATTCATAATTTCGTAATTCTATTCTCTTTTGTCCTTTTTTCACAGTTATGAATCGAATGAGAACATGACGATTTCCTGCTCGACAAAAGTATGCTCATTTGGGAAGCAGGTGGTTGAGAAGGTCGAGACAGAACTCGCACGCTTTGAGAACGGACGCTACGTTTATAGAATCCATCGATCAGCCATGTGTGAATACATGATCAATTTTATACACAAGCTCAAACACTTACCTGAAAAATACATGATGAACAGCGTGCTGGAAAACTTCACTATCCTCCAGGTACTTTTTATTGGTTTTGACTTTCCTTGGAGCATGCCAACACCCTCAACCCCCCCCCACCCCCCTCTATAATTTTCTAAGATGTTTGTAGAATCATGTTTTTTTATTCTCGAAAGCTCTAACTATGAAACCATATCTTTGTGCACACAAAAAAGATAATTGCATTTTCACAGGTTCACATCCATGGCGAATTGGACAATCATGGCGAATGTTTTTGTCACTTTTTGCTGTGTTTCCACTTGCTTTTTGATAAGATAGAGCAAATTCTTATCAAGTTCTCTTGCTTCCGTTGGTGTAACAAAACCAAATTTATGCTTATAATAACAAAGGCTGGCTATCTCTAGACCAGACAGTTTTTCGTGGGTACCAGCATTGGCTTTTTTACACCCTTTCTTAAATCGTTTTCATTTAACCAGCAGATGCATCGCTGTATTAATCTTTCTGTCCGTAAATAAATTTTGTTTGAATATTATTTTGCTATTGTAACAAAACCTTTCCTTTATTTACAGGTGGTTTCCAAAAGGGATACCCAGGAAACGTTGCTATGTCTCTCTTACGTTTTCGAAGTTTCAACTAGTGAGCTTGGCGCCCAACATCTTATTTACAAATTGGTAAAAGACTGAACAGAACAAAGCTCTATAATGATGAAAAGGTGGCTCAGCTGCTTACATTTATATAAATTTGTGTTTGGTTGTTACGCGACAATGCGATACAGTTGCGATACGTAGCTCGAAAAAGTAGCGTTTGTGTTGCGTAGAAGTATCGAAACGTTTGTTAGGCTAGGCCAATAGAAGCGTAAATTAGAATATGCTGTTTGTCTGCGGTTCAAGTATTCATAACCCTCGTAGCAACAAAACTTGTCTCAAAGGTAAGGCCACAAGCCAAGGATATTGCTCCGTGGCTGTTTATTCATGACAAAGAACGATATTGCCCTTAGAAGAAGCTATGGCCCCTTTGGTTGCATTGTTTCATGTGCTGCAGAGCCACAGGCGTTGTTGCTCTTGCGTTTTAGTTAACTCGTTTTGAGGCTTCCAGAAACAATTTGCCACTCCGGTAGCGCGACTCTTTGGAGCCTCTATTCCATAAATCGGTCTGTTCCGAGACCGTTGATTAAGCATTTCAGAATGTTGTTGGATTATTTTGTAGTTGATACAATGCAAGGATGCCTTTTGGTAAAGGATTTATTTTTGTATATTAAATTGAATATATTCCATGCATTTATCATATTGTTGTTATATGTGTAGTTTTGCGTCAGCGCTTTGTGCCTAGAGAATTTAGTATATTAAATGAATATATATATTATATTAAGATGTAGAATTGAGGGTTTGTGAATTTATAACCGTTTTTAACATGGGTAAGAGCATTGTTTTTCATAAAGTCCTTTCGCAATTAGGATTTTGTATGTGTTGATTTTAGGCTCAAACGTATTTGCTTCAGAGGAATCTAACCTTCGAAATTTGATTGTGAGGAGTTGAAGCTTTTTTATATCCTTGCACACTCGCCCACCTAAACACACACGCTAATAAACGTATTTTGCAATTCTATAGAATTCAGCTATGATCCTAATGGCATAGGGCAGTTCTATACTCGTGACAACTCATTGACCCCTCATTGAGCGACTGTGACAGAGTTTCTACCCCCTTCACTGATAGTAGTCTCATTAATATCAAAGCCCTCAAACATTCAGATTGCTTACCCTCGGTCTCGTGACGTCAAATATGTTTGAGCCTAGCTGCTTTTACTGTGCCCTTGATCGAGAGAGACGTTTCAGGCTTCCATTGTATTGGTCGTTGGGTTTCTTCGAAGTGAAAATATTTTCAGCAGATGTATATTTGTGATTAAAACATGCTGTTTGTAACTGTAGGATTAAAAGCTACACAAGATAGTTGTTGGAGATCGCTGATATTTTTTCCAATTATTCTGCTTCTCAGTTGACGTGTCGCGGATAGAAGAGTTCCAAAGTAAGACTTTTTAATTATCTATTTTAAGAATTTTTACTTTTGACCAAGAAATCTTAACGTACTTCGTAAAATTTCTATAAGGTTGCATAATAAGTAAACCATAACGAAAGTTGCCTGAGAAATGGCCAGTGACTGGGCCTAAGCTTTTGTAGCCGGATCTGCGACAATATAAAAAACATAAGAATTCTCAAAAAAACTTATAGTTATTCGTTATTTTATGTGGACTATTATTTTAAGCCGACCGCTTGTTCAACTACTTGTATATCTGTCACGAGATATATATCAAGTGTTTGTGTGAATCATTTGGGTATATTATACATTTTTTGTAGAAAAGCCGTGCAAAATAACACGCTTTTAGGAGGGTCAATTCTTGCTAAAAGCCATTAACAACAAATGCTTTGAAAAATTTCGGAATTTTGAACTTTTTTTCTTCTAAAAACAGATTAATTCACCTCTATATAATGTGAATAGAGTTCTAATGCATTTGGTTGCTTTTTGAAATCATTTCTTTCGGGAAAATAACGCTTTTGTTTGCGGGGTCAGTTTTTGAAAAAAAAGCAAGGCTGTAGCTTTCGGAAAATCTCCGAACTTTTTCAAAACTATTTTCTTCTAAAAAAAGATTAATTCTCTTTTATATGATGTAAATGGAGTTCTAATACATTTGGTTGCTATTTGAAGTCATTTCTTTCAGGAAAACAAGGTGTTTTTAAAGGGGTAATTTTCTGAGAAAAAAGCAAGGCTAAGGAAAATCTCTGATTTTTTTCAGATATTTTTTCTTCTAAAAACAGATTAATTCACTTATAAATAATGTAAGTAGACCTCTAATGTATTTGGTTGCCATTTAAAATCTTTTTTTCCGGGAAAATGAGGTGTTTTTAAATAGGCAACTTATTGAGAAAAAAGCAAGGCTATAACCTTAGAAAAATCTCCGAATTTTTTCAAATATTTTTTCTACTAAAAAGAGATTAATTCACTTCTATATGATGTAAATAGACCTCTAATGCGTTTGGTTGCCATTTAAAATCATTTTTTTCGGGAAAATGAGGTGTTTTTAAAGGGGTAAATTTCTGAGAAAAAAGCAAGGCTATAACCTTAGAAAAATGTCCGAATTTTTTCAAATATTTTTTATTCTAGAAAGAGATTAATTCACTTCTATATGATGTAAATAGACCTCTAATGCATTTGGTTGCCATTTAAAATCATTTTTTTTCGGGAAAATGAGGTGTTTTTAAAGGGGCAAATTTTTGAGAAAAAAGCAAGGCTATAACCTTAGAAAAATCTCCGAATTTTTTCAAATATTTTTTCTTCTAAAAAGAGATTAATTCACTTCTATATGATGTAAATAGACCTCTAATGCGTTTGGTTGCCATTTAAAATCATTTTTTTCGGGAAAATGAGGTGTTTTTAAAGGGGCAAATTTTTTAGAAAAAAGCAAGGCTATAACCTTAGAAAAATCTTCGAAAATTTTCTAATATTTTTTCTTTTAAAAATGGATTAATTCATTTTTATTTGATGTAAATAGACCTCTAATGCATTTGGTTGCCATTTAAAATCATTTTTTTCGGGAAAATGAGGTGTTTTTAAAGGGGCAAATTTTTGAGAAAAAAGCAAGGCTATAACCTTAGAAAAATCTCCGAATTTTTTCAATATTTTTTCTTCTAAAAAGAGATGAATTCACTTCTATATGATGTAAATAGACCTCTAATGCGTTTGGTTGCCATTTAAAATCATTTTTTTCGGGAAAATGAGGTGTTTTTAAAGGGGTAAATTTTTGAGAAAAAAGCAAGGCTATAACCTTAGAAAAATCTCCGAATTTTTTCAAATATTTTTTCTTCTAAAAAGAGATTAATTCACTTCTATATGATGTAAATAGACCTCTAATGCGTTTGGTTGCCATTTAAAATCATTTTTTTCGGGAAAATGAGGTGTTTTTAAAGGGGTAAATTTCTGAGAAAAAAGCAAGGCTATAACCTTAGAAAAATCTCCGAATTTTTTCAAATATTTTTTCTTCTAAAAAGAGATTAATTCACTTCTATATGATGTAAATAGACCTCTAATGCGTTTGGTTGCCATTTAAAATCATTTTTTTCGGGAAAATGAGGTGTTTTTAAAGGGGTAAATTTCTGAGAAAAAAGCAAGGCTATAACCTTAAAAAAATGTCCGAATTTTTTCAAATATTTTTTCTTCTAAAAAGAGATTAATTCACTTCTAAATGATATAAATAGACCTCTAATGCATTTGGTTGCCATTTAAAACCTTTTTTTTCGAGAAAATGAGGTGTTTTTAAAGAGGCAAATTTTTGAGAAAAAAGCAAGGCTATAACCTTAGAAAAATGTCCGATTTTTTTCAACTATTTTTTCTTCTAAAAAGATATTAATTCACTTCTATCTGATGTAAATAGACCTCTAATACCTTTGATTGCCATTCAAAATCATTTTTTTCGGGAAAATGAGGTGTTTTTAAAGGGGCAAATTTTTGAGAAAAAAGCAAGGCTATAACCTTAGAAAAATCTTCGAAAATTTTCTAATATTTTTTCTTTTAAAAATGGATTAATTCATTTTTATATGATGTAAATAGACCTCTAATGCATTTGGTTGCCATTTAAAATCATTTTTTTCGGGAAAATGAGGTGTTTTTAAAGGGGTAAATTTCTGAGAAAAAAGCAAGGCTATAACCTTAGAAAAATGTCCGAATTTTTTCAAATATTTTTTCTTCTAAAAAGAGATTAATTCACTTCTATATGATGTAAATAGACCTCTAATGCGTTTGGTTGCCATTTAAAATCATTTTTTTCGGGAAAATGAGGTGTTTTTAAAGGGGTAAATTTCTGAGAAAAAAGCAAGGCTATAACCTTAAAAAAATGTCCGAATTTTTTCAAATATTTTTTCTTCTAAAAAGAGATTAATTCACTTCTAAATGATATAAATAGACCTCTAATGCATTTGGTTGCCATTTAAAACCTTTTTTTTCGAGAAAATGAGGTGTTTTTAAAGAGGCAAATTTTTGAGAAAAAAGCAAGGCTATAACCTTAGAAAAATGTCCGATTTTTTTCAACTATTTTTTCTTCTAAAAAGATATTAATTCACTTCTATCTGATGTAAATAGACCTCTAATACCTTTGATTGCCATTCAAAATCATTTTTTCGGGAAAATGAGGTGTTTTTAAAGGGGCAAATTTTTGAGAAAAAAGCAAGGCTATAACCTTAGAAAAATCTTCGAAAATTTTCTAATATTTTTTCTTTTAAAAATGGATTAATTCATTTTTATATGATGTAAATAGACCTCTAATGCATTTGGTTGCCATTTAAAATCATTTTTTTCGGGAAAATGAGGTGTTTTTAAAGGGGCAAATTTTTGAGAAAAAAGCAAGGCTATAACCTTAAAAAAATCTCCGAGTTTTTTCAAATATTATTGTTCTAAAAAGAGATTAATTCACTTCTATATGATGTAAATAGACCTCTAATGCGTTTGGTTGCCATTTAAAATCATTTTATTCGGGAAAATGAGGTGTTTATAGAGGGGTAAATTTCTGAGAAAAAAGCAAGGCTATAACCTTAGAAAAATGTCCGAATTTTTTCAAATATTTTTTATTCTAGAAAGAGATTAATTCACTTCTATATGATGTAAATAGACCTCTAATGCATTTGGTTGCCATTTAAAATCATTTTTTTCGGGAAAATGAGGTGTTTTTAAAGGGGCAAATTTTTGAGAAAAAAGCAATGCTATAACCTTAGAAAAATCTCCGAATTTTTTCAAATATTTTTTCTTCTAAAAAGAGATTAATTCACTTCTATATGATGTAAATAGACCTCTAATGCGTTTGGTTGCCATTTAAAATCATTTTATTCGGGAAAATGAGGTGTTTTTAAAGGAGTAAATTTCTGAGAAAAAGGCAAGGCTATAACCTTAGAAAAATCTCCGAATTTTTCAAATATTTTTTCTTCTAAAAAGAGATGAATTCACTTCTATATGATGTAAATAGACCTCTAATGCGTTTGGTTGCCATTTAAAATCATTTTTTTCGGCAAAATGACGGTGTTTTTAAGTGGTAAATTTTATGTAGAAAAAGCAAGGCTATAACCTTAGAAAAAATCTCCGAATTATTTTCAAATATTTTTTCTTCTAAAAGAGATAATCGACTTCTCTATGAATGTAAATAGACCTCTAAATGAGTTGAGTTGCCATTTAATCCTTTTATTCGGGAAATGAGGTGTTTTTAAAGGAGGTATATTTCTGAGAAAAAAACAAGGCTTAACCTTAGAAAAATGTGCGAATTTTTTCAAATCATTTTTTATTCTAGAAAAGAAGATTAATCGACTTCTATATGAATGCTAAATAGACCTCTAATGCATTTGGTTGCCATTTAAATCATTTTTTTCGGAAATGAGGTGCTTTTTAAAGCGGCAAATTTTTGAGAGAAAAAGCAAGGCTATAACCTAGAAAAAATCTCTGAATTTTTTCAAATATTTTTTCTTCTTTAAAAGATGATCACTTCTATATGATGTTAAATAGACTCTAATGCGTTGGTTTGCCATTTAAAATCATTTTTTTCGGGAAAATGAGGTGTTTTTAAAGGGGTAAATTTCTGAGAAAAAAGCAAGGCTATAACCTTAGAAAAATCTCCGAATTTTTCAAATATTTTTTCTTCTAAAAAGAGATTAATTCACTTCTATATGATGTAAATAGACCTCTAATGCGTTTGGTTGCCATTTAAAATCATTTTTTTCGGGAAAATGAGGTGTTTTTAAAGAGGCAAATTTTTGAGAAAATAGCAAGGCTATAACCTTAGAAAATCTTCCAAAATTTTCAAATATTTTTTCTTCTAGAAAGAGATTAATTCACTTCTATATGATGTAAATAGACCTCTAATGCATTTGGTTGCCTTTTAAAATGATTTTTTTCGGGAAAATGAGGTGTTTTTAAAGGGGCAAATTTTTGAGAAAAAAGCAAGGCTATAACCTTAGAAAAATGTCCGAATTTTTTCAAACATTTTTCTTCTAAAAAGAGATTAATTCACTTTTATATGATGTAAATAGACCTCTAATGCATTTGGTTGCCTTTTAAAATCATTTTTTTCGGGAAAATGAGGTGTTTTTAAAGGGGCAAATTTTTGAGAAAAAAGCAAGGCTATAACCTTAGAAAAATGTCGGAATTTTTTCAAATATTTTTTCTCCTAAGAAGAGATTAATTCACTTTTATATGATGTAAATAAACCTCTAATGCATTTGGTTGCCATTTAAAATCATTTTTTTCGCGAAAATGAGGTGTTTTTAAAGAGGCAAATTTTTGAGAAAATAGCAAGGCTATAACCTTAGAAAATCTTCCAAAATTTTCAAATATTTTTTCTTCTAGAAAGAGATTAATTCACTTCTATATGATGTAAATAGACCTCTAATGCATTTGGTTGCCTTTTAAAATGATTTTTTTCGGGAAAATGAGGTGTTTTTAAAGGGGCAAATTTTTGAGAAAAAAGCAAGGCTATAACCTTAGAAAAATGTCCGAATTTTTTCAAACATTTTTCTTCTAAAAAGAGATTAATTCACTTCTTTTGATGTAAATAGACCTCTAATGCATTTGGTTGCCTTTTAAAATCATTTTTTTCGGGAAAATGAGGTGTTTTTAAAGGGGCAAATTTTTGAGAAAAAAGCAAGGCTATAACCTTAGAAAAATGTCGGAATTTTTTCAAATATTTTTTCTCCTAAGACGAGATTAATTCATTTTTATATGATGTAAATAGACCTCTAATGCATTTGGTTGCCTTTTAAAATCATTTTTTTCGGGAAAATGAGGTGTTTTTAAAGGGGCAAATTTTTGAGAAAAAAGCAAGGCTATAACCTTAGAAAAATCTCGGAAATTTTTCAAATATTTTTTCTTCTAGAAACAGATTAATTCACTTCTATATGATGTAAATAGACGTCTAATGCATTTGGTTGCCTTTTAAAATAATTTTTATTGGGAAAATGAGGTGTTTTTAAAGAGGCAAATTTTTGAGAAAAAAGCAAGGCTATAACCTTAGAAAAATGTCCGAATTTTTTCAAATATTTTTTCTTCTAAAAAGAGATTAATTCACTTCTATATGATGTAAATAGACCTCTAATGCATTTGGTTGCCTTTTAAAATCATTTTTTTTGGAAAAATGAGGTGTTTTTAAAGGGGCAAATTTTTGAGAAAAAAGCAAGGCTATAACCTTAGAAAAATCTTCCAAAATTTTCAAATATTTTATCTTCTAGAAAGAGATTAATTCACTTCTATATGATGTAAATAGACCTCTATTGCATTTGGTTGCCTTTTAAAATCATTTTTTTCGGGAAAATGAGGTGTTTTTAAAGGGGCAAATTTTTGAGAAAAAAGCAAGGCTATAACCTTAGAAAAATGTCCGAATTTTTTCAAACATTTTTTCTTCTAAAAAGAGATTAATTCACTTTTATATGATGTAAATAGACCTCTAATGCATTTGATTGCCATTTAAAATCATTTTTTTCGGGAAAATGAGGTGTTTTTAAAGGGGCAAATTTTTGAGAAAAAGGCAAGGCTATAACCTTAGAAAAATCTCGGAAATTTTTCAAATATTTTTTCTTCTAGAAAGAGATTAATTCACTTCTATATGATGTAAATAGACCTCTAATGCATTTGGTTGCCATTTAAAATCATTTTTTCGGGAAAATGAGGTGTTGTTAAGAGGGCAATTTTTTGAGAAAAAAGCAAGGCTATAACCTTAGAAAAATGTCCGAATTTGTTCAAATATTTTTCTTCTAAAAAGAGATTAATTCACTTCTATATGATGTAAATAGACCTCTAATGCATTTGGTTGCCATTTAAAATCATTTTTTTTCGGGAAAATGAGGTGTTTTTAAAGAGGCAAATTTTTGAGAAAAAAGCAAGGCTATAACCTTAGAAAAATCTCCGAATAAATAGACCTCTAATGCATTTGGTTGCCATTTAAAATCATTTTTTTCGGGAAAATGAGGTGTTTTTAAAGAGGCAAATTTTTGAGAAAAAAGCAAGGCTATAACCTTAGAAAAATCTCCGAATAAATAGACCTCTAATGCATTTGGTTGCCATTTAAAATCATTTTTTTCGGGAAAATGAGGTGTTTTTAAAGAGGCAAATTTTTGAGAAAAAAGCAAGGCTATAACCTTAGAAAAATCTCCGAATAAATAGAGCTGTAATGCATTTGGTTGCTATTTAAAATCATTTTTTTTGGAAAATAAGCTGCTTTGTAAATGGGTCAAATTATGAGAAAAAAGCAAGGCTATAGCCTTAAAAAAATCTCCGAATTGTTTGAAATTTTGTTTGTTCTAAAAACAGATTAATTCACCTCTCTATAATGTAAATAGACTTCTAACGAATTCAGTTGCATCTAATGCATTTATTTAGTCCGGTATATGAAATCAACTTTTTGGAAAAATTTAGCTATTGAAAGGGTAAAATTTTGATAAAAACTGAGTCAAAGCAAGGCTATAGTCTTAAAAAAGTGAGAGAATTTTTTCAAATATTTTTCTTCTAAAAACTATTCTATTCATTTGTATATGAAATTCAAAGACTTTTATTCCATTTAGATTTGAAATTGGGAAAAATTATTTTGCTTTTAGGGGGGTCAAGTTTTAATAAAAAGGAAGGCTTATTGCTTAGAAAATAAGCCGATTTTTTTTAAATTTTCTCTTTTAAAAGGAGGTTAATGAAAGTTCTTTGACAAAAATTCATACTTGTGCCTATATTTTAAAAGAACAAAAAAAGGCATTTAAAGTATAAAATGGCCCTTTGTGGCTTTTGGGGACAAAAGGGGCTTTTCTATATGTAAAGTATTTAAAGGAAGCTTTTTAAATTTGACACAGTTAGAAAACACATAAAAAAGTTTCTGCAGCAGGAAGAATGTTGCTTCATTATTGAATAAAGGGGCTTTTTAAAGGTATCCTAACAGGTCAATTTTAGCAAAAGGCATGGAAAATGCTTGCTAAAATAGTTACATTTTGCTGATTTTTTTTGTCCCAGGCAAATGCAAACTTTGCTTTATTTTGCAAACTATCAACTAGAGACAAAAGAGTAACAAGAATGGGCATTCTTAATCTCTCAGTAAATCTCCTTAAAACTTTTATTACCAGATGCAGGAAACTCTTTTTAAGATAATGACAAAATGCACAAATATTTTAATTCTTTTTGTCAACGCCTAAATATAAACTGAAAACGCGGTTTTATTATTGGAATGTCGATTCTCGTAGTTTGACGTGACAAAACCATTGACAGCAAATTATGCCGAGACAAAGACCATGAAGATGGAAACTTAGTAATGCAATTAGTTTAGCAAAATGCAATTAATAAATAAATAATATGCCTCTAAGATCAATGACAATCCTACAAAATATTAACGATTGAATAAAAAATTACAAAAATGTTTCTCGCTATTGTCAATTGAGGACTACTACCGAACTTGGCTGAAGACTGTCAGATATTCTTGCGATTGAAGATTGGTTGCCAATGCAGCGATCATTTAAGTTTCTCAAGAACTTGTGAGCCTAAATGCTCTAGCACAGCATCTCCAGTGTTCTGCGCAATCGTTTCCTTCACAGTAGCCTCGATGCCATTTTCCTTCGCAGCCTTGACTCCTTCAGGAGTTTTCAGAATCTCCAGTAATAGCTTGAGGGCAGTACTGACAACACTTTTCTTGCTCTTGAAGCCTTTGCAGATTGCTTGGAAAATATTCAGACCAACCAGCTTTGGAATAATCTTCTTGTTTTGCAAAATCGATGACAAAGCCCGATAAACGTTTAACTGCTGGTAATCGTCGGCAGCATCAAACATCCACTAAAAATAAATTCAGTTTGATTAAAATAAGACAAGATTAGAAAAAACAAAGAAAGCGCTGGACAAGTAAGGATCTGAATACTGGGGTGATTGCAAAACAAAGATATTTTAAAGGCAATCTGTCACGACGTTGATTGATTATAAGAACAAAGCGATTTTTTATTGTTTCCAGTCCCCCTTTAATTTCTCGCATTGTAAAAAATATGGCGGAATCGTTTTTAGGCTATTGTTCCAGCTATTGTTCTCGTTAACCAATCCACAATGAGACAGATTGCCTTTAAAGGCAATCGACTGATACTTTAGTGGCTCAAACAATCTGTCAATTAACAATTAGCCAATCAGTGATATCACAGGCACCGCGGAGCAGGGGGGCTGGGGTTTGCAAAAAATGCCCAATATTTAGTACTAAACTATCAGTGAAGCCTCTTTTTATAAGGTTTTAGCCCCCCCCCCACTTTTCTCAACGCTCCGCGGTGCCTGTTTCACTAACACGCTTGTATTGATTGACAGGTGGCTTAAGCCACATAAGCATGTGACCATTGTCTTTAAGTACAACATATTGTTTAATTTACAGATCAATGGATAATTAAGCCGGGACATATGTAGCACACACGAGAAAACTTACTGTTTGTCTAAATCTGGAGAGAAATGTGCAACACAAAACCATCCCCAATCTTTGCAGATCTCCAACTGCAGATCTCCATCAAGATAAGATAGGCTTTATTTCCATTTCTTCGAAGAAGTACCAGGCTAGAAAAACTGCCGGCTCTGATTTTCCAAGTCGATACACTTTATGATTTAACCATTGTTGCCAATCGAAAAATCAGTCGATGCCTCATACTCTTTTTGATGCTGAACAAAGAAAGCTCTGATGACAGTGCAAAATCATTACCACGCTTTGCCATCACAAAACCAAGATGCCATTCGAAAATAAATCTTTAGGCTTGCTCCCCGGGACCATGAAAACTTTCTGCCTCAAGACAGCAGGCGGAGCTACAAGTTTTCCTGCTACTCTTTGCAACATCAGGTGAGTGCGCACAAATGTTAAAAAAGGTCGACCGAACATTACTTTCAGCTTCAACTGGTTGCATGCACGACTATCTGCATGCATGTGGAAGATTTGTTATAACCTAAGCCACCTAAAACAAGTATTTTTTACTTTCACTACTGCATGTGACCAAGACCAAGTGTTCATGCGATTGATACACTTTAGGCATGGTGCAATAAAAAAATTTACAACAAATAAAGGTTTATTGTCTAAGACAATTGCGTGGTACTTTTTTATTAAATTCTAAATTTGTTACGACAAAATTTCCCTCTAGTGCCAAAGCTTCAATGATAATGCGCCTTCGAAAAAGTGAATTAAAACATACCTTAAATTGCCTCTCGCTAACTTTATCGTTCTCAAGTAAATTGGTTAAAATAAGGTTCACAATTGCATGATGCTTCTTCATGGCGGCCAGTCCAAGCGGAACCATCTTTGCCTAATAAAAAACATTGCAAAAATAATTCCTTCGCGGACAAGGTACCAAAATAATTCCATCTACAGCCCCTATATGGCATAAAAGAAGAAGATACCTACATAAGATTTTTAGCCACGCTGCTGCACATGTTAAATGATTTAACAATTCATTTAAACGTGGCGAGGGAAATGTAAAGTCATTTAAATGGGTAATAATTATTTAAAGGACGAATTACTTATTGCATTTATTTTTGTTTTTGTTTTGTTTTGTATTTTGTTTAAAATATCTACTCTGCAAGCTTCAGGCAAAATTGCAGTAGTCTTCACTTTATCTAGTCATGTATAGAAAATATATGCATGCTTGTCATTTATCTTTAACACATTAAAAATTACTTTAAAACATTGTGTATACTGAAGCATTGCTCTGTTATTTATATAAGTTTTTACTCATGTTTATCAGGTAGAAACAGAGTAGCAAAATGATGACATCATAAAACTTCATTTTATAGATCTTTTTAAATTTTGATCACATGAGCAGAAAAAAAACACTGTAAAATATCTCTATATAACTTAGGATATGGTCAATGAAAGGTCCGTTACTGACCACATCCTAGGTCAACCCAAGTTTTGATAATGGTATTTTGCTTTGTGTTGGAAACCAGGACCAAACTACAGCTGTTTGATATGGCAAGAGCCTGTGATCCTGTGCTCCTGCTCCTGTGTCCTCCTGGTAGGATAGCACAAATTTTTTCCTTACCTCCCCTTCAGCTTCAAGGTCAGCGCCATAGTCAATAAGCAGTCCTGTTGTCTCAAAATTTCCATAGGCAGCAGCATTATGGATTGGCAAGTCTCCGGCCTAAAAAAGATTTAAAATTTACAACAAACAAGGGAAGACTTCACTAAAATGACTTAAATACTAAATAACTTAAGAATAGGTTCTATTGTTTCAGGACACAGTATCAGGTTTATTAAGCTCTGTGGACACTTCGTTAAGAAATGAAATCAATTTTAATTCATTTGTTACATGTGAGTTTAAGACTCTTAAAAAAAGCTGTTGAAAGACAAAATATTATAAATTATTTTGACGACTCCTTTTTCCTCTTAGGTACCTCACATCTGGCAACCTTACATTTAAAAAAACTGGAGATTTTAGATTTTATCTTAAAAAAACATGAAAATCTGGAGTCTGAAGTCTCCAGGTGAAACTAGGAAGGTTGACAGGCCTGGTTCTTTTTCAATATTGCTTTTTGGTGCTATCTTAAATTTTTCAAATAAGTTTTCCAGATATGACAACATGGATAAGGCAGATTACTGGTATGAATTGATCACAAATGTATGGAGAAATATAATACATAATAGGATGAGATATCAACCTGAACAAATGATTAAAATATTCATGTGATTTATCCATCTATGAAACCTATGCATAGATTCTACATCAGCAGGTAAGCAATTCAAAAAATTAACACCTGATTTTCCAAAAAATGAGGCGAATGGTGAGGTATAAATAATCTCATCAAAGTAGGGGGCCAATGGAGATGTGCTAAAGGTAGCCATATGAGTAAAATAAAAGGAAAAGCAGATTTTGTGACTAATAATCGAAACAATAGATAAGCTGGAGTCTGATCAGTATGCCTTTTGAAGTTACAAAATATTGTGTTCTCAATCTATTATAGCAGTAAGCCAATAGAATTTAAAAAAAACCCTCTTTATACTTATATAACTATGAAATATTGTTAGACTTTTGAAATACAGCTCACATCATTAATAACATTAAATCTATATTGTACCTATATTTTATTAGTGAAATTAGTGTTAGTTTTATAGTGTGAGTCTAAGCATTTAATACTTTCAGGCTTTCTTGGGAAAAATATAGCAGGCTGGCATGCTAACCACCGCACCCCTGAAAACATCCAGGTGTGTGGTGGTGTGTGGAATTTTTTTGCAATTTTTCATCAAATTAAATGTCACCAAAATCTAGATTTAAAGCATAGTGAAGTCTGAAATAGGCAGGTAGCAAAATCTGCAAATCTGCTACTTTTTAACGCATAATATAATTGGCAAGTCTGTTACTTATGATAAATTAGCGATCAAAAATGAAAATCTTGTTCACAACACTTAACGTTCCACTTAAAATTCAAAGATAAAAATGTCTATCACAGTCTCCTTTTATTGGATTCTTCACTGAAATGCCATAAAGCGTTGAAAAAGTGTAAACTTTTGCACAAATTTTTTCTTCATTTAATCCATGCTAATGTTTTAAAACGTTTGCTAAATTGAGGAAAATTAAAATTAGGTTTGTAATAACGAGAGTTCATTACACACGAGATTCTTTATAACGAGGGAATTTGTATGAGGCTCAGCAGAATCTATGAGCCCACACAAAGTTTTGTTGTACCGGAAAATCAATTAAAGCCGGGTTTCATGTTTTCAGGATTCCACTGTAGATTAGTGCTATGATTATTTCAAAATCTTATATCTTATCCCCAATATTGACAAGGTGTTAAGCCTTTTTAAAATGGCATGAAGTAATAGTACCAAGGAAAGATTTACATTTAAACCCGTCTCATAAACCAACAAAGCCAATCATTGATAGAGAATTTCGCTCTCAGAATAAAAGAAGGTGTGTGGTATTTTGCACTCCTTGTAAGCAGTAGGTGTGTGTGGGGGCGTGAGCCAGGATGTGCATTTGCGATCGCACACCTTTCTGACGATACCCTGACTTTATATACTATTCATTTCTGCTCATGAGCACAGCAAGACTCTTTTTCCATCTGGTGCAAGCCTTCCACCAGAAACTAGCTATTCATCACAAAATCCTAAAAATCATACTTCTCATAGGCCAAACCAGGTTTACTTTTGGCTGTCCACACAGTCTTTAGCTGTAATGACCACAAATTTGAAACTGCTTACCAGGGGAACAAAAATCAGTAGATAACCTTAACACTTTCGAAACCTTGATCCCTCAGTGATCCTATGTGCAACTGCAATTCCTGTTGTTAAATTGCAAATCTTGTATAAACAACATATGAAAAATTGTCCAATTCTTTTCTTTATTTTTATTGATTATTCATCATAGATGAAGATCAAAGTAAAATAAATCTACTCCTACTACATCTAATTTACATACAGAGCCACAAAAATCTACCTTATTTGCTGCATTTACATCAGCCCCATCTTCAAGCAACTCCCTGACCACTTCCACATACTTAGGCTCTGTGACATAAGAGGTTGTTGCCAAAAATAGAGGAGTTTCTCCTGCCTTTGGATAAAACAGAAACACAACATCAGAAAAATAAAACAGCATTGATATGAATATTAATATTTGGAGGATAGGAAACATCAAAGGGATAAAATGTAGGTTGAACTTTTCTAGAGGAGCTTACAAACAACAAACAAAAACAGAGCTTCCTGTAACATTGTTCTTATAAAATCAATAAAATCAAACTATGAAATAACAATAAGAAGCCAAGGACCTGCTCAGCTTTTCCATATTGTAAGCAAGATTGACATTAATTTTGTTGTGAATAGGTTCAATGAAAACTCTGTAGCTGTAATTGTTGACAAAGCCAATGAAGGCTGGGGGCTGCAGGACAAAAAATTACCAAACTACTGTGTTGTATTTCCTTATGTGAATTAATAAGAAGCAATTGGGCAGGCAGCCTCGCTCTTGAGATCAATGTAATTTTGAGGAAAATGGTTTTGAGATTTATATAAACATTTGACCATTGAGACATTGATAATGAAGGCAGATGAGGACAAATTTTTTTGTCCAAAGCTTTCTGTATCAGCACCACTCAGCTTGCTTGCCCAAGTCAGTGTTAGATGTGTTTAGCCACAATGCTACCCCCCCCCCTCCCTCTCCCCAGTGGTGGTGCCAGGGGAGGGCTAGGGGTGGCTACAGCCCCTCCGTCAGAAGCATCCAGCCCCCCCATCGGAAGAATTTTTTGGTTATTGTCGGAGCAAATTTGACAAAATAATGTACGAAAACTTCTTGTTTTAGTCATTTTAGCCCCCCTGTCTGAAGCTCAAGCCCCTCTGTCGGGAGATTTCTGGCGCCACCTCTGCCTCTCCCCCATTCTCATCTTGCCCAGCTCAATAAAGAAATGTGGTAGTCCAGCAAGTACTATTCTATGCAAGATCAATTAAATAGGAAAATAGAAAAAAAGTTCAAAGAGAAGAAAGCTTAAAAGAAGTGGTTATCTTACAATGCAAAAAATTCAAATCACTTAACAACTTGATTAAAAGATTTAGATAGTAAACTGCTCTTTTCTCGGACTACAATATAAAATTACTGTTCTAAAAGAGATTCTAATAACAAATAACAGACTTTCAAAAGACAGGTGCAAAAAAAGAATTACCGAAGATATTTTCGGCTGTAGGTAGGAATAAACCACCTGTCTACCGATGCGCAAGCAACAGACACGATGAGCTCCTTTTACCGGTGCGAAATCACCTCATGGAACAATTACCTATTGGAATCAGCTCACTTAATGAGGTTTGGTACTTTACTTATTGCATATATTGGCGGAAATGAACATTTGCAAACAACAGGTCCTGTTCAAATGTACGAAAAAAAATTTAAAATTTGAAAACAACAAAATCTACGAAAAGTCATGCTACCTCATTGGCAACTTGTTTCGTCCCTACGAGCAACAACTTTTTAACACTTTCAAAGTCACCTTTCCTTGCAGCTTCTCTCAGACCTTCTTCAGCCATTTCTGTTTTCCTTCCAGGTCAAATTTAAACGACGCCTACAAACCCTAAGCTCAGAGAGATGCGAAAACAATAAGATTGGGCGTTGTTTCATAATAAATCAAACAATGAGATTTCTGTCCTCCATCCACCTAATGAAAACAACACACGAGATAGGCCAAGGCCTAACAATTGCGTGATACACGAACTGGCATTCAAACACGAAATTTTACTTACAAGATATTAATCCAAACATTTCCAATAATGCTCTAAGTCCACGCGATTCATTAGGTGCTGAATCCAATTGAAATACACGAGCAACATAATTAGCAGAAATTATTTTCTAACTTTGGAAATCACCAGCCCTTAGAAAATTGGCGCGACTTTGCCTCGTTCTGCATTTAAAACATCAAACCGCGGCTAAGCCCCGATGCGAGTTCACTAAAAGAATTATTTTTTACACAGAAATGTGTTGTTCTTCCCTCTATGGAATAGGACCCCCTGCTGTATTGTATGATTTTTATAGCCGACCACAACCAAGCCAAAACAACAGTTAACAGGAATAGCAAAGAAGATTTCACAAAAATTTCGTGAAATTGCTTTTGCCTGTGAATTGTGAATCATCTATTTTCTTGCATGCCAGGAGAACCTTTTCATCATTTTTTGATCATGGATCATGAAAAGCAAGCGGTTCAAAAAACAGTGGCAGACTTAAGCAAATTTTCCAGAACGAATAGCCCGTGAGTACAAGGAAAAGGATGGACTGGGGGTGACTGCATCCAGTGAGCGTGCACCAGTCTAAATGTGGGAGGGCTGAAAAGGGCGTGACAGAAATTTTTTGAGGCCACGCCCACTAGAACGCCGGAAAACACCCCTTTTTGAAAATACTGGCTTATTTCTACTGAGGCTTTATAAAAAATCTGGTCCAATAGCTATGAAAATAGATAAAATTAGCTTGGAGATAATAAAACATCAATATAAACACATAGAAAATGAACAGAAAGGGTTCCCAGTCAAGAAAAATTGCTATTCCTTAGGAGTATACGATTCAATGTTGCGTTAGACCATAGTTAGAGTAAACTATCCAAAAAAGGTTTCTAACCTAATATTGCAAAAAAGCGGAGAGGCTATGGCCCCTGCTAGGCCAATGGCTGCGCGGTGCCTCACTGCATCCCAGCATTCCTCTCAAATCCACCAATGCTTATCAAACGCCCAAAGAAACAAACTGATTTGTTTGACCTCACAGATATTTCAAATGAATATATGGCAAAAATTGCTCATCGACATAACTTTGGAAAATTTATGATAAGATTTTACTAAATTATGCTTCAAAAATATATAGCTGATTTGTCGTGATTTTTTATTAGGATAGTTATTCTGTCGATGTTATTATGTTTATTTTAGTGTTAAATACTTTCTATTTGCTTACAATACCTTTCCTAATTCATGTCAAAATTAAAAAAAACGATATGGTGTATAGTGGTAAACGAAGGCGTATGAATTTTTGGAATGTTCAGTCTAGGTGTAGTTTTGGACCATTTCTAGAAAGTAATACTGTATTAAAAAAATTTCCATGGTGCCGGACTTCACTAAATCCCCGCAAATCTTCAACATATGGCCATTTTGGGCTAAAAAGCTTATTAATATTGTTCAGGACTTTCCATATGTCTATACCTATATTGTAAATATTTGAAATGACATTCCAGAACAATAAAAGACTTTCACTATCTCTTGCACAATTTTGACATCCCCCATCCATCATGCCGCTTTCAATTTCACCTCGCCGGCTCCTTTTCCTCTCAAATCTAAACATTTTCACTTCTTTTCTTGTTGTAAACTTTGTGGACCGGGGTGCAACAGTAAAATCTTCTTATTACACCAACAAACTTTTATTAATATACCAAAATCTCTTTTGTCGTAACAGCTAGTCAAGAGGGATCACTCTTCGAAACAGCGTATGATATTTTTAGAGCAGTGTGATTTTGTTTTATTTCGGGGACTTTTTTCTCAAAAACAAAAGGCTTTTCACCAAAGTCGCACGGTCTTTCTATTTTGGACTTTGTCGCGGTGTTCAAATTCAAGGAAAGGCCGCTGCGCAGTACCATAAGAGCGCAACGTTCCGCAACCATTATTAAAAGCTCTTGCGCAACCGGCACGCTTTGCGACTATAATTCAAAAGACTGGCCTAATATCGTACTGCATAAAAATACAAAACACAGTAAATTTCTAAAGACAACTCTCGCTGAGCATGCCGGTTGCCAAAAAAGCTTTAACTCCAAACCAGCTAACTTTCTTTCAAACTGTCTCCACTAAAAAACCTGATACAAAACAAAGCAATCCTGCGGGAAATTATGTGAATATGTTCTTTAGCTTTGAAACAAACTATGTTTAGCTTCGCTCGTGTGCAGAACGAAGATTGGAATGTAACAAGTAAGAGAGTTGCAGGTTTAATGGCATTACATTGAAAGTTCATAAATCGAGAAATTGAAGTCGCTTCTCCATTCAGAAAAAAGAGATGCAAACTTGAAAATAATTACCAAATATTATACTATAAAGCCTTTCTGTTTGAAACACAAGGCCTGTAAACAAGAAACAGGACCGAAACATTTGCTAAACGCGTGTATATGCATGTAATCTAAACAGTCTTTTCTTTTTAAATCTGCATCCTCGCGACGGAGATCAACCTTGGAATACCTAAATTCTCTTGCAAACAAGAGATTTCGAGTTTCTTCCGAGGATAAGCTCACGAAAGCTCACGCAATAAAAATTTCATTCCTCAAGGGTTGTGAACACAGCCCATTGGCTTGTATAATCCATGCTCAACAACTTCGCACAAGATCACAGTACTCGGTGAATGCGCTTGTAATTCACTGTCAAGCAACTCTCCAAAAAAACATTTAATATTGCAAATCCAAGGAAAATGGAGTACTTACTAAAATTTACTTTGTTAAGTAGCTCACGTGTCGTTCCATCGTTAAAGAATTTCTTTCAGAGTTTGATTAATAGAGAATTTTTCTATATTCAGCAGAATTAATATCACCCAGTCAACAAATGGATAAGACAGAAATCCGTTTAGACGTTGCTATGACAAGTGGTTGCTACGTTTTATACTGATCGATATTTGTCCTAATAGAATTCCTTAGTGTGACGTCACAAAAAAATCTATTTTTAGAATTTTCGACTTTTGTTCACATTACATCAAAGAACACCACGAAATACTCCCATGTATGCAAAATCAGTTAAATTTGTCAAAAATCTGGTGATTTGTGGCCAATGAAAGATTCGAAGTTTGTTGAGTTATGAACAGAGACAAAATTACAGAGGTTTGATGGGGCCAGAGCTTGTGCTCATTTGGTCATATCTCAGCCAATTCGTGATTCTTTTAACTGATTTTGCATTTTTGAGGTATTTCATGATGCTCTTTCAAGTTATTGGAACAAATTTCAAAAATCTAAAAAAAACTCTTGTGATCTCATCACTTGACAACTCTTGTATGATCTGTGATAAAAAAGTTGAAATATCAGAATAACGAACGCTAGGTACCGCTATATCATTCCTAGATCACCTACAGCCAGTGGCCGAAAGTATGAGCGCATGGGGGAGCTCGGATTTTTTTGACACATAATTTTAGCTAAATATTGCAAAGGGGTGGGTGATTTCTACGCCCTCCGATGACCCCAACGTAAGTTTGAAGAACTCAGAAAGTTTGACTTTACACTTTATACTGTCGTCCAGCGTTATGTATCACATCCCAAGGTCCCTTACGTTTTAGAGGATCTTCTAAAATATAGTCTTGTTTTTAAGTGCAAAAATCCGAGTTAACATATCTAGGGATTACAAAGCTTATTCTCTGCTAGTGATTGTCATCCGATCTAGGACTACTCTTTACATATGTTCCTTTATGTCAACTGTCATTTAGTGTCAATTGAAGGATTTGGTAGGCTATCAACTGTATGTAATTATATTGTACCATATTGCTTTTCTAGTATTCTACGAAGTATCAAACAATTTCAAACTGTATATATTTAGAATGATATTTATAGCAAAAAATAAACCCCTTTATTGTGTGAGATCTCATTTCAAACAAGACGCGTCGAACCTTTCTAAGATGCGTCGCTTTTATGACAAGATGCGTTACAGTTTTGCAAGACGCGTTGCGGTCCCTTCCATAATTGCCTGGAGTAAAATTTTCAAGAAAAAGATTAACAGTTACTTATAATAAGACTATTCGAAAATTGTCATAAGCCCCTCATACAGCATAAAAAATAAATCTAAATAAATAGCTAAAAAAATTAAGTTTAAAAAGATGAGTCTGAAATCAGGCAATACCAGTGTATATTACATTATGACAACGTTGGTCTAAAATGTTTATGGCTATATAAAGTTAACTTTGAAAATAAAAGTAACTCTTTGCATGTTCTGTAAGGACTTAGTTGCCTGTTCTGACTCAAAGGAAGAGCAATTCTGAAAGTTACTTTTTTCTTTGCAAAGTGCCCTGTGAATTTGAAAAGTTCAAATCTAAGAGGCCTAAATTTTCAATTCGTTTTTAAATGGGTAGTCTCGTGTAGTCTACATAGCGCTAAGGAATGATCCTGCTCATTCAAAAAGATTCCTCTCATATCAGTCAAAACGCGTATGTCGTTGAATTTTCGTGCCCATGTGAAACCCGGTATGTAGAACTCATTAGTCAACAATGGAGTAGCAAAGATTTACTTGGGAACATCAGGCAAAACTGTTTTGGAAAGAAAACTGCCACAGCGTCTTTGCAAGGGTCAGGATGCCCAAAAATCACTTTATTACAGTGCAGTTTGGCTATTCCAGGGCCTCCGATTAAAGGGGTCCTTGGGGGCCCCCACTTGCAAAATAATAGAGCTTATTCCAAAGTCTTTCGTCATGGGTGCTGAATTTTTCCTTTGCCCCGCCCCCCTACTTTCCAACTTGTGTCTGAGCCCATGTCTAGCCATTGTTCAAGAATCAAAACGTACGATGAGTGCGCAAAGACCATTTATGACGACAATTGTAAAATCATTGGACAAGCGAGGTCATTTTTTCTTTTAGGTGTTTTTGAATCTGTCTGCATGTTAACAAAAGATCCCGACTTGTTTGGACGTAGAAAAAATGAGTTCATTTTCACTTTGGGACTCTTTAACCATGCGAGGAGTGGGAGGTCGCTGATTGGTCAAAAGAGGGTGCCAATCAAACGCGTAA